TGGCATTTCAGTGGATGAATTGGTTTCCTCTTTTCTGATTTCTTCTTGATTAGTTTCAAAAGGATGATGTAATTGACTCTTAATCTTTCTAATATATAATTACCAGACGGAAAAAATAAAAATAAATCTATATAAATATGACGGAAAAAATAAAAATAAAAAAATAAAAAATGTAACTATGATAAATTATATTTTCTAGGTGATAGCGTTAAATATGCGACAACATTAAACATATAATATGATTTAAATATTCTAAAAATGTGGATCTATATAGGAGAGCTCTAGATCTACTTTTTTTTCCAGCTAGAACTCTAAATCTACTATAGCAAAAAAAATTATACATGTAGCATAGTATGAAGAACGTGAAAATTAAATAAAAAAGACAATATTTTATCCGGTTCAATTAGTGGATTAGTGGATTGGTTGTTGTATCCGGTTGGTCACATCCATGAGATAACCAAAACAAAAAAAAAATGCAGACAAACACAAAATAAACTGTGAAAACCAAAACGATTTTTTTTTATGGTATGAAAAGCTATTTACACTACCACTTGGACTATCATGTTCAATCTTTTTTTTTTCTTTTTTCCTTAACACATACCTTCATTAAAAAGATAGCAAATCCAAAAAGGAAGCTGAAGCCGGATTACACAGTGCCTCCACTAATGAGTTACACCTACAAAAAGACTTACAACAGAACACATTACAAAGGTCCAGAAATACTATTGCTGGAACACTCCAAACCAAGATGCAAGAAGTGATAGATTTTGAGAATTTGGTCGTAGCTCTCTTGATAGCGGGTCAAGGCGGCAACGAATGATGCTTTTAATTTCCAGAATCAACGCAGAGGGAGGTCTTGAGGAAGCCGAATGGAGTCTTGTGTTTCTTTCCTCTAACATGATATCACTTTGAACATGATATACAAATTTCTACTTTGAACATGCTACTTTATAAACCTCAAACAATGGATCTAATTAAGGGTGCAGTGGACATCAAGCTAAGGCGCACAGACACACATATATATTTAGTGATACAAAGTGGATTATATTTGTACATTTTCCCTTAAGTGTTTCAGCACAACCTCAAAAGCACATCTTTTATCACAAGATTTCAAAAACTCAAGACCGAAAGAATCGACCAAATATATTTTCACAGGAAACAAAATATTTCACAACTGCAACATGATATACACATGCCTCTGCATTCTCGATCTTGCTAGTAAACCATCAAAGAATCTTTAAAAATAAAAAAAAATAAAGGAAAGGAAAGAAAAGGAAGTCGGATTAGAGACAAATATATGTTATGGATTAGCAGAATTTTAGAGGTTTTTAATTACACTGAACAAACACATAACATATTCTTACCTAACAGGACGTTCCCAGCGGAGTCTTCTCGTAAAATCTCTTAAAACGTAAAGAAATTTTTTTGTGGAAAAGAGGTACATGGTTTTGATTCTAAAAATACTATTGACGTGTGGCAAAATAAATACCTGAGAAGCAAGGTCACCATTTAATAGATGGTTAGTCAAATCCGAATTATGTATGGGTCTCTTGTCTTCCTCTCGATTGAAAGAGTCACAAAACATTCAACCTACCATTGCATGCAGCAATAGAATATTAAACAGATCAATTAAGACTCCAAAAAAAGGCCAAAGCAACAAAAACACTAACCTCTTCTCTGTATAGAAAAATGAATAAGGGGACACACCAGTTTGAGTTCAGATGCGGCTAAGACGACGTACTAAACTACAAAGTAACACCATTCAATAAGACAGAAGTAGAATTGATCGAAGGAACTTTTGATCGGAATGAAAAATCATTCAGAGACATTGTAAATAGCCTCTGAGGATGTTATGTTTTGCTGCGACTGATCACATCTCCTCACATCTTCAATTATCCTCGCAACCTCCTCCATCTTTGGCCTCGACTCTGGATTCCTTGCGACACAAGACAACTCTAGCTGAAGCATCTGACATAAAAAAACCTCTGCAGTCACTCTTCCCTCACAACAGACCGAACACATATTGGAAAATCAATGACCACACGCTCATCCTCAAGACCAGGCTGAGTTAAAGGCGTCTTCCCGGTTAGCATTTCGAGAATCACCACACCAAAGCTATAAACATCTGATCTTTGACTGACTTTCCTCGTCTCAATCACTCCAGTAACATTGGAGCCGATAGCTCCAAGTAGATATCTCATCCTCAAACATGGTCAAAACCAATTCCTCTAGTTTACCAATCTTTCCTTCGTTGTAACAGTTAACCAATTCAATATAAAGCATACACAGATTTTTGAGGTTCCTTTGAGCTGTTGTAGTAGCAGTAGCACATTTGGGGAGACTGTTGCTAAATTGCCCATTGCGAATGACAGCTACCATGGATTTCGGTTGCAGTTCTAAGACAAAGCTACCTTTGTTCCATCTATCCTTTTTATTAATACCAGCTTTACTAATCATACACTCTTTCACAGTCAAAGCTGATATGATCTTGCCAAAAATACCATCTTTGGTATAATTAACTCCCAACATCGTAGCAGCTTTGTCACTACCATCTTCATCATTCTTAAGCTTCTTTTACAAAAACCAATCCTTCATACTTACTTCCATGAGCTTCCATCAAATAATAATTGACCAGTTGCAAACACTTGGACCTTTTATGGACAACATGCAACTCTGAATTCTTAAAATCAGGTAAGTAGATCATTAACCAGTGCTTCCATTTAACCACATTACCACCAAAAGTCGTTGACCTCTTACCTCCAAGCTTCAATAACCGCTTATACCTTATAACCACATTAGCATTAATAGAGACCAATTCCACCAAAAAATAATACTATCCAACCGTAATGTCTTTAACAACTATCACTTGGCAGTGTTCTTTGCTTTCACGTCTCACTTTGTGTCCAAGTAGCAAAATATGTAGAAATTTAATCCCACCAAGCAGCTTGACACAAAAGAACAATGCTCCATACGTATAATTGCTGACAAGTGACAACCATCATTATATTCCTTAGAATTGTAATAGAACCTTTGAACCTTTTTCTCAAGGAATGAATGATCAAAGGAAACATCTTGTTTTTATCAAAAATTTCTGAAACTTTAGGACCAAAACCAGATGGATCCTTTGGAGACTCTTTGATGACCATAATTACTGTGAATTTCCTTAGCTCTATATGTGCCCATCGCTGCCTCAAAGATTTCTTCATGATGTGATTTATTGTTTGTTTCCGGTGGACATTAAGTTCTACCTCTGCTCCTAACCTCCTGTTACGTATTCCCATGCCGACTAATAACTTCCACACATCATCTACTATTGCCTCTCGAAATTTCCTATTAATATTAATGATTCCTTGTAAACGCATCCCATGAAACTGCTGCTTTATTTTCAGATCACTACCACCATCTAAGTTGCACTGAAACGGGTACGGGAAACGGGATAAAACATTCTGGCGATTTCTTGATCTAGTTGGTCCCTGGCTTGAACACCAAATGCTCTTTCAATAGGTGAAAGAGCCGACTTTCTTTTCTTAAAAGCAGGATCCGTTTCACAAGCCAAAGACACTTCTTTTGGACCAGATTCTTTTTTTCTCGTCTCAAACTCGTTTTCCAACCTTTGCAGCTCAAGCTTCTCATTCATTCGTATTTTCGTACAAGAAGAGATGCCAAGATTTTTGATCCCAAGCAAGTGAGCTTTAACTCTAGAATACGACCCTTGTCGTTCTAAATTACAAAAGCTACATTTGAATTTCCAGGTTCCTCCTGCTCCTGCTTTCGCTACTTTTTCCACATAACTCCACAGTGGAGCTTCATCACTTTGATTTGAAGAGTTTGCAGATTCATTACCACTGTTATTACCAATATTATCACTTTGTCTTTGAGAACCGTTCATCTGCCAAATAACGTAATATAAATTAAAATTAATCTTTTTTTTTTTTTGTGCACCCAATTAAAATTAATCTAAAACAAAGAAACAAAGAAGTTAAACAAACTTGATGAATCTCTATGCTATACTAAAATAATATTCAAAAGTAATAAGAAAAGAGAAGAAGAACGACTTACTCTGGTCAAAAGGTCGTTTCACGTAGACGTAGTGTCGTGAAGAGAAGATTGTGATTGTCAACTTGGTGAAGAGAAGTTGAGAACGGCAGAAGGCTTTTAATATTGTAGTCGTGCACTCGTGCTAAATCTAATGACTCTTTTAATTAAAAACCTTAGAACATGTCTTTTAATTCCTTTTATGATTTGAGTTTTCTTTAGGAAAATTGACAAAATTGCTTATTTAAAATTAGGGACACATAATTTATTCCCAAAACGTGTCGGAAACGTCCCTATATTTGTTCCATCACGTTCCCATTTTTTGTTGGCGTCCCTAACGTCTCTGAAACGTGTGGGAAACGAAGCTGGGACGTGAGACGGCTGAAAATTAACGTCCCCGTGCATCATAGACCACCATTATGAGATTCACTTATCCAATCCCAGTGGTCTTGTACACAAAATAATTTACCGGCTTACAGACGTAGTTAGCTAGAGATAATTTACCGGATAGTTTCTCTTCAGACCACTTACTCATATCTCTAATGCAAAAACAGACTTGGAGTTTCAAAGCTATCAAGCTATGATCAAGTTTTGCTTCCAAACTCCTATTATAAGCCCCAAAACAGACCCATAATTTCAAAGCATCACGAGTAATTAAGCAGTTTAATAAGATCAGTCCATCACCTTGTTGTGATTCCAATAATCTGACATGTGATCCCCATACCATGACATACTTTTCACTTGATTTCTCCACAAAAGAGAACCTACCATCTAGCAATTTGCTTATCTATGAATTGCTTTGTAACTTGAATCGCCAGGACTTTGTACACTTCGTTGGCAGCCTCTTACTTTGTACTCTTGGGTGCATTGAATCAAACAGTTGGTGTGCAACACGGTGAATATTAACACATGTAAATCTATGGGAACGTGGCGACCTCTTAATCTGATGTGACACTTGGTCCGGCCTTAATTCTTTCCTTGTATTTGATCCATAGTCTTGATTCATGTATGTCGATAGCAGATCTTTGATACCACTCTCTTGAATCGATGAACTTGTTTCAATCCATTCTTTTGCACAGAACGATTCCACTTCCGGGTTCAAAACTTGAAGAACGGGAAAGCCAATTCTTTATGGAACAGCCTTAATCGTCGTAATCATGTATGATTTGTTAAAATCTTGAGGATCGTTAGGTAGAGGTGACTGTGATGGTGTTATCTGAGTGATCGGCGAAGAGAAGTTGGATTCATGAGGTTGAATCGGGGAGATCGGATTGTCAGAAGCTCGTTCATCATGACAATTCGTAACCTCTTGTGCCCACTGAAGCGCCGTCGTCGATGGCAGCATCAAACGCAATCTTGAATCGAAACCCTATTTAGCGATGGAGAAGGAAGTTCCCAGCGACAAAACGATTGACAATATAAGAAGCGGCACCATATTCTTATATTTATATTAGGCTAATTAGGTATGAGTATTAGGGTTTAAATTAGGTATTATCGCCGTTAAGAAAAAAGTAAATAATCTTATATCTACTTTATTTTTATAATCTATGAATAAATATTATGGTAAAGTTACATAAATTCCAGTAGAATAATTAATGTTGTAAATGGGCCATATAATTATTAAGAAGCTAATCCAAAAGGCCCGTATATTTGTCTAGTATCATTAATCGTATGGTGTTGATCGGACGGTTATTACTAATCCCTTTTATTTTAATGTTAATCGGACGGCCACGAATAAAATTGATTATTATAATAGGGAAGGCAGGGGTAAGTGTCAAAGTTGAGATCGGACGGCTGTGGATTTTTTCTGTTTTTTTTTATCTCGATCTAACGGCCCGAATTTTTTTCTCATAATTAAATATTTAATGATCAGGGGTAAACTGATAATTGCTCAGGCTGAGGATAGCCTAGATGGCCAGGGATGGGTCAAAGAGGCTTGTCAAATATTATATATTTAGATTAGTTAGGTTTGTTGCCATGATTTAAGGTATTTTGTGGTCGATTTGTTAGTATCTCAATATATAGTTATTGTTAGATATGGTAAAAAGAATAATTTATATCGTTTTTGGTGAGATTTGTTTATTATAGAAATAGCTTTTAATGATAACTAACAAATATGATTTTGGCATTAACTTCAGGATATATCGCAAAACATTCCAAGCATTGGTTGATCAAAATCCGCGAATATCATTTGGATCAGATACTGGTTGAACGGATCCTAAAGCCCATGACTTACGAAGATCCGCGTGTTTTACCGAATGACTATGGATTTAGATCAGACCCGTAACCCAGGATCCGCGTGTCAATTGACAGCAAAGTTGCCATTTACCCTTCCACAAAATCTTTTAATTACTCTTTGAATGTAATTATCCTAATGGCAATCTTTGTAATTTTTTACACTTTATAAGGTTTATTATTAGGGAATGCTTTCCAATTAATAATATAGATACTACAGAAGTTATAACATCCAAATCATTAATTTTATGTATATTGAATTGTCTCAACTCATATTTTCTAAAATTTGAATAATTAAAACAAATATCTCTATAAGTATTAATTTATAGATAAACTAATATCATTATAAATTAATAAAATATTATGATCTCAATATTATTAATTTATAGAGGTTTTATTGTATCTAGATATTAGCTGATTACAATCAAACCTTTCAATGAGAGAATATTTACTTATCCTTAACAAATTATTTGGCTGGGCTTATAGTTAGGTTCGTGTTTTAGCTTATTTTACTCAAAATTTTACTAAAGAAAAATTTATTTTTTAATTAAATTTTGCAATTAATGGTTTTATCACGGTTAGACCGAAACCTTGACAAAAAGGACTAAAATGTGGGTTGCAATACCTTTGTAGAATCCAATGGGTTGGCTGATTTTTCAGCCCTATATTAAGTGCAATCTCAGTTTTCCATCCTAAACTTTTGGTCTTTGAAAAAACCACTAAAAAAACTTTAATCTCAATAAAACTATACATACTTTCAGATTTGTTCTTAAAACTACGCCTCCAACCGACCAGCAAACCGATAATATTTAATTTGGTTTGCCTTACCCAAAATTTAACCATATTTAATTGATTTTGACTATATTTTAACCCAATATGGACCCAAAAAAATGTAAAAGAAAAAAAAAGCCTTCTCTATAAAAAATATATTTTTATTTATTTATTTTGATGAACAATTAAAATAATAAATTATAACTTAATATTACCAAAAAAGAAATATAACAAAATGTACCAACAAAAAAATTAAATAAAATGTTTTGGTATATAATGTTTTTTATATATCAAAATATACAACAAAATAAATACCAAAATTGACCACAAACTATTTTTGTGCTATATTTTGTATACATTTTGGTAATATAACAAAATATACATTTTTTTTGGCAATCATTTTTCTTAATATAAACACTTAAACATGACAAATTAAAGTATATATATTATAGAGTTATAATTTAATTTTCTTTTTAAAAATTCATGGTTTTATATATATTATAGTGTATATGGGGTTTTTAAAAGGAAAAATGACCTTTGAATTTATAAAAATAAAAATGTTTGGTAAAAGGAAAATGTATATTTTGTTATACTACCACAAATCAAAGTATATACTATGGTGTTATATATATAAATGAATTTGTTATATACTTTGAAATTGATAATATATATATATATATATAATTCAAAAGTCATGCATGATTATTTCCAAAAAATGTATATTTTGTTATTTAAAAGAAAAATTACGTTTAAATTTACAAAAAAAGAAAAATGATTGCCAAAAAGAAACTGTATATGTTGTTATATTACCAAAGTTTCATAACAAAATATAGCACAAGAAAAAAGAATTTGTGGTCCAGTTTGTTATATTATTTTGTGGTATATTTTATTATATTACGAGAAGTATATACCAAATTTTATTATATAACTCTTTTTTTTTTTTTTTGTCAACCACACATTTATTAAAAAAACTCCTTGATTGGTTGCCCAATTAGGAGGAGAATCGTTTACAAAAGTAGTTTCAAAAAATAAAAGTCTAGAAGAACGGGCTAAACAGTCCGCTTGTAGATTACAAGAACGAGAGATAAGGGAGAGTGAGAAAGAGGGAATGGAACTTCGGAGTAGACCAAACTCTTCTAGTAGGTTGGAGAAAGCTGGCCATTCATCAGGTGACTGTACCATCGAGACCAATTCTGAACAGTCTGTTTCAAACGCCTGACAATCAATCCTTCTTGAAAGGATATTCTTCATAGACCAAATTAAAGCTTCCATCTCCGAGTGAAAGGGTGAGGGTGATCTCCTAAGGCATTTTGCACCAAGTAGTATAGTTTGAGCGGTCCCCTGAAAACACCACCATCCTAAACCCATAGTTGGATCCGAAGATTTCCATGAACCATCAATCCGACGTCGAAATGAATGGATTGGGAGTTCTAGTAATTCCGTTAAGGTATTTATTTCGGTCGGTTCCACTTGAGCTTCTTCCCACAGTAATTTCTCACTCAAAGCATGATTTAAAATATCTGTGGGGTCTGATTGTATTCCTTTAAAAACTTTTTTATTCCTATCTTTCCATGTGAACCATAAAATCCAATAAGAGCAATTCGTTCTTTCCCCCCATCTTGAGGAGATGGTAACCTCCAATAAAGATAATCTAGATTTGAATGTTCCGAACCTAGAGGGAAGCAACCTGGAATCATGGGCACCGGGGATAATTCCCATATTTTCTGAGAATGGGAGCACTCAAATAAAGCATGATTTATCGTCTCCTCTGTCAACTCACACCTTTTACATATAGTATCACATTTAATCCCCCGATGTGCTAACTTTGAGGTAACTGCCAAGGAACCTGTAGCAATCTGCCATAAGAAATGTTTAATTTTCGGAGGAGCTTTGACTTTCCAAGGTTGTGCTTGTAAAATTTTAAAATTTGGTCCCCATTCTACCGTTTCTACCATTTTTCGAGCAAGTCGATATCCAGACTTTACTGTATATCTCCCTGACTTTGTATAATGCCAAATAAGCCTATCTGGCCTATGAAATTGATTGATAGTCATTCCTCTAATGATTTGAATGTCCAAAGGATCCAAAAAATCTTGTAAAATAGGAAGGTGCCATTCTTTAGTTACCGGATTAATTAGATGGTTAACCATCAGACTTGGAAGTAATAGATTTCCTCTTCCTCTTGCGGGCCTTGGATTATCGTCTGGGATCCAAGGATTTCGCCAAACCGATATGTTGAAACCCGAACCTAATGACCATCTTGCACCCATTTCGACAATCCTTTTTGCCGAAAAATACTCTTCCATCCAAACGATGGAGAGTTCATTTTTTTGCGTTCAAAGGATGAACATTCCTAAAATATCTACCTTTAAGCACTCGAACTACTAAAGAATCTGGATATTGGATTAATCTCCAGTACTGTTTAGCCAACATAGCGTCATTAAAAGTATCTAGAGAGTGGAAACTCAGACCTCCTTTCTCTTTATCCGTACACAATTTCTCCCGTACATAATATAAACAAATAAGGCGATAAGGGATCACCTTGTCGTAAACCCCTTTTGGGAATTATTTTTCCTTTAGGTTCCCCGTTCAATAAAAGCTGATACGAAACTGAGCTAACGGACCACATGATCCAAGAAATCCAACTATCATTGAATCCCATCCGTGACATAACCGCTTCCAAAAAATCCCATTCTATCATATCATATGCTTTACTCATATTTGTTTTAATTGCCAAAAAATCAGATTTACACATTCTGTTCGTACTTAAACCATGAAACATTTCCTGCGCTAGCAAAATGTTGTCGGTAATTAGTCTACCTGAAACGAAGGCCGATTGAGTTTCAGAGACTAACCGAGGTAAAAAAATTTTAAGCCTTAGGCAAAGAATTTTTGAAATAATCTTGTAACTCACATTACAAAGACTTATTGGTCTAAACTCAACCATCCTCTGTGGCCTTTCGGTCTTTGGAATTAAACAAATGTTTGTTTCATTTATTCTCTTATCAAAACATCCTGTTCTGAAAAAATTCCTGACCAAAATTATTAAATCTTCCTTCAATGAATGCTAATACCTTTGATAAAACAAAGCTGTCATGCCATCTGGACCTGGTGTCTTTTCAGGGTGCATCAAAAATAAAGCTTTCCTAACTTCTGCTTCTGTAACCTCTTTGGTTAGCTCCCTGTTCATATCTTCCGTAATTACCGGGGATACTTCTTGTACCATTTCGGCAATACCAGCTGTGTCGGATCCCTTAAACAGGTCATTGAAATAACTTGTTGCTATTTTTTCCATTCCTGGTTCTGATTCATCCCAAATATCGTTTGGACCATATAGACCTGAAATCTTATTTCTTGCCCTTCTTTTTTTTGTAGCGGCATGGAAATATTTGGTATTTTTATCCCCTGCTTTTAGCCAAAAATTTCTACTTTTTTGTTTCCAATAAATCTCCTCTTCCTGGTAAGCTTCCTTTAATTTATTTTCGATTCTTGAAATTTCCCACTGTGGAATCGAATCATCTTTCTTTGCTTCCTCCAAAGCCACCTTAAGAGAAGAAATATTTGCATGACCCGGTGGAATATTATTTTTCCTCCACCACGAAATCGAGTTTCGACAATTTTTAATTTTATCCACAAAAACGGGTATTCTAAATTTTTTTGTCCGATTCCACCCTGATTCTATTGCCTCCGAAAGGCCATCTTTACCAACCCATCTCTTATCAAACTGAAACTGTCTTTTTCTTCTATTCCACATCTTCCTACAACTCAATAATATCGGTCTATGATCAGATCCAATCATATCCAGATAATCTACTTTAGAAAACGGGAACAAATTATGCCAATCCGCATTCCCCAAAGCCCGATCAAGCCTGCATCTGACAATCTGTTGACTTCTATTACCTCTCCATGATAATTGATCCCCATAACAAGGAAATTCTAACATACCATTATTTCGAATCATGCAATTAAAGGAGACAAAAGAAGCTGCAAACCGTAAATTACCACCCGACTTTTCATGATTTCCAGTAAGCTCATTAAAATCGCCAATCATTAACCATGGTTTTTTCCTATTAAATCCCAATTCTGTTATTTTTTCCCAAACAATATCACGTTTTGAAGCAACGGGATCCCCATAGATAAAGGACATAAACACTAATTGTTTTCCAAAAAAAGCTTTAACGTCAATTATCCGATTGCTCTCATAAAGAATCTCTAAATTTATTTCATTATTATAAAATAAAGCTAATCCCCCACTCGCACCGAGAGGATCAACTGAGTACAACTTATTATAACCAAATTGAGATTGAAATCTCTGTAAATAAGCAAAACATTTTTTAGTTTATGACAAAAATAAAATATCCGGCTTGTGCGTTCTCCATAGATCCCTTAAAAAATTCTCTGTCAGATCAGCCCCTACTCCCTGACAGTTCCAACTCATTATCTTCATGTATGAGCCGGTGGTTTCGGGAGATCCACCATCCCTTTCTTTGACACTCGATTAGCCCCGCCAGTTTTTTCTCCCTCCTTTGCCTGTTTCTTTCCGGTTGCTCTCTGATTGTTCCCAGCCTCTGAAAATTTATTAGACATAGCTTTAGCCAAAAGTCGTTTACCCGGTGAAGCCACAAGCATAGCATAATTCTTACTACCACTAGTTCCTTTAATCCCTTAACTAATAGGTTTCTTAATTTTCTGGTTTTTAGCAACAGCCAGTGTTATGCCTTTCAATCCCTGACTTACAATACCAATATCAATAGGTAAGACTTCAGAGATTTTAGGTTTACCTTTAGGAGCGATTTTGTTCTCCATAGGGATCACTTGTCCTTCAACTTCCATAGTCTCCTCCGTCTTCTCATGAACATCAATCTCCTCATCAAATTGACATTCTCCATCCTCTAATAAGTCATCAGTATTTTCTGAGAAAAGCATACCTCCTATAAGATCCTCTTCTCCCAATACCAGGATATCCTCTAAACCGATGTCATTCTGTTCTTCACCTTGCAGAACATTTAAAGGATCTTGACCAACCTGCTGGGTAATCAGCGCCTCCTTGGAAGACGATTTAGGCTGATACAAAGGTTTAGGCCAAGCAGGTCCTGCACCTTTTCTTCCATAAACCATGCCCTGAGCTGAAGGTTGAGCATCTTTAAAAACCTCTGTGGCCCCTCCATTCCTTGTTAAAGCATTACTCACAGCCCAAGAGCCGGAGAAATTCTTTTTTTGCCCCCAAATAGAAGTCTGATTTTTCTCAAATCGCCTCTGAGGCTTACTGTTTTCTCCCTTCTCCGTTTGGTAGTGGAATCCTCCGCCATTTTCTTCTCCAGAAAAATCCAAGGCTCTTTTTGCAGCAGGTTTCCTAGGTTTTTCCCATCCACCTTCTTGCCCTTGAGGTAACTGCTTAGCCTGCTGCCTTGTACCACCTCTCCTGTCTCCATGTTCTTCATACATCCTACTCCCCGCTTTTTTCTAGAAGTCTGGACATACACTCATATCATGAGTTAGTTTAGAACACTATTGACAGAAATTTGCCAGCTTCTCATATTCCAGAGATACCACAACCTCATCACCTGATTCAAACGGCACCACCATTTGAAACACAAGTGAATTAAATCCGTTTACAGTGACATAGATACTTCATGTATCCACATCAATGTCACGGATTATACCAATCTTCTTCCCAATGGCCTTTAATGTTACCTCTTCCCACAAGTGCATGGGTAAATCAGAAACTTTAACCCAAAAATTGATTGCTGATGGGTATGTAGCAGAGATAATAGGCTCCCACCTAACTAAGGAGACCATCCATCCATCAAAATGATACGGAGCATTCTGCAAAACGCTCTCCAAGTCCTCCTCGGACTGAAAATTAAAATGGAAAATGCCTTTTCCTAAATCAGCTCCAACGATCTTATCTTCCATCTTCCAGATCTTTGGCATGTTAGCCACCAGAGAATCCATCCTTTGGATACTCGGGTTCATTAACCTCCCAATTAGGGTTAGTGAAAATTGTTGTATCCGCTGTGACAAGACAGAATCCAAAATCTTCACAACCTCAGTACGCACCAACACAGCCTTACCTTTGTTCAAAGCCAATTGAGCCATAGTCACCAGACAGAAAGTAGACAGCCTTAAAACCTGACAACCCCAAAAAAGAGAGAGCTTGAAAACTAGAAACTGAAGCTTTTTTACTGTCTTTGTTTGATAAACCAATGAGAGAATGAAAAGCCAGTATAAACCAATGATCGTGATATATAGCCTCCAAGAAGAATATATTCTTATTACTCCGCAAATCATCCATCTTAAACACCAAATCATCCAAGATTCCTTTAGTTTCCTAAAAATCGCATCTGACCAAATTTCCCAGCTGAATGAATACAGAAACAATTGATTTTGTTGATAGAATAAATCTGTAATCTTACCTTTTCCAAAGGCAAGAAACTTCCGAGACCAAGATCTCCAATAACTCAGCCTGTCGTAATCCTTGTCTAGAATCTCCCTTATCCCTGATTCCTTTTCAAACCTCCCGATATCCCCAAAAACTCTTCGATGATTCGTAGCCTCATTCAATCGATTGACTATCTCTGAATCTTTGATATCCAAAATCTGTCGAATCTTTATCAGATCGTTCTGATGACTCGGACGATTGTCCCTCCTATTAAAAAATAATCCCAAACCAGATACCAAATCGCCAAAAGAAAGCTCATGAGATCGATGATAAAACGATTCATGATCTCTCCCAATCCGCAGATGATACCTAACAGAGGAAATCAAATAGACTTCCCCAATCCATTCCAAATCAAATAACCTTAACGAAAAACTTAATCCGAATCTGAGAAGAAGAAAAATCGAGAACTCCATCTCAAACCCTAATCGCATACGCCGTCGCTTATATTATATAACTCTTTTGTGGTATATATTTAATATTATTTTTTGGTAAAATGAAGTTATAATTTATTATTTTTTATTTTCAAAATCGATTAAATTTGGTTAAATCTTTAAGTAAGTCAAACCGGATTACATATTACCGGTTTATTGACCGGTTCAATTGGAGTCGTAGTTTTAAGAACAAATCCGAAAATAAATGTAGTTTTGTTAAGATTAAAGTTTGTTTTGGTGGTTTTTTTAGAGGCAAAAAGTTTGAGGTAGAAAACTGAGATTGAAACTAATATGGACTGAAAAATCAGCCAACCTGAATCTAATCGAAATCAAAATTAACTGGAAGTTTACAAGATATTGGAAGAGATCAAGAGGGTGATCTTTCTCAACCTCTTCGTTGTTGAGATAAAGCCAAGTATTCAAATAATAGTCACGTCTACTATCCGATGGATGACTCGTTGACACGAGCTCTTTGTTGGGGTTGGGCTTGGTCTAGATCTGCCCATAATTAAGAAATAAAGGTATAAAAAAAAAATTATGATAGGCTCTTGCATGTTTATTTACTTATTTCTTAGATAATTGAACACCTTGAATCACTAAAGAAATATTCACGAAAGTCTAAATACTCATAGTGGTAGTCTTTTTTGTTTGGTAAGAATACTCATAGTGGTGGTTATATAATGGATAATAGATGCTGTACATATATATAATGAAAGTCAGCTCTTTGCAATTGTAAGTAACGAGACGGAGTCACACAGGTTACAATTTCCTAAATTGACTAATTCATTAGACAACCATTCAAATTTCGTTAATTTTGTTTTTTTTTTTCTAATCCATATAGGTTATATTTAACGCAAATTGAAGGTTTTAAAATAGGATTGATTTTGTTTTAGATTAATAAAAAGAAGTAGTGACACTAGTTACTCAACCAATCAAAATATGAGTAGAATGTTTTAAAATAAATCGAGGGTGGAAAATATTAGGGGCTTTTGCAAAAATGCCCCTTTTTCAATGTCACTTTTAAAAAATGCTCCTTCTTTAAAACCTTATAAAAAATGTTCTAAAATATAAGATTTACCCAAATATGTATGTAACATTATTAAAACATACACAAATAAGTATCTAAAATCTTATTTGTGTATGTAACATTATTAAAACATACACAAAATAAGTATCTACAACCTTTGAAAAACCTTTAAAAACCTTTAAAATATCTTTTAAAACCTTTAAAATATCGTGTTTTACCGAATGACTATGGATTTAGATCAGACCCGTAACCCAGGATCCGCGTGTCAATTGACAGCAAAGTTGCCATTTTACCCTTCCACGAAATCTTTTAATTACTCTTTGAATGTAATTATCCTAATGGCAATCTTTGTAATTTTTTACACTTTATAAGGTTTATTATTAGGGAATGCTTTCCAATTAATAATATAGATACTACAGAAGTTATAACATCCAAATCATTAATTTTATGTATATTGAATTGTCTCAACTCATATTTTCTAAAATTTGAATAATTAAAACAAATATCTCTATAAGTATTAATTTATAGATAAACTAATATCATTATAAATTAATAAAATATTATGATCTCAATATTATTAATTTATAGAGGTTTTATTGTATCTAGATATTAGCTGATTACAATCAAACCTTTCAATGAGAGAATATTTACTTATCCTTAACAAATTATTTGGCTGGGCTTATAGTTAGGTTCGTGTTTTAGCTTATTTTACTCAAAATTTTACTAAAGAAAAATTTATTTTTTAATTAAATTTTGCAATTAATGGTTTTATCACGGTTAGACCGAAACCTTGACAAAAAGGACTAAAATGTGGGTTGCAATACCTTTGTAGAATCCAATGGGTTGGCTGATTTTTCAGCCCTATATTAAGTGCAATCTCAGTTTTCCATCCTAAACTTTTGGTCTTTGAAAAAACCACTAAAAAAACTTTAATCTCAATAAAACTATACATACTTTCAGATTTGTTCTTAAAACTACGCCTCCAACCGACCAGCAAACCGATAATATTTAATTTGGTTTGCCCTACCCAAAATTTAACCATATTTAATTGATTTTGACTATATTTTAACCCAATATGGACCCAAAAAAATGTAAAAGAAAAAAAAAGCCTTCTCTATAAAAAATATATTTTTATTTATTTATTTTGATGAACAATTAAAATAATAAATTATAACTTAATATTACCAAAAAAGAAATATAACAAAATGTACCAACAAAAAAATTAAATAAAATGTTTTGGTATATAATGTTTTTTATATATCAAAATATACAACAAAATAAATACCAAAATTGACCACAAACTATTTTTGTGCTATATTTTGTATACATTTTGGTAATATAACAAAATATACATTTTTTTTGGCAATCATTTTTCTTAATATAAACACTTAAACATGACAAATTAAAGTATATATATTATAGAGTTATAATTTAATTTTCTTTTTAAAAATTCATGGTTTTATATATATTATAGTGTATATGGGGTTTTTAAAAGGAAAAATGACCTTTGAATTTATAAAAATAAAAATGTTTGGTAAAAGGAAAATGTATATTTTGTTATACTACCACAAATCAAAGTATATACTATGGTGTTATATATATAAATGAATTTGTTATATACTTTGAAATTGATAATATATATATATATATAATTCAAAAGTCATGCATGATTATTTCCAAAAAATGTATATTTTGTTATTTAAAAGAAAAATTACGTTTAAATTTACAAAAAAAGAAAAATGATTGCCAAAAAGAAACTGTATATGTTGTTATATTACCAAAGTTTCATAACAAAATATAGCACAAGAAAAAAGAATTTGTGGTCCAGTTTGTTATATTATTTTGTGGTATATTTTATTATATTACGAGAAGTATATACCAAATTTTATTATATAACTCTTTTTTTTTTTTTGTCAACCACACATTTATTAAAAAAACTCCTTGATTGGTTGCCCAATTAGGAGGAGAATCGTTTACAAAAGTAGTTTCAAAAAATAAAAGTCTAGAAGAACGGGCTAAACAGTCCGCTTGTAGATTACAAGAACGAGAGATAAGGGAGAGTGAGAAAGAGGGAATGGAACTTCGGAGTAGACCAAACTCTTCTAGTAGGTTGGAGAAAGCTGGCCATTCATCAGGTGACTGTACCATCGAGACCAATTCTGAACAGTCTGTTTCAAACGCCTGACAATCAATCCTTCTTGAAAGGATATTCTTCATAGACCAAATTAAAGCTTCCATCTCCGAGTGAAAGGGTGAGGGTGATCTCCTAAGGCATTTTGCACCAAGTAGTATAGTTTGAGCGGTCCCCTGAAAACACCACCATCCTAAACCCATAGTTGGATCCGAAGATTTCCATGAACCATCAATCCGACGTCGAAATGAATGGATTGGGAGTTCTAGTAATTCCGTTAAGGTATTTATTTCGGTCGGTTCCACTTGAGCTTCTTCCCACAGTAATTTCTCACTCAAAGCATGATTTAAAATATCTGTGGGGTCTGATTGTATTCCTTTAAAAACTTTTTTATTCCTATCTTTCCATGTGAACCATAAAATCCAATAAGAGCAATTCGTTCTTTCCCCCCATCTTGAGGAGATGGTAACCTCCAATAAAGATAATCTAGATTTGAATGTTCCGAACCTAGAGGGAAGCAACCTGGAATCATGGGCACCGGGGATAATTCCCATATTTTCTGAGAATGGGAGCACTCAAATAAAGCATGATTTATCGTCTCCTCTGTCAACTCACACCTTTTACATATAGTATCACATTTAATCCCCCGATGTGCTAACTTTGAGGTAACTGCCAAGGAACCTGTAGCAATCTGCCATAAGAAATGTTTAATTTTCGGAGGAGCTTTGACTTTCCAAGGTTGTGCTTGTAAAATTTTAAAATTTGGTCCCCATTCTACCGTTTCTACCATTTTTCGAGCAAGTCGATATCCAGACTTTACTGTATATCTCCCTGACTTTGTATAATGCCAAATAAGCCTATCTGGCCTATGAAATTGATTGATAGTCATTCCTCTAATGATTTGAATGTCCAAAGGATCCAAAAAATCTTGTAAAATAGGAAGGTGCCATTCTTTAGTTACCGGATTAATTAGATGGTTAACCATCAGACTTGGAAGTAATAGATTTCCTCTTCCTCTTGCGGGCCTTGGATTATCGTCTGGGATCCAAGGATTTCGCCAAACCGATATGTTGAAACCCGAACCTAATGACCATCTTGCACCCATTTCGACAATCCTTTTTGCCGAAAAATACTCTTCCATCCAAACGATGGAGAGTTCATTTTTTTGCGTTCAAAGGATGAACATTCCTAAAATATCTACCTTTAAGCACTCGAACTACTAAAGAATCTGGATATTGGATTAATCTCCAGTACTGTTTAGCCAACATAGCGTCATTAAAAGTATCTAGAGAGTGGAAACTCAGACCTCCTTTCTCTTTATCCGTACACAATTTCTCCCGTACATAATATAAACAAATAAGGCGATAAGGGATCACCTTGTCGTAAACCCCTTTTGGGAATTATTTTTCCTTTAGGTTCCCCGTTCAATAAAAGCTGATACGAAACTGAGCTAACGGACCACATGATCCAAGAAATCCAACTATCATTGAATCCCATCCGTGACATAACCGCTTCCAAAAAATCCCATTCTATCATATCATATGCTTTACTCATATTTGTTTTAATTGCCAAAAAATCAGATTTACACATTCTGTTCGTACTTAAACCATGAAACATTTCCTGCGCTAGCAAAATGTTGTCGGTAATTAGTCTACCTGAAACGAAGGCCGATTGAGTTTCAGAGACTAACCGAGGTAAAAAAATTTTAAGCCTTAGGCAAAGAATTTTTGAAATAATCTTGTAACTCACATTACAAAGACTTATTGGTCTAAACTCAACCATCCTCTGTGGCCTTTCGGTCTTTGGAATTAAACAAATGTTTGTTTCATTTATTCTCTTATCAAAACATCCTGTTCTGAAAAAATTCCTGACCAAAATTATTAAATCTTCCTTCAATGAATGCTAATACCTTTGATAAAACAAAGCTGTCATGCCATCTGGACCTGGTGTCTTTTCAGGGTGCATCAAAAATAAAGCTTTCCTAACTTCTGCTTCTGTAACCTCTTTGGTTAGCTCCCTGTTCATATCTTCCGTAATTACCGGGGATACTTCTTGTACCATTTCGGCAATACCAGCTGTGTCGGATCCCTTAAACAGGTCATTGAAATAACTTGTTGCTATTTTTTCCATTCCTGGTTCTGATTCATCCCAAATATCGTTTGGACCATATAGACCTGAAATCTTATTTCTTGCCCTTCTTTTTTTGTAGCGGCATGGAAATATTTGGTATTTTTATCCCCTGCTTTTAGCCAAAAATTTCTACTTTTTTGTTTCCAATAAATCTCCTCTTCCTGGTAAGCTTCCTTTAATTTATTTTCGATTCTTGAAATTTCCCACTGTGGAATCGAATCATCTTTCTTTGCTTCCTCCAAAGCCACCTTAAGAGAAGAAATATTTGCATGACCCGGTGGAATATTATTTTTCCTCCACCACGAAATCGAGTTTCGACAATTTTTAATTTTATCCACAAAAACGGGTATTCTAAATTTTTTTGTCCGATTCCACCCTGATTCTATTGCCTCCGAAAGGCCATCTTTACCAACCCATCTCTTATCAAACTGAAACTGTCTTTTTCTTCTATTCCACATCTTCCTACAACTCAATAATATCGGTCTATGATCAGATCCAATCATATCCAGATAATCTACTTTAGAAAACGGGAACAAATTATGCCAATCCGCATTCCCCAAAGCCCGATCAAGCCTGCATCTGACAATCTGTTGACTTCTATTACCTCTCCATGATAATTGATCCCCATAACAAGGAAATTCTAACATACCATTATTTCGAATCATGCAATTAAAGGAGACAAAAGAAGCTGCAAACCGTAAATTACCACCCGACTTTTCATGATTTCCAGTAAGCTCATTAAAATCGCCAATCATTAACCATGGTTTTTTCCTATTAAATCCCAATTCTGTTATTTTTTCCCAAACAATATCACGTTTTGAAGCAACGGGATCCCCATAGATAAAGGACATAAACACTAATTGTTTTCCAAAAAAAGCTTTAACGTCAATTATCCGATTGCTCTCATAAAGAATCTCTAAATTTATTTCATTATTATAAAATAAAGCTAATCCCCCACTCGCACCGAGAGGATCAACTGAGTACAACTTATTATAACCAAATTGAGATTGAAATCTCTGTAAATAAGCAAAACATTTTTTAGTTTATGACAAAAATAAAATATCCGGCTTGTGCGTTCTCCATAGATCCCTTAAAAAATTCTCTGTCAGATCAGCCCCTACTCCCTGACAGTTCCAACTCATTATCTTCATGTATGAGCCGGTGGTTTCGGGAGATCCACCATCCCTTTCTTTGACACTCGATTAGCCCCGCCAGTTTTTTCTCCCTCCTTTGCCTGTTTCTTTCCGGTTGCTCTCTGATTGTTCCCAGCCTCTGAAAATTTATTAGACATAGCTTTAGCCAAAAGTCGTTTACCCGGTGAAGCCACAAGCATAGAATAATTCTTACTACCACTAGTTCCTTTAATCCCTTAACTAATAGGTTTCTTAATTTTCTGGTTTTTAGCAACAGCCAGTGTTATGCCTTTCAATCCCTGACTTACAATACCAATATCAATAGGTAAGACTTCAGAGATTTTAGGTTTACCTTTAGGAGCGATTTTGTTCTCCATAGGGATCACTTGTCCTTCAACTTCCATAGTCTCCTCCGTCTTCTCATGAACATCAATCTCCTCATCAAATTGACATTCTCCATCCTCTAATAAGTCATCAGTATTTTCTGAGAAAAGCATACCTCCTATAAGATCCTCTTCTCCCAATACCAGGATATCCTCTAAACCGATGTCATTCTGTTCTTCACCTTGCAGAACATTTAAAGGATCTTGACCAACCTGCTGGGTAATCAGCGCCTCCTTGGAAGACGATTTAGGCTGATACAAAGGTTTAGGCCAAGCAGGTCCTGCACCTTTTCTTCCATAAACCATGCCCTGAGCTGAAGGTTGAGCATCTTTAAAAACCTCTGTGGCCCCTCCATTCCTTGTTAAAGCATTACTCACAGCCCAAGAGCCGGAGAAATTCTTTTTTTGCCCCCAAATAGAAGTCTGATTTTTCTCAAATCGCCTCTGAGGCTTACTGTTTTCTCCCTTCTCCGTTTGGTAGTGGAATCCTCCGCCATTTTCTTCTCCAGAAAAATCCAAGGCTCTTTTTGCAGCAGGTTTCCTAGGTTTTTCCCATCCACCTTCTTGCCCTTGAGGTAACTGCTTAGCCTGCTGCCTTGTACCACCTCTCCTGTCTCCATGTTCTTCATACATCCTACTCCCCGCTTTTTTCTAGAAGTCTGGACATACACTCATATCATGAGTTAGTTTAGAACACTATTGACAGAAATTTGCCAGCTTCTCATATTCCAGAGATACCACAACCTCATCACCTGATTCAAACGGCACCACCATTTGAAACACAAGTGAATTAAATCCGTTTACAGTGACATAGATACTTCATGTATCCACATCAATGTCACGGATTATACCAATCTTCTTCCCAATGGCCTTTAATGTTACCTCTTCCCACAAGTGCATGGGTAAATCAGAAACTTTAACCCAAAAATTGATTGCTGATGGGTATGTAGCAGAGATAATAGGCTCCCACCTAACTAAGGAGACCATCCATCCATCAAAATGATACGGAGCATTCTGCAAAACGCTCTCCAAGTCCTCCTCGGACTGAAAATTAAAATGGAAAATGCCTTTTCCTAAATCAGCTCCAACGATCTTATCTTCCATCTTCCAGATCTTTGGCATGTTAGCCACCAGAGAATCCATCCTTTGGATACTCGGGTTCATTAACCTCCCAATTAGGGTTAGTGAAAATTGTTGTATCCGCTGTGACAAGACAGAATCCAAAATCTTCACAACCTCAGTACGCACCAACACAGCCTTACCTTTGTTCAAAGCCAATTGAGCCATAGTCACCAGACAGAAAGTAGACAGCATTAAAACCTGACAACCCCAAAAAAGAGAGAGCTTGAAAACTAGAAACTGAAGCTTTTTTACTGTCTTTGTTTGATAAACCAATGAGAGAATGAAAAGCCAGTATAAACCAATGATCGTGATATATAGCCTCCAAGAAGAATATATTCTTATTACTCCGCAAATCATCCATCTTAAACACCAAATCATCCAAGATTCCTTTAGTTTCCTAAAAATCGCATCTGACCAAATTTCCCAGCTGAATGAATACAGAAACAATTGATTTTGTTGATAGAATAAATCTGTAATCTTACCTTTTCCAAAGGCAAGAAACTTCCGAGACCAAGATCTCCAATAACTCAGCCTGTCGTAATCCTTGTCTAGAATCTCCCTTATCCCTGATTCCTTTTCAAACCTCCCGATATCCCCAAAAACTCTTCGATGATTCGTAGCCTCATTCAATCGATTGACTATCTCTGAATCTTTGATATCCAAAATCTGTCGAATCTTTATCAGATCGTTCTGATGACTCGGACGATTGTCCCTCCTATTAAAAAATAATCCCAAACCAGATACCAAATCGCCAAAAGAAAGCTCATGAGATCGATGATAAAACGATTCATGATCTCTCCCAATCCGCAGATGATACCTAACAGAGGAAATCAAATAGACTTCCCCAATCCATTCCAAATCAAATAACCTTAACGAAAAACTTAATCCGAATCTGAGAAGAAGAAAAATCGAGAACTCCATCTCAAACCCTAATCGCATACGCCGTCGCTTATATTATATAACTCTTTTGTGGTATATATTTAATATTATTTTTTGGTAAAATGAAGTTATAATTTATTATTTTTTATTTTCAAAATCGATTAAATTTGGTTAAATCTTTAAGTAAGTCAAACCGGATTACATATTACCGGTTTATTGACCGGTTCAATTGGAGTCGTAGTTTTAAGAACAAATCCGAAAATAAATGTAGTTTTGTTAAGATTAAAGTTTGTTTTGGTGGTTTTTTTAGAGGCAAAAAGTTTGAGGTAGAAAACTGAGATTGAAACTAATATGGACTGAAAAATCAGCCAACCTGAATCTAATCGAAATCAAAATTAACTGGAAGTTTACAAGATATTGGAAGAGATCAAGAGGGTGATCTTTCTCAACCTCTTCGTTGTTGAGATAAAGCCAAGTATTCAAATAATAGTCACGTCTACTATCCGATGGATGACTCGTTGACACGAGCTCTTTGTTGGGGTTGGGCTTGGTCTAGATCTGCCCATAATTAAGAAATAAAGGTATAAAAAAAAAATTATGATAGGCTCTTGCATGTTTATTTACTTATTTCTTAGATAATTGAACACCTTGAATCACTAAAGAAATATTCACGAAAGTCTAAATACTCATAGTGGTAGTCTTTTTTGTTTGGTAAGAATACTCATAGTGGTGGTTATATAATGGATAATAGATGCTGTACATATATATAATGAAAGTCAGCTCTTTGCAATTGTAAGTAACGAGACGGAGTCACACAGGTTACAATTTCCTAAATTGACTAATTCATTAGACAACCATTCAAATTTCGTTAATTTTGTTTTTTTTTTCTAATCCATATAGGTTATATTTAACGCAAATTGAAGGTTTTAAAATAGGATTGATTTTGTTTTAGATTAATAAAAAGAAGTAGTGACACTAGTTACTCAACCAATCAAAATATGAGTAGAATGTTTTAAAATAAATCGAGGGTGGAAAATATTAGGGGCTTTTGCAAAAATGCCCCTTTTTCAATGCCACTTTTCAAAAATGCTCCTTCTTTAAAACCTTATAAAAAATGTTCTAAAATATAAGATTTACCCAAATATGTATGTAACATTATTAAAACATACACAAATAAGTATCTAAAATCTTATTTGTGTATGTAACATTATTAAAACATACACAAAATAAGTATCTACAACCTTTGAAAAACCTTTAAAAACCTTTAAAATATCTTGTAAAACCTTTAAAATATCTTGTAAAACCTTTAAAAACACCTTATAAAATCTTATAAATACTTGGATCGAGTCTTCAAGTAATAGTTACCATCCATAAGTACCTTATAAACCTAATAAAATTTAATAAATTTTTCATATTTAAAAAGGGGCATTTTTGAAAATGGACATCTAAAAGGGGCATTTTTGAAAAGGGGCACACCAAAATGGGCATTTTTAACAATTTCCCAAAATATTATTTCAAATAAGTGAAAAGTAAGTTGATAATTCAAAAATCGACTTTATTAATAAATGAACATATAATGAAATAAGTCTACCTAATTTTCGAGGAAAATATTATTATAAATTATATAATTTTGAATTACTTACTTTCGAAAAAAATTCAAATACAAACACTATTATCAAAATATATGTTTCATATTTTTATTTATTAATAATTTAAGATAATGATAACTGTAGACAAATTAAATAATTTTTTTTAATTTTTTAATTATTAATAAATTAATTACGAATTTTAGTTAAATTTAGTTATTTTAAAATTAGTGACTATATTATTTATATCAGTTAAATAATAATTAAATAAAGAAAAGGGTATTATGGTTAATTTTCAATAAGAAATAGTAGTTTTCAAATTACTTTAAAATTAAATGTAATTTTCAAAATTTTTATAAAACTTTGTATATTTTTTAAAAATCTCCCATTTTCCTAAATTGACTAATTCATTAGACAAACATTCAAATTTCGTTAATCTTGTTTTCTAGTCTATATAGGTTATATTTAACATAAATTGAAGGTTTTCAAATAGTATTCATGTTGTTTTAAATTAATAAAGAGAAGTAGTGACAGGCTTTACTCATTATCCCTTTCTTTCTCTCTATTTACGTGATATATAATTTATTTTAAATTATATTTGAGTTTACATTTTTTAATTTTACTTGATCTTAGTTATATAATTTGAACCCTTCCCATGCGTGAAACTGAAAGAATGTTGTAGGCAAGTAAGAGCATGATTATAGGGGGGATGTTACCTGAATCTTAGCTAACATCCCCCACAAAAAAAAAAAAAAAAAAAAATTAATCTTAGCTAAGGAACGTTCCTTAGCTTAGCTAAGATTAATTTTTTTTTTTTTTTTTTTTTTTGAGGGTTAAGAGGTGCCACGTGTCACGTTTTGATTGGGTGGATTTCACATATTCTACAGATACGTCTTCTAATTTCTTCGATAATAGAGCTCGAGTTCATGATCGAGGTATGCATCAACAATTGAAAAATGATTTGGTCGAGCATATATGGACAAAATATAGAAGAAATTAAGTTTAAAATATTTGTGATTTATGTTATAAATTGTATCTCATGTATGTTTTAATTTTTTTAATTTGCAACAATTATTAATTTTTCTATAATTATAAATTTTATTTTTATATTAATATTTTTTTTCTAAGAACCACATGTTAAGAGCCTACCATTAATCACACAAAAATCTTAACTCAAAAATAGTATCTCTTAACAATCACTTTTACAATTAAATTACTTAAATATTGCTAAGATTTATTTCTAAGAGCCTACCTATAATCATGCTCTAAGGTTATTGGTGAAGACTTAGCACCAAGTTTACACAGCCTATTAGACCCAAATAAATTGACCAATTTTATGTTATCTCAGTTTATAGTTTTTACTCATCATCAGCCTCAATGGAAAATGAATAATAGTTTTCTCTGAACCAGAACACCTACCCAAGAAAATGAAGTCTCTTCATTTGTTTTTGCTCCTTTTGGTCGTAGCTTTTACCGTTTCGAGATCCGTGGAAGCTCAGGATCAAGCAGGTTCTTGATAACATGATGTGTTTTTGTTTTGCAGGCAAAAAAAAAACACAATTGAATTTTTAACCATTCTTTTGAAAGTGTTTTATATTTTCTGTTGTTGATCATGAACAGGATTCATTAGCTTGGATTGTGGGTTGGTACCTAAGGAAGCTACTTATGCGGAGATTTCGACAAAAATACAATACAAATCAGACGCGGATTACATCGACAGTGGATTGGTCAAGACGATCAATGAAGCATACAAGACTCAGCTTGAGCAACAGGTTTGGGCTTTGAGAAGCTTTCCTGTGGGTGAAAGAAACTGTTACAACGTCAACCTTACGGCAAACACCAGATATTTGATCAGAGGAACCTTTGTGTATGGGAATTATGATGGCCAGAGTCAGTTCCCAAGTTTTGATCTTCATATTGGTCCTAACAAATGGACTTCTGTTAAAATTTTAGGAGTGACAAATATTTCTATGCACGAGATAATCCATGTCGTACCACAAAATATTCTGCAAGTTTGTCTTGTAAAGACAGGACCAACGATACCATTCATATCGTCACTAGAATTTCGTCCACTAAACAAGGAAACTTATAACACGCAAAGTGGAGCACTGATGTTGTACGCCAGAGTATACTTTCCATCGAAATCACCATCTTACATCAGGTAATATTTTTAGCAACATATAGTTTACTACTTGTTTTTCCTTGTGTGTGTTTTGAAATAACAAAAAGATCGTCTCTTCAGGTATGATGATGACATACATGACCGATACTGGAATTCATACACAGATAATGAAATCTTGTCAGTAAGCACAGACCTCCCAGTCGACATAAGTAACATCTATGAGGTGCCTGAATCCGTGATGAAGACTGCTGCTTTCCGTAAAACTGCTAGTGAGTCATTGTTCATATGGTGGCAGCTTGAGGACATCTCTGCGATGTTATATTTATATATGCATTTCGCAGAAATTCAGAATCTTAAAGCCAATGAAAGTAGAGAATTCAACATTACTTACAATGGTGGCAAGCTTTGGTATCCCCAGTTTAGGCCTCCCAAACTCAGCATTACAACCATCTTCAATCCAAAGGCAGTGAGTTCTTCCGATGGGAAATTTAATTTCACTTTCACAATGACTGGTAACTCAACTCTGCCTCCCTTTATCAACGCCGTCGAGATTTACACAGCTCTAGAATTTAAACAGCTCGAGACAAACAGGGATGAAGGTAAGCATGTTCTTTGCCATTCTTTAATAGAAATCATCTGTTTTTTGGTTTCTAAGATGGGTTTGAATGTGATGATCAGTTACTGCTATGATGAACATCAAGGAAACATATGGTTTGAGCAAAAAGATAAGCTGGCAAGGAGATCCGTGTGCTCCTCAGTTTTATCGGTGGGAAGGTTTAAATTGCAGCTATCTGGACTCCGAGTCATCACGGATCATATCCTTGTATGTTCTCTAATATTCTTGATCCTAATGTTCTCTGGTTTTGGTGCTTTCGTAAATCTTTGTATCGTTCCAATTTTATCGGATGTCCGAAGGGACACTTTCACATATTCTAACTATTATGGATACTTTTTTTGTTGTACAAACAAGGAAATTGAATGCGAGCGAGTTGACCGGTACCATAACATCTGAAATATCCAAGCTAACACAGTTGAGAGAGCTGTAAGCATCCGAATTGCAACACCGATAAAATTATTATGATTTATTGCAGTGGGAGAAAAGAATAAATTTAGTATGCTTTAATGGACAGAGATTTATCAAGAAATGATTTATCAGGAGATATTCCAGCTTTTTTTGCTGATATGAAGTTGTTAAAACTCATGTGAGCTTCTTTTCTTAATTCCTATCGTCCTCTCGCTCCTCTCTTTGTTCTGCTCTGAAAGTCTTTTTCTTTTGCAGAAACTTAAGCGGGAACCCGAGTCTTAATCTCAGAGTTCCTGACTCTCTTCAGAAAAGGGTAAACAGCAAATCTTTAACACTAATGTAAGATGATTGTACCCCCTTCAACAGTCCATATATGTAGTGTAACAATAAATCTATCTAATCTCTTCATTTTTTTTTTTCGGTTTCAAATCACTATTAATGATAACAGTTTGGGTGAAAACCTGAATCCCATTCCCAAAAAAGAGAGTAAAAAGGTTCCAGTGGTTGCTATCGCAGCGTCAGTGGCTGGCGTGTTCGCTCTGCTGGTTATATTGGCCATCTTTTTCCTTGTTAGAGGAAAAAAAGTGAAAAGTACTGATGGTAGGAATGAACCACCAGACTGGGTCTTGAGAATAATTTTAAAATGAAAACTTTCTGATTTTAGCCTATTCATTTCTGTACAAATTTACAGCTCCAGGACCACCCCCATCAGCAACTAGTGGTATAGTTAAAAGTGAGACAAGATCATCCAATCCATCAATCATGACAAAAGATCGCAGGATCACATATCCCGAGGTACTGAAGATGACTAATAACTTTGAGAGAGTTCTTGGCAAAGGAGGCTTTGGAACAGTGTATCATGGAAACTTGGAGGATGCTCAAGTAGCTGTGAAAATGCTCTCTCATTCATCGGCTCAAGGTTATAAAGAGTTCAAAGCAGAGGTACTTGAAGAAGAAATGGATCAATTAGTCGCTTCTTTTTAAGCATTAAGTTTCTCAATTATGAAATGGTCATTTTGAAATCTTTCTTAGGTTGAACTTCTTTTAAGAGTTCATCATAGACATTTGGTGGGACTTGTGGGTTACTGCGATGATGGAGATAACTTGGCTTTGATTTATGAATACATGGCTAATGGAGACTTGAGAGAGAATATGTCAGGTAAGCAATTTGACTAAGAGACTCTGATATAGTCAAGTTCATCTCCTTAAACAATTTAAAAACATTGAAAAACCGGTACAGGAAAAAGCGGAGGCAATGTCCTTACTTGGGAAAACAGGATGCAAATAGCTGTAGAGGCGGCACAAGGTGAAGAAATTATTCTCTCTACCTTTGTCTGAGTAAAATAGTGTTTCTTGATTTTCGGTTTATGATGTCTGAAAGCAAAATTGACATAAACAAAAAACATTGGTAACAGGACTGGAGTATCTGCATGATGGATGTACGCCTCCTATGGTCCATAGAGATGTGAAAACTACTAACATCTTATTGAATGAACGGTGTGGAGCGAAACTAGCCGACTTTGGGCTCTCGAGATCTTTCCCAATTGACGGCGAATGTCATGTCTCGACAGTCGTTGCGGGCACACCTGGTTACCTAGACCCTGAGTGAGTTGATCTATTAAAATTTTCAGAGTTGTATGGTTGAGGCCAAATAAGAATATGAATTTTTTTATTGATTTGTTACTCTTTTTAGGTACTATAGAACAAACTGGCTAAGCGAGAAGAGTGACGTGTACAGCTTTGGTGTAGTGCTATTAGAGATAGTTACAAACCAACCTGTTATAGATAAAACAAGAGAGAGACCTCACATCAATGAATGGGTTGGGTTCATGCTCAGTAAAGGAGACATCAAGAGCATCGTTGACCCGAAACTGATGGGGGACTATGACACAAACGGTGCATGGAAGATTGTGGAGCTGGCTCTTTCATGTGTGAACCCGTCTTCAAACCGGAGACCAACTATGGCACACGTTGTGACGGAGTTAAGCGAATGTGTGACCTTTGAGAATGCAAGGCGTCAAGGTAGTGAAGAGATGTACACAAGAGGTTCTACTGACTTTAGCCACACTTCTTCAGCTTCCGAATTCACCCCTGGAGCCAGATAATTTGAAAATATCTTTGTTGTGATTTAATGGAAAGTTATCTTGTTTCCTTTTTTTATTTCCCTTGTGAATTTCCTAATTTATGTTTTGAAGAAACAATGTAATAAATAATTTCTTTCGTATAAAACTATACGAGTGGTTCTTGATAGGTTTTCTCTGCAACTGCAACAAATAAATATTTTCTATATGGAGAAGAAAACAAGTACAAATCAGACACGAATTACATTGACAATGGATCCAACATGACTCTTAATGGTCAGTGCCATGCCAAGGCTTATAGAAGCTTGAGGCGAATTTTTTATATGATATTTAACGATAATAAAAATCAAAGCTTAAAACATTAAATATTGAACAAATGTGTTAACTATTTTCATAACGCTTTTTACCATCAAAGCTGTCATGTTTATTATTGCATATTCCATTAAGATTTTTTAGTAGTTCTAGTATTGTTTTGGCAAAAATAATCGATTCGTGAGAGTCTACGGAAAACAAGAAAAATAGTCGAATATTATCTCTTTATTGATCAAAGTATCGATTGCAAAATACAAGAATCAAGGCACAACGAATCAATCTATAAACCCTAGTCGCGTTTTAGAGTTGAGTCGTGTGTCTCGCCGTTTTGTGTAATCTCTTGTGTTTGCTCTCGATTTCCTGTCCCCTTTTTGTCGAATGGGACTCCCCTTTTATAGAGAAGTCTTGAGGATCCTAATCCTCGTGGGATTGGATTTGAGCCACCGCCTCTTCACATGATAAGGTCGTTTTAAATATTCTCTTCACAAGATTATCTCGAATATTCTCTTCACAAGATTATCTCAAATATTCTCTTGATAAAGTCAATAATTCTTGACATGATAAAGTCGTTTCTAGAATCATGGCCCGTATTGTCACGATTCTTGCCGGTTTGGCCCATATTGTCATGATTCTCACCGATCGCGGCACGTGACGATTTTTCCTAGAGTCTTCTAGATTATTAACACTTATTTTCTCTATTTAAGTAATTCTAACATATTTATGATATAATCTATATAGTATAATTTTGATGGTTAAAATTACACCCAACAAGTATTATTTTTATTATTTATTTTTAACTTTGTTTTTGGCTTCCGATTGAAATTCTTTAGCAAAATCAAAAACTTATCAAAATGTGAAACACATATTAAAAACAATTTTTAAATAGAAGACTTATCAACGAAAAAAATCCCTTAAAACTAAACAAGTATCACCAGTGTCATATAGTTATTAAAGTTTTGAATAAAATATTTATAACGTTGAGTAAAGAGAAAAGAAAAAAAACAATGATTGGTTTATTAAACCGCCAGAGATTTGGTCACAAATATAGTACTTCCTCTGTTTCTCATAGTTTGATTTTTTGGGTTTTCACACAAATTAAGAAAAAATAACTTTTTAACTCTATTATTATTTTTATGTTAGTTTCATAATATTATTTATATTTTTCTCCTCTTTCTATTAGTCACAAATGGAAGTAATAATGATGTTGCTACATAACATCAATCTTTCTCTTTGTGGAACAAAAGAAAAACCGAAAACATCAAACTATGAAGAACAGAGAGATATTCTTTAGTCACTAGACAAAACAATGATTTCGTATTTGGGATCCTTTGCATTTAATATAAAGTTGGGGGCATGAGGCAAATGCCTCATTCATAACATAATAGGTACGGCACTGTTAATGGTGGCCCGAATTGTACTCTTAATTAAACTTCAATTTTGCAATGACCGGCAATCGAACTCTTCCTTCTTATAAATGGCCTCAAGTTTATTTTTTTTTCTTTTTTTGTTCTATATAGTTTAATTATTTGATGTTTTTCTTGGTTGAGTGAGATTATTGTTTTTGTGGTGGAATCGATGGATTTCATTTCCAAGGAGAGTTGGCAATGGAACTGGAGGCGGTGGTGGTGGTCACGATTAGTAGACGAATAGTCATTTCATTCCATATATATTTAGAATTGAATTTTTTTTTTGATTTAAACAAATTTGAAAAATCAGCTGGCCCAATCCAAGACAAAGATAATTGCAATAGAGTGGCAGCTTGCCAAACAAATGCTGAAGCTGAAGCTGTAACTGAAGCGATGTGCACTATTGAATCAGTTACTGATATTGCAGGTACTAAGGATAATGCTATTCTTAGTGACCGTGAGATACGACACGTCCTTGCTGAAAACAAGTTTAGCCGTTTGGGCTCTTCTTTTTCTGATGGGGATTCTCTTAGCTCAGATGGAGACTCAATGGTTTCAGTTGATTCAGAAAGTGGTTCTGGATTGATGGAACTAATGACTCCTTATAGCCAACGACTTTTGCGCGAAAGACCGGTTAAGCCGTCCATCAAAGCTAAGGAGGTTCAAGCATCCTCTAATACTCGGGGAAGAGGTAACCGTGGACGCGGGAATCGTGGGCGCGGGAACCGTGGACGTGGCTAGTTCTTCCAAAAGTCAACCGAAGCGGAAGATTCGGTTATCATATTTATGTAATATTGGCCTTAGGCTTCGTATCTTGCATAAAAATACTGTGTGACTTTTTGTCATGGCTTATGTAAGGCTTAATAATAAAAAAAAAAAAAAAAAAAAAAAAAAAAAAATTGAAAAATCAGCGGAAGCAACTCTACAAGAATGAAACTAAAAAGCATAAATATGAATTACTATGTCAAGAGTGAAAACTTTGGTGTCAAGTTATTGGTGATACTATCATAAAATGGGATGCAAAATACATGTACGTATTCGGACGATCAGACGATGATGGAAAAATCTATTTAATGGATTTGTCATTACTATGTGCCAAATTTTTTAATCCATTAAATAGATTCTCCTCTTTTTTTGGAACACCAAAATAGATTCTCCATTCTTTTTTATCGCGTTGAACGTCGAGTATTTGGCACAATTGATTTAATCCATTAAATAGATTCTCCATTTAATTATGGTAAGTTTAGTATTATTTATATATGTTTGGTAATAGGTTTTATCATAATAAAAATAGTAGAGTGTTTGGAGAATAGAATAATAAAATTACATAAATAAAAATAAAAATATTGAAAAAGTCGTGGTTTTAATTCGCAAACAAAAACATTCTCTTTTAATATATAGAAGATTGGAAGATATCTAAAAGGTGAACTGATCTCATTCTTAACCTCTTCGTTGTTGAGACAAGGCCAAGTATTCATTTCAAATAATAGTCATATCTAGTATCCAATGGATGACTCGTTGACACGACCTGTGTCTTGGGGTTGGGGTTGGGGTTGGTCTAGATCTGCCACAATTAAAAAAACAAAGGTAAAAGATTTTTTTTCTTATGATGATAGGCTCATGTATATTTATTTATTTATTTTCTTGGATAGTTGAACGTCTTCAATCACTAAAGAAAATACTCAACTAAGTCTAAATACCAATAGTGCTAGTTATATATCATATCATGGCGAAATTAGATGCAATATATAATTAAAGTCAGCTCTTTGTAATTGTAGGCAACGAAGAATAATTTTTGGATTTACTTTTAGGGTGAACCATTTTATTCACTCACTTTTTCTCTAACTAGTTTCCAACCAAGAAATCAACTAAATAAATTAAACGCATTTAATTGTAAAATCAAATCTTTAATCACCTCTTCTATAAAATCGAAATAATATGGAGTGAGCAAAAGGGTTCATCCCTAAGGGGTGAACTCAAATATTTTCGGGGTTGGAGGAAGTCAGAGGTTACAATTCCCTTAATTGACTAGTTCATTAGACAACCACTTAAATTTCGTTAATTTTTTTCTAATCCACATAGGTTATATTTAACGCAAATTGAAGGTTTTAAAAATATGATTGATTTTGTTTTAAATTAATAAAAAGAAGTATTGATATATTAACAGCAATGGAAAATAAAAAATAGCGTTTTCTGAACCAGACCACCTTACCCAAGAAAATGAAGTCTCTTCATTGGTTTTTGTTCCTTTTGATCGTAGCTTTTACAGTTTCAAGACCCGTGGAAGCTCAAAATCAAGCAGGTTCTTGATAACATGCATAATGATGTTTTTGTTTTGCAACAAAAATAAAACAATTGACTTTTTAACTATTCTTTTGAAAGTGTTTTATATTTTTTTTGTTGTTGATCATGAACAGGATTCATTAGCTTGGATTGTGGGTTGGTGCCTAAAGAAACCACTTACTTGGAGGCGACGACGAATATAACATACAAATCAGACGCAAATTACACCGACAGTGGATTGGTCGGTAAGATCAATGATGCACACAAGAAACTGGTTCATCAGCAACTTTGGGCATTGAGAAGCTTCCCTGAGGGTGAAAGAAACTGCTACAACTTCAACCTCGTTGCGAACCGCAAATATCTAATCAGAGGAACTTTTGTGTATGGGAATTATGACGGCTTGAATCAACCCCCAAGCTTTGATCTTCACATTGGTACTAGTAAATGGACCTCTATTAAAATAGTAGGAGAAACAGATACCATAATGCGCGAGATAATCCATGTCTTAACACAAGGCCGTCTTCAAGTCTGTCTTGTCAAGACAGGAAGGACGACACCGCTCATTTCGTCGCTGGAACTTCGTCCTTTGAAAAATAGCACTTACGTCACGGAAAGTGGATCATTAGTCTTGTACAACAGAGTATACTTTACATCTGATTCTACATCGATCATCAGGTAATAAATAGCAAATCTTGTACCAAGAATTTTCAACTTGTACTTTGTATGTTTCGAGTTAACAAAAAAGAGCATCTCTTCAGGTACGCTAAGGACATAAACGACCGAATCTGGAATCCACTCACAGAAGATGATAGTACCGCATCGATAAGCACAGACCTAGATGTCAACACAAATAACATCTATGAGATGCCTCAAGTGGTGATGCAGACTGCTGCTATCCCTAAAAATGCTAGTGCGCCATGGAACTTATTGTGGACTATAGATAACACCACTGCGCTTTCATATGTATTTATGCATTTCGCAGAAATTCAGGATCTCAAAGCCAATGAAACTAGAGAATTCAGCATTACTTACAATGGTGGCACGCCTTGGTACGGCTGGTTTAGGCCTGCCAAGCTCAGCATTACAACGATTTACAGTCAAACCGCCTTGACTTCTTCAAATGGCGAGTATAATTTCACTTTAGCAATGACTGGTAACTCAACTCTTCCTCCCCTTATGCAAGCCCTCGAGATATATACAGTTGTAGACATTCTACAGCTTCAGACAGATAAAGATGAAGGTAATTGCATGTTCGTATGACATTCTTTCAACGAAATTATTTACCTTTTAATTTTTCTCTTTTTTTTTTTGTGGTTTATGAAATGTGATGATCAGTTTCTGCTATAATGGACATCAAAATGACTTATGGTTTGAGCAAAAAGATAAGCTGGCAGGGAGATCCATGTGCTCCTCAGCTATATCGGTGGGAAGGTCTAAATTGTAGTTATCCGGACACCGAGGCATCACGGATCATATCCTTGTATGTTATGTATTCTTCATCACAAGGTTCTTTGGTTTTGGTGCTTTCACAAATTTTAACCATTATGGATACTTGTTTTGTTCCACAAACATTAGGAACTTGAATGCTAGCGGGTTGAACGGTACCATAACAACTGACATTACCAAGCTAACACAGTTGAGCGAGCTGTAAGCATCCGAATTCTAACACCGATAAACTTATTGCAGTGCGAGAAAGTAATAACTCTGCACTTTCTCTCTTTAATGAACAGAGATTTATCAAACAACGATTTATCAGGAGAGATTCCAGCGTTTTTTGCTGATATGAAATTGTTGAAACTTATGTGAGCTTTCTTTATCACAGCCTCTCTTGTTCTATGGCTGCTTTTATTTTTCTGCTTTAAGAGATTCTGCCTTTTCTTCCATAGAATCTTAAGCGGAAACCCGAAGCTCAATCTCACAGTTCCAGACTCTCTTCAGCAAAGGGTAAACAGCAAATCTTTAACACTAATGTAAGATTATCATCCTTAACTTGATTCACTCTTGAGTCAATTGGAAAATATATCTCACTCCCTTCAGCAATCCTTATATCTCTTTTTTTTTGTTTTCTTTTCCCACTTTTAATGATTACAGTTTGGGTCAAAACCTGAATCCCACTCCCAAAAAAGAGAGTAAAACGGTTCTTGTGGTTGTGATCGCAGCGTCAATGGCTGGGGTGCTTGCTCTGCTAGTTATATTGGCCATCTTTTTCGTTGTTAGAGGAAAAAAAGGGAAAAGTACTGATGGTATGAATGAACCACCAGACTAGGTCTTGAGAATAATTTAAAATGAAAACTTTCTGATTTTAGCCTATTTATTTTTGTACGGATTTATAGCTCCAGGACCACCCCCATCAATCACTAGTGGTATAGTTAAAAGTGAGACAAGATCATCCAACCCATCAATCATGACAAAAGATCGCAGGATCACATATCCCGAGGTATTAAAGATGACTAATAACTTCGAGAGAGTTCTTGGCAAAGGAGGATTTGGAACAGTGTATCATGGAAACTTGGATGATGCTCAAGTAGCTGTGAAAATGCTTTCGGATTCATCGGCTCAAGGTTATAAAGAATTCAAAGCAGAGGTACTTGAAGAAAAAATTGATCCGTTAGTCCTTTTTTTTTCTTTTCTTATAAGCATTAAGTTTCTCAATCATGAAATGGTCATTTTGATATCTTTCTTAGGTTGAACTTCTTTTAAGAGTTCACCACAGACATTTGGTGGGACTTACTGGTTATTGTGATGATGGAGATAACTTAGCCCTGATCTATGAATATATGGCAAATGGAGACCTGAGGGAGAATATGTCAGGTAACACTTTAACTTAAGAGACTATGATTTAATCGAATCCATTTCCTTCCACATGCAGTTTAAAAACATTGAAAACCTGGTACAGGTAAACGCGGAGGAAATGTCCTTACCTGGGAAAACAGGATGCAAATAGCTGTAGAGGCAGCACAAGGTGAAAACAAAATTTACTTATTTTCTACCTTTGTCAGATTAATTAGCAGAAAATAGCTGTGGAGGCGGCACACGGTGAAGAAAAAACAACTTATTCTCTCAACCTTTGTCTGAGTCATTACCAAAAACTATTTTTTCTTGATGTTCTTTTTTCTATGATGGCTGAAAGCAAACCCGACCTAAACAAAAACCATTTGTAACAGGACTAGAGTATCTACACAATGGATGTAGGCCTCCTATGGTCCATAGAGATGTCAAAACTACCAACATCTTATTGAATGAGCGGTGTGGAGCGAAACTAGCCGACTTTGGGCTCTCGAGATCTTTCCCAATCGATGGCGAATGTCATGTCTCGACAGTTGTTGCGGGCACACCTGGCTACCTAGACCCTGAGTGAGTAGATGATCTATTAAATTGTAAAGTTGTGCTATTGTGGCCAAATAAGAATATGAATTGGTATATCTCTATGATCTTCTTTTCAGGTACTACCGAACAAACTCGCTAAGCGAGAAGAGTGACGTATACAGCTTCGGTGTAGTGCTATTAGAGATAGTCACAAACCAGCCTGTGATAGATAAAACCCGAGAGAGACCTCACATCAATGACTGGGTTGGGTTCAAGCTCACTAAAGGAGACATCAAGAGCATCGTTGACCCGAAACTGATGGGGGACTATGATACAAACGGTGCATGGAAGATTGTGGAGCTTGCACTTGCCTGTGTAAACCCATCTTCAAACCGAAGACCTACAATGACACACGTTGTGATGGAGCTAAATGAATGTGTGGCCTTAGAAAATGCAAGACGACAAGGTAATGAAGAGATGTATTCAATGGGTTCTGTTGATTATAGTCTCTCTTCTGCTTCTGAATTTGCCCCTGGAGCCAGATAATTTGAAACTATCTTTGATGTGATCTCTGTAAAGCTATCTTGTTTCCTTTTTCATTTCGCTTGTGAATTTCCCAATGTATGTTTTGAAGAAACAATATATAATTTCCTTCGTATAAAACTATTTGTACTCTTAATTATATTTCAATTTCGCGATGACTAGTAACCTAATTAACTCTTCATTCTTAGAAATGGCTTCAAGATATATAAAGTCTTAAACATTCCACAGCTTGAGACAAACCAAATGTAAATAGCTTAAGACAATTGCATAAAATAAGAGTCATAACACTGAATATTATAGCATCGTAAAAATTATAGATCACAGCCTAGATATTTCGCCATTATAAGTCGATATATGAAAGCGTTTTACTAATGCTATGGTAGAATACTCTATCATAGCATACGGAAAAAATGCTATCGTATGTGGAGGGTCTACCATAACAGGGGCATAAGACATCATTTATGAAAACGCTATAGATGACATATAATAGCTCTTCTCTCTTGCTAATAATGTAGATATTTCTTGTAGTGTTCTTAAACCCATTCTTTAACCAATATGTTTTCTATCATTATTTTTTATTTGGTTTGTAATATGATCAGTTTCTGCTTTGATGATTATCGACGAGAGAGTGTAAACTGTAGTTATCTTTGTAGATTTTCTTGAATAATATCACAAGATTCTTTGGTTCCGAGATTTAAATACTAACTGTATTCTTTAATCAGATAACACATTTGGGATGTTTTTGTTTTATAACTCGAGTTTGTTGCTCTGCTCAATACTCTGTTTTGATTACTCTGTTCTCAAACTATTGGTATTTAGAGATTTCTCTGAGAAAATAATAATTTATGCATAAATCTTAATATTGAATTCATCGAGCACAGAACTAGTGAAGGCTTAATAAAATACTACAAATCAGAAGTCAACGGCTAACTAAAATCATTGGAGGTTGTATTGGCATGCATAATTCAATTGGCTTGCACAAACAATATGATAATTAAAACTTATAACTTATAGTTTTAATAGACTTCTTGAAAGAGACACTACAAAGACTTTTTTTTTTTTTTTTGCTAAGAGAGTAATAAATATTATTATATGAAAGTTAGGTGTTACAAAATAGAGAAGACCTAAGAAATTGAACCTTGTCAAAATAAAGAATAAAAACCAAAAAGACACAAAGAGACAGATCAAACAACAATGCCATACAAAAGTCAACGTCAACGAGTACGTAAGATCATTCTTTGATGGTTGTGGTTTTTTTATGCACGTCTCCTATCTGGAAAATAACAGCATCTTATTTTTTAGTTGACTTAGTCAACGGGTTGATGATCTAGACTCTATAGGACATAAGAGAGAGTTTTCGACCACTAATATAACTTTTGTCATTTGTGGATTGATTTTTGTGCAAGACTCTCTGGCTCTGCAACTGCAAGTGACACGCTTTACTTGTTCTCCCTCTGTTTTCATAATTTTTTTGTTTGGGTTTCGTATCTTTTTATATATTTGATTTCACATTTTTTTATTTGATCTTAGGTTATATAATTTAAATCTTCCCACGCCTGAAACCAGAAAGAATGTCGTAGGCAAGTAAGGGTATAGTTATAATCTAATGTTGGAGACTTTTAGCACAAATTGACCAATATTATGTTATCTTCATTCTTTGTCCATGAACAGAAATGAACAATGAATATTGATAGCCTCCTCTGAATCTGACCACCTACGCAAGAAAATGAAGTCTCTTCATTGGATTTTGCTTCTTTTGATCATAGCTTTTACCGTTTTGAGATCAGTCAAAGCTCAAAATCAAGCAGGTTCTTGATAACATGATTATGTTTTTGATTACTCTGTTTTGCACACAATTATATGATTATAAGTATTTTCTTTGATGATTATATGTCTGGTGTTGATCATGAACAGGGTTCATCAGCTTGGATTGTGGGTTGGTGCCTAAGAACACAACTTATACAGAGAAAACGACGAATATAACATACAAATCAGACGCGGATTACATCGATAGTGGATTGGTCGGGAAAATCAATGATGCATACAAGACTCAATTTCAGCAACAGGTTTGGGCCTTGAGAAGCTTCCCTGTGGGTCAAAGAAACTGTTACAACGTCAACCTCACGGCAAAGAGCAAATATTTGATCAGAGGAACCTTTGTGTATGGGAATTACGACGGTCTGAATCAACTTCCGAGTTTTGATCTTCACATTGGTCCTAACAAATGGTCTTCTGTTAAAATACTAGGAGTAACAAATACTTCTATGCACGAGATTATCCATGTTGTACCACAAGATAGTCTTCAAGTTTGTCTTGTTAAGACCGGATCGACGACACCATTCATTTCGTCGCTCGAATTTCGTCCATTGAACAATGAAAGTTATCTCACGCAAAGCGGATCATTGATGTTGTTCGCCAGAATATACTTTCCATCTGGTCCATCATCATTCATCAGGTGATTGTAAGGAAATATGTTTTAGGAAAATATTTCTTGTTCTTTGTGTGTTTTGAGTTAAACAAAAATACCATTTCTTCAGGTATGATGAGGACATACACGACCGAGGCTGGAATTCATATTCAGATGATGAAACAGTCTCGATAAGCACAGACCTCCCGATCGATACAAGTAACTTCTACGACATGCCTCAATCCGTGATGAAGACAGCTGCTGTCCCTAAAAATGCTAGTGAACCATGGCTCTTGTGGTGGACTCTTGATGAAATCACTGCACAGTCATATGTATATATGCATTTCGCCGAAATCCAAAATCTAACAACCAGTGAAATCAGAGAATTCAACATTACTTACAATGGTGGTTTACGTTGGTACAGCTATTTTAGGCCTCCTAAACTCAGCATTTCAACGGTCTTTAATCCAAGGGCAGTGAGTTCTTCCAATGGGATATTTAATTTCACATTCGCAATGACGGGTAACTCAACTCTGCCTCCCCTTCTCAACGCCCTCGAGATTTATACAGTCGTAGACCTTCTACAACTAGAGACAAACAAAGATGACAGTAAGTGTGTTCTTATGCCATTCTTTAATAGAAATAGTCTGTCTTTTAAACTTTTTCTTGGTTTTTGAGATGAGTTTCAATGTGATGATCAGTTTCTGCTATGGTGAACATCAAAGAAACATATGGTTTGAGCAAAAAGATAAGCTGGCAAGGAGATCCATGTGCTCCTCAGTTTTATCGGTGGGAAGGTTTAAATTGCAGTTATCCGGACTCCGAGGCATCACGGATCATATCCTTGTATGTTCTGTATTCTTAATCACAAGGTTCTCTGGTTTTGGAATTTTCATAAATTCTAACCATTATAGATACATTTCTTGTTTCACAAACATTAGGAACTTGAATGGGAGCGAGTTGACCGGTTCCATAACATCTGACATATCCAAGCTAACACAGTTGACAGTACTGTAAGCATCCAAATCGCAACACCGATAAACTTAGTATGCTTTATTTCTTTGACTGTCTGTAATAATTCTGCTTAAACTTTGGTTTCTCTGTTTAATGAACAGAGATTTATCAAATAATGATTTATCAGGAGAGATTCCAGCATTTTTTGCTGATATGAAGTCGTTGAAACTCATGTGAGCTTCTTTTCACACTCTCGTCCTTTCTCTCTGCACTTATTGTTTTGCTTTGATAGATGTAGTCTTTTCATGCTCAGAAACTTAAGTGGAAACCCGAAGCTTAATCTCACAGCAATTCCAGAATCTCTTCAGCAAAGGGTAAACGGCAAATCTTTAACACTAATGTAAGATGATCATACTCCCTTCAACAGTCCTTATATGTAGTGCCACAGTAAATCTATCTAATCCCTTCTTTGTTTTGGTTTCCCATCACGTCTAATGATTATAGCTTGGGTGAAAACCTGAATCTTTCTCCCAAAAAAGAGAGTAAAAAGGTTCCGATGGTTGCTATTGCAGCGTCAGTGGCTGGCGTGTTCGCTCTGCTGGTTATCTTCGCTATATTGTTTATCATTAAAAGGAAAAATGCAAAAGCTAATAAGTGTATGAATCTCCACCAGGTCTTGATACAAGTGAAAAATGAAAACTTTTGCTCTGTTCATTTCACATATTTTATGGTATTATTTTACAGCTCCAGGACCACCCCCATTAGTAACTCCAGGTATAGTTAACAGTGAGACAAGATCATCCAATCCATCAATCATGATAAGGGAACGTAGGATCACATATCCCGAGGTACTGAAGATGACTAATAACTTCGAGAGAGTTCTTGGGAAAGGAGGCTTTGGAACGGTTTATCATGGAAACTTGGATGGTGCTCAAGTGGCTGTGAAAATGCTCTCTCATTCATCAGCTCAAGGTTATAAAGAGTTCAAAGCAGAGGTACTTCAACACATATGGATTTGTTAGTCCTTTTTTAAAAACATTACTTTCTCAATCATGAAGTTGTCATTGGACATTTTGTTATTAGGTTGAACTTCTTTTAAGAGTTCACCATAGACATTTGGTGGGACTTGTGGGTTACTGTGATGATGGAGATAACTTAGCTCTGATTTATGAATATATGGCAAATGGAGACCTGAGGGAGAATATGTCAGGTAACACTTTTAACTTAGAGACTTTGATTTAATCGAATCCATCTCTTTCCGTCGTTTAAAAATATTCAAAACCTGGTATAGGAAAACGTGGAGGCAATGTCCTTACCTGGGGAAACAGGATGCAAATTGCTGTAGAGGCTGCACAAGGTGAACACAAAGTTGACTTATATTCTACCTTTGTCTGATTTATTAGCAGAAAATATTGTCTCTTGTTGTTCGTTTTATGATGTCTGAAAGCAAACTCGACATAAACAAAAACCTTTTGTAACAGGACTAGAGTATCTGCACAATGGATGTAGGCCTCCTATGGTCCATAGAGATGTTAAAACTACTAACATCTTATTGAATGAGCGGTGCGGAGCGAAACTAGCCGATTTTGGGCTTTCGAGATCTTTCCCAATCGATGGCGAATGTCATGTCTCGACAGTGGTTGCGGGTACACCTGGTTACCTAGACCCGGAGTGAGTGAGATCAATCAAATTTTAAGAGTTGTGTTGTTGCGGCCAAATTAAAATATGAAAGGTTTTTATTCATTTGATACTCTTCTCAGGTACTACAGAACAAACTGGCTAAGCGAGAAGAGTGACGTGTACAGCTTCGGTGTAGTGCTATTAGAGATAGTCACAAACCAGCCTGTGATAGATAAAACCCGAGAGAGACCTCATATTAATGAATGGGTTGGGTTCATGCTCACTAAAGGAGATATCAAGAGCATCGTTGACCCGAAACTGATGGGGGACTATGATACAAACGGTGCATGGAAGATTGTGGAGCTAGCTCTTGCCTGTGTGAACCCGTCTTCAAACCGGAGACCAACAATGGCACACGTTGTGATGGAGCTAAACGAATGTGTGGCCTTAGAAAATGCAAGGCGACAAGGTAGTGAAGAGATGTACTCAATGGGTTCTGTTGACTATAGTCTCTCTTCTGCTTCTGAATTTGCTCCTGGAGCCAGATAAATTGAGAATATCTTTGATGTGATTTTATGGGAAAGCTATCTTGTCTTTATTTTGTTTCTTTGTGAGTTTCACAATGTATGTTTTGAAGAAACAATGTACATTCTACCTTCTTGGGTGCAGGTGTTTCTTTTGTGATAATAAAATTACAATGTGCCTAAATTTGTTACAAATTAAAGACAGCTATAGTCCCTGAAAATACTAGTGCGCTTTTGAATTTTGGATAGAGTTTCGATGATACCACTATGCTCTATGCAATACGCACTCATACATATAAATGGATTAATTTTAGGATCTTGAAACTATTGAAACCAGATAATCCTCAACATTACATTGGTACAACTTCTTTAGTCCTCAAAGACTTACGCGATAACAACTTTATTCAATCTAATGAGTTCTACTTATTGGAAACGCGATTTTACTTTTGCGATGAATGGTAACTAAACTCTTCCTCTTATAAATGGGATGGAGATTTATAAAGTCTTAAATATTTCTAACAGCTAATAAGTTAAGACACACCAAGGCGAATGTAAGTTCTTAAAACAAATTCTTTAACCAATATTTTTTTTAATTATTATTTACTCTTATCTGGTTTCTGAGATGTTTTTGTAATGTGATCAGTTTCTTCTTTGATAACTAAGTATCAAGAAAACAAATGAATTTAGCAGAAAGATCCACATTCTCCTCAATTATATCGATAGGACTGTGTAAACTAACTCTTTTGGATTACGTTTCTACTTTGTTGCTCTGTTTTGAAACTTTTGGTATTTACTATTTAGATATTTCTCTGAGAAAAATAAAGAGAAAAACTTTGTCTTACAATGATTAATTATGTAATACCCATTATTTTACAATTTACGTATTAATGCATCAAGCACACCACAACTAATGACAGCTCAATTTTCGGAAACCTACAAATTTAGAAGTCAAGGGCTGACTAAAACCATTGGAGAGGTTGCATTGGCATGCACAACAATTACAGGCCTCATTGTTATAAGAGACTTCTCAAACATGATCGTTGACTTTTGACGGTGGATCAAAGTCACAAACAAAGACACAAATTAGACAATGAAGTGCCATTCAAAAGTCAAAGTCAACGGGTCCGTGAGAACATTTGTGGATTAATACTACACCGTTATTTTGAGTTTACTTATAGTCAACGGTTTTTTTGTTCTAAAGGACATAACAGTAATAACTCTTGTCATTGTTGACGAAAAACAAATACTTCTTATCATTTTCTTCACCCAACTTGTTCTTTCGAATCATTTTGCATCGTGAAAAAATATTCTCAATCAATTATTTATTCAATCTCATTAATGTTATAAGCAGTTGACTTGGACTTTTGAGAAGTAGCTCATATAGTCATATTCTCATATGCACAGCTTGCTATCTTAAAAGAAAGCTCTCTCATTTGGACAGTAAGGAAAACAATGGAGAGATATTGTGTGTTAGTTGCCATTTTTTTGCTGATACTTCATATTGTTCAAGCTCAAGATCAAACCGGTACGTACAAATTTGTTGTTTTTAATCTATATATGTGTATACGGTTTCTTAGATTATAAGATATTTTTTTCATTGGTTGTCTTATTAGGATTCATTAGTGTGGATTGTGGTTTGCCACCTCGTGAGTCTCCTTACAATGAAGCCAAAACTGGTTTAACATACACATCAGATGCCGATTTAGTCAACAGTGGAAAAACCGGTAGAATCGCCAAGGAATTCGAATCTCTCGCCGATAAGCCGACTTTGACAATGAGATATTTTCCAGATGGAGTACGAAACTGCTACAATCTAAATGTCACCCGCGACACCAACTATCTGATAAAGGCCACATTCGTATATGGAAACTACGATGGTCTTAATGTTGGGCCAAACTTCGACCTTTACTTCGGTCCGAATTTGTGGACAACGGTGAGTAGTAATGACACTATAAAGGAGATCATCCATGTGACAAAATCCAATTCTTTACAGGTATGTCTTGTTAAGACTGGAATAAGTATACCTTTCATAAATGTTTTGGAGCTACGACCAATGAAGAAAAATATGTACGTTACTCAAGGCGGCTCACTGAATTACTTATTCAGGGTGTATATTAGCAATTCAAGTACTCGTATAAGGTAAGAACCGACTAAAAGTTTTATGTTCGATAATCATACGTCGATTGGTCATTTGCATTTAATTATATGTATATATGTTATAAAAACAAAATAATTTTTTTTGACAAGAACAGAACAATATTCCACATGTCAAAGTTGTTGCGTTTAAAACGATGGAAAGCCAAATGTCAGATTAGTAATGTGATCTAATACATGATTGTGCAGGTTCCCGGATGATGTCTATGATCGTAAATGGTACCCGTACTTCGACAACTCATGGACACAAGTAACTACGACTCTCAATGTAAACACAAGTCTTACGTATGAACTACCACAAGGTGTAATGGCAACAGCTGCAACACCCCTAAAGGCTAACGCGACCTTAAACATTACATGGACAGTAGAGCCTCCTACTACACAGTTTTACTCCTACATGCACTTTGCAGAGCTTCAGACTTTAAAGGCCAACGATACAAGGGAATTCAATGTGACGCTGAATGGAATTTATACATATGGACCTTATAGTCCTAAACCACTAAAAACCGAAACCATATACGACAGAGGCCCAGAGCAATGCGATGGAGGGGCATGCCTTTTGCAGGTTGTGAAAACACTGAAATCTACCCTTCCACCTTTACTTAATGCTATCGAGGCTTTCACGGTGATTGATTTCCCGCAAATGGAGACTAATGGGGATGACGGTATGTCGATTCTTTACATTATTGATCTTATTTACAATTTTTTTTGTGTTTATGTTTTGATTCTTGATATCACCAAGCTTTTACAGTTGATGCTATCAAGAATGTTCAAGATACTTATGGCTTGAGTAGAATTAGTTGGCAAGGAGATCCATGTGTCCCCAAACAGTTTTTGTGGGATGGTCTAAACTGCAACAACTCGGATAATTCTACGCCACCAATAATCACTTCCTTGTGAGATTAATCGTTCAAGACAATTTGTATCAATTTTGAATCATGTAAATTTTGTACTAATATCTTACACTTTTGTTTTCTAGAGACTTATCTTCAAGTGGACTAACTGGGATCATCACTCAAGCCATTCAGAATTTAACTAACCTGCAAGAACTGTAAGTATCTCAACCTAATTTTTTTTTGCCTTTGGAAATGAATCACATTTGACGTTCTTCTTTGTTATTGGTAGGGACTTGTCAGATAACAATTTGACTGGAGAAATACCTAAATTTTTAGGGGACATAAAATCACTTTTGGTCATGTAAGTTTATAATGAAACACGACAAATTAACTTTTTCTTTTGGTTAACTTTCTAAAAATAGTTTGGACTCTTTGTCTACTCCAACAGAAACTTAAGTGGTAATAATCTGAGTGGCTCAGTTCCTCCATCACTTCTACAGAAGAAAGGAATGAAGTTAAAGTAAACTATTGTTTTTCTTTCTTTTTGATTGTTATCACGCCGATTGATGTAATTGGGTATCTTTAACATCATTCGCATTTTTGCAGTGTCGAAGGAAACCCTCATCTTCTTTGCACAGCTGATTCATGTGTGAAAAAAGGAGAGGATGGACACAAGAAAAAGAGTGTCATAGTGCCGGTTGTTGCATCCATTGCTTCAATAGCTGTTCTTATTGGTGCATTGGTTCTGTTTCTTATTCTCAGAAAGAAAAAGTCGCCAAAAGTTGAAGGTATATATATTATCAATAAGCTCAAGAGTAATCAACATAAACTTAAGTACTAAATCTGACTACAATTTTTGCTTGAAACCTTAGGGCCATCACCATCTTATATGCAAGCATCAGATGGTAGATCGCCTAGATCGTCTGAACCGGCAATAGTGACAAAAAAGAGAAGGTTTACTTACTCAGAAGTTGCAATAATGACAAATAACTTCCAAAGAATCCTTGGAAAAGGAGGGTTTGGAATGGTTTATCATGGTTTTGTAAACGGTACAGAACAAGTAGCTGTTAAGATACTTTCCCATTCATCGTCTCAAGGATATAAACAATTTAAAGCGGAGGTAAGCTCTCACCTTCAACATTAGCTTGAACCGAAAACATTGATTCAACTTTTTTCTAAAGCTTGCATGAACATGTGAGTTCTGGTTTGGTGTTTAGGTAGAACTACTTCTTAGAGTTCATCACAAGAACTTGGTCGGTCTTGTTGGGTACTGCGATGAAGGAGAGAACCTGGCTCTTATCTATGAATACATGGCCAATGGAGATCTAAAAGAACATATGTCAGGTATAAAACAAAACAAATATGATATTGTTTGATTTTGTTTAGTTATGTGGAGGTAACATAAAATTTTGACACTAGTATGTTCCAGTTCTTTGTAGGTAAACATAAGAATTGAAATTAATCCCCTTTTTTTCTTATAAAACACAGGAACACGTAACCGGTTTATTTTGAATTGGGGAACTAGACTAAAAATAGTTGTTGAGTCTGCACAAGGTTGGTTTGGAGATTACCCCCTAGTATTTTCTATTTTTTTTTTTGTTTATTTGCTATTAATCAAAATGATTGTTGTGGCCTAGGACTTGAGTATTTGCATAATGGATGTAAACCACCAATGGTTCATAGAGATGTCAAAACCACAAATATATTGTTGGACGAACATTACCAAGCCAAACTAGCTGATTTTGGGCTTTCGAGGTCATTTCCAATTGAAGGTGAAACTCATGTGTCAACAGTTGTTGCTGGAACTCCTGGATATCTCGATCCCGAGTAAGTATTATGGCTTAAAATATTTTGTATTTTAATGAGAAACAAACTTTATAAATTTCTTCGTATTTTGTTTTCCAGATACTATAGAACAAATTGGTTGACAGAAAAGAGTGATGTTTATAGTTTTGGGATTGTATTGTTGGAGATTATCACAAATCGACCCGTGATCGACCAAAGCCGTGAAAAGCCACATATAGCAGAATGGGTAGGATTAATGCTTACAAAAGGAGACATCAACAGCATCATGGATCCTAGTTTAAATGAAGATTATGACCATGGTTCTGTTTGGAAAGCTGTTGAGCTAGCCATGAGTTGTCTCAATCCTTCTTCAACAAAAAGACCGGCCATGTCACAAGTTGTTATAGAACTAAACGAGTGTATGGCATCTGAAAATTCAAGGGGAGGGGCGAGTCGGGATATGGACTCGAAGAGTTCCATAGAAGTAAGCTTGACCTTTGATACGGAACTGAGCCCAACGGCTCGGTAATTTACCTAAAATAATTCTCTCGCCATATGTAACATGGATTTTTATTTATCTGTTTCTATTTGGTGTAACCAAATTTGTTATGTGATATTTATCTTGGTTTATGAGCAATGAACTTCTTTATTAAAAATATGAATATAAGTTCAAATCCTTTTTCTTTCCTCATATGATACTTCAGTTTAATTTTAGTTGAGAAATTAGGAGGTGAAGATGGAAAAAAGAAAAGTTAATAATCGTACTTTTTACAGCTCCAACCACCTCCATTAGTCGATGCAGGTATAATTAAAAGAGAGACAAATCATCCAATCCATCAATCCTGACAAAGGAACGTAGGATCACGTATCCTGAGGTACATAAGATGACTAATAACTTTGAGGAAGTTTTTGGGAAACGAGGATTTGAAAGAGTGTCTAATGAAAACTTGGAGCAGTCGACTCTTATATATAGTGTGACCAGAGAATTCTCAACAGCAATTAGGTGGTTGGTACTAAAATGCTCGCGATAACAACTGTATTCAATCTAATGAGTTGTGAAAATTGTAAAAAAAATTTAACATCCTGACCGCCATTATTCTTAAGCTCCCACGTCTTTTTCGGTTTGTAGGTTTACATCTTGTATATGGGCTCAAAATATTTGTTTACAGATCCTACAAATCACGATTAAGATCCTTTCGCCTTAATTAAAAACTGTTGACCAAAAAAAGAAAAAATCAATTCGCGTTTGATCATTATTTACATTGTATATAAAATCAATTTCGTGTAGGTCACCCATTATGAGATGGCTCAAGCTCAAACATGTTCAACTCTAAACTTCTATCAGAATGTTTGACAAAAAAAAGTATATTATTGTGACATACGTAGTCAAATCAATTCTTTTAATCGCTCCTCATAGATGTCTAGAAATTTAGACATTACAATCACCCCACTTACCAAGACGACGAACTTCACAAAGGCGGTCTGAAGCCACTTGAATCCACACCTGTCTGGATTCAGCTTTGATACCACGCCTTTTCTCAGTCTGTGGGCCCTACCCTCGGGCTCTACCCACGTACAATGACCGATATATACGCTACTATAGCAGACTCGAAATAGTAGTTTATTGATCTTACAAATCACAACAAGATATTTCTTGTACTTTGTTCTTACACTCACAAGATACCAAAAAACACTTTTTAGTCTGTCAGTCATCCTAAAATTGCTCTAACTCAAATAAGTTTAACTTTAAAAATCTATCAGGATATTTGACAGAAAATATAAGTACACTTAATTTGGTAGCCGATTCAATTCCCTTAAATACTAGTAATGCACCAACATATTTTACGAAATCGAGGTATAACAAAGTTCAAGTTCACTTCTGCGATAATCGGTAACTCAAAAAGACTATATAAAGTCTCAAAAAATCCATAGTTTGATACATGTTATGTCGTTTTGATGAAGTCTTAGAATTACCGATGGGAAGGTGTATTTAAGCTGAAATTATCTAAAAACATTTATAATTATATCTTGTATTCATCAAGCACATAACTAGTGAAGGCTACAGTTTCGGGTCAACGGCTGACTTCAAATCAATTACGAAATTTCATCTATCTAGTAGACTAGTACATATTAGGTTGCTTAGACGTTTTGTCCACTTAATTTTTTTAATTTGATATTAATTCATTTTCCTGTCTGATCATTTAAAACTTGTATTTTCAGTGACTATCTACAATTTTTTAATAGCGAACATCTAAGTTAAATTTTATTATTTTTATGACACTACATTTAAAAAAAACGAACAAAGTTTTATACTCTTAACAAAGGTTAAATATTTTGTTTGTAATATATATATATATATATATAAACTGCTTTTATTTTCTTTCTTTTTTTAATTATAAAATGTATATTATTATTTTCACGTTATATATATAATATACTAACTAGATCATCACCCGTACTAAAGTACGGGTTGAATTTTATTTATTACAAAATTTATATAGTATATATATTAGAACTAAGTTTTAATATATTATAATACAAAGTAAAAAAATATTAATTTTTTTGTCAGTCCCTATATACAATATTAGAACAAATATAGATTTTTTTCTATAATACTCAATTATGGATAATTTTTTTTTTAAGATATGAAAACGGAAAATAATTTAATTTTTTGAAAAGTAATATTTTTTTGAACAATGAGTTAATTTATGTTAATAACCACAAAATAGGATTGCATATATTTTAGTTAGAATTAAAATATCATAAATAAATCGCATATAAAACATAGATTATTTTGAATTAATTAAGAAATTAGCTATTATTTTGAATTAATTTAGAAAATTCTTTTTCAATTTATAATTCTTTGGTTGTTGAAATAGAGATTTGTTTGAGCTAATCTAATTACAGAATTTGTTTGAGATTTATAATTAGAGAATTTACCAATTATTTGCATAATCGAATATGTTATAAACATATATTTAGTATATAATAAGGGAGACTCACAAAAATGCCCCTTTTTCAATACCCCTTTTCAAAAATGTCCCCTTTGGCTGTCCATTTTTAAAAATACCCCTTTTTTATGTACAAAATGACTAAATTACCCTTCTTTTAATAAAAGATATCACAAATATATAAGGAAATATAACAAAATTAGGTCCACAAAATACAAAATATTTTTTAGCGGGAAAAGTGATCCCACAATTTTTCCCGCCAAAACACTTGTAAAAACTTGTAAAACCTTTAAAATACCTTGTAAAATTTTCCCGTAAAATGTTTTCCCGCCAAAAATTTTTTTTTGCAGGAAAAGTGATTTCGCAATTTTTTTGGCGGAAAAATTTTTGGCGGGAAAAATTTACAAGGTATTTTAAAGGTTTTTTACAGGGTATTTATAAGGTTTTACAATGTATTTTAAAAGGTTTTACAACGTATTTATAAGATATTATAAGATTTTACAAGCTATTTTATAAGGTTTTACAAGTTATAAGGTTTTACAAGTTTTTTATAAGGTTTTACAAGGTATAAGTACCTTGTAAAACCATTTAAAATACATTGTAAAACCTTACAAAACACTTGTACATACTCTGTAAAACCTTTAAAATACCTTGTAAATTTTTTCCGCCAAAACTTTTTCCGCCAAAAAAATTTCGCCAAAAAAATTGCGGAATCACTTTTCCCGCAAAAAAAATTTTTTGGCGGGAAAAATTTTTACGGGAAAATTTTACAAGGTATTTTAAAGGTTTTTACAAGTGTTTTGGCGGGAAAATTGCGGGATCACTTTTCCCGCCAAAAAGTATTTTGTATTTTGTGGACCTAATTTTGTTTCAAATAAGGGTAAAATGGTCATTAAAAATTAAAAGAGGGCAAACTTAAAAATGGACTCTCAAAGGGGGCATTTTTTGAAAAGGGGTATTGAAAAATGGGCATTTTTAACAATTTCTCATATAATAATACCAAAATCAACCTGTGCGTGGAGTCTATATTTTTATTTTAGAATCTCAATATTTCATTTTAAAATATTGCGTACACAATCTATTATTCGTTAATTCTAAAATTGCTTGCGGAATCAAATTTTCAAATATTTAGAGGTGTCAAACCATATTTAAATGTTCTACACTATTTTTAAATATTCCAAATTAAAATCTTTAAATTTTTTTGTAGTTTATAAATTTTGAATTTCAAAAAACAAATTATATGAAATTAAATATAACTATTCAAATAGTTATAAGGATCAAAACTCATTTCATCATATAATATATTATATTTAACCTGCTACCTATTATAAATATTTTTTAAAATAATCAAATTAGAGTATTTATGATTTTTAACTTTTTGAACTATTAAGTATTGATGATATTCTCTAAAAATATCAAGTAAAACTTATTTTAAATGTTGCAAATTAAAATATTTAATTTTTATTGAAGTATATAAAATTATACATTTCAAAAAATAAATGTATGAAATCGAATATAAATATTCAAATTCTGACCCGTTGCTCAGTCGAAATTTTTGTTGAATTTATTTTTGTGTAAAAGAAATATATTACTCAAGTCTGAATTTTGACCCGTTTAATTGTTTTCTTTATAGATTGAACAATTTATATGCGTTTTTAAAAATTCAAATCTTGGCATATGCAGAAAAAATTACTTTTTTTTATTATATAGATGATATGATGATTTATTTGTTTCATATAAATATAATCATATAAAGATGAGAGGTGAAGTTTAATGATTAATAACAAATTAATATGATAAGTTAGATATCAAATCTTATATATTCATTTTGATTGGTCATTTAAAAAAAATTAATAACAGATTTTCGTTTTATAATTTAATTAAATTAATTAAATGACATAAATTAGTATTTTATTTGTTTATCCTTAAGAAATTGAATAAAATTTGTTCTAAAAGAAGAAATTTGTAATGACATTCTCATGTAATTTTTTACAAAAGAGAAGGTTAGTTAAGGGTTTCTTATAAAGTGTACTCCCCAAATAATAGTATAGGATTAATGTTAGAAACGCCAAAATTTTCTAAAATGCTCAGATTCTAGCTGCTAGATTATTTGAAAAATCAAAATATTTTGTCTAAAAACACTGGATGTGTAATATATGAAGTACTAAATTAAATTCATCAAGCACACAACTAGTGAAGGCTCCATTTTTGGTCATACAAATTTGAAATTAATTACGAAATTTCGATAAAAAAAATTCAAAGTCAGCAAATACGTCGACCACACCGAAATTGTAGCGTGTAGTTTTTGAGTTGACTTAGCTCAGAAACAAAAATTGATGTGGAAGCAACAAAATTAGAATCTCGTACATGATATCTAACTACGTGCATCATATGCGATTATAATGAACAATTTCTACAAAAAAAATGATTTGAAAGTGCAGTTTTCTATACAACACTCGGATCTTCAACGAACGGTTCTCCATGTACGATATTCCCATCCAGCGATAGACATGTTTTCTGGGCAACACTCGATACCACTTCAAATGGCTTTGTGTATGGTACTCTGGACCTCCTATAAGTTTTGGATCTTCAACAGACTCTCCATATACGACATTCCTACGATGGACACGTTCTCCTCGTAACATCCGAGACAATTCCGAACGGCTTTGCATGCGGTCCAATTGCATTACTACTCTAAAAGAAACTGTGATCTGGGAATCAAACTCATACCTAATTTAAAAATATTAATGAATCCTTGGTTAACCAATGAACCGAGTGGACTTCCACATTTCCTCTGATCTCTTACGTAACATTTTCTTATTATTCTTAGTTTTAAATATTCATTTTTACCTTACCATTTTATTATCATTATATTATTAAGACAAGTACTCTTGTCATTGTTAATAACAAATAAAATAAAATAACACTTGTTAATTTCTCGCAACTTTCTCTATCAAATCATTCTGTATCGGTAAGGAAATGTTATTTATTCAACCAATTCTTTAATCTTATAATGAGTTGACAGTGAAATTTGTTAGTGGCTCATATAGTTGTATGGATAGCTTGATATCATCAAAAAAAAAAAAAGCTGTCATTTGGACAGCCAGGAGAACAATGAAGAGACGTAGTGTGTTCGTTGCCATTTTTGTGCTGATAGTTCATCTTGTTCAAGCTCAAAATCAAACCGGTAAGCACAAATTTGTTGGTATAATCTATGTGTGTGTGTTCTTCAACGGTTCTTATAGTTTATTAGACTATTAAATAATAATTCATCTATTGTCGTCTTAATAGGATTCATCAGTGTAGATTGCGGTTTATCCCCTCCCGAGTCACCTTACAATGCACCTCAAACAGGTTTAACATATACATCAGATGCCGGTTTAATAAACAGTGGGAAGACTGGTAGAATCGCCAAGGAATTGGAACCATTCGTCGATAAGCCGGCTTTGACAATGAGATACTTTCCAGACGGAGTACGAAACTGCTACAATCTAAATGTCACCCGTGACACCAATTATCTGATCAAGGCCACATTCGTTTATGGAAATTATGATGGTCTTAATGTCGACCCGAACTTCGACGTTTACTTTGGTCCGAATTTATGGACAACGGTGAGTAGTAATGACACGACAGAGGAGATCATCCATGTGACCAAATTCAATTTTTTGCAGATCTGTCTTGTTAAGACGGGAATAAGTATACCGTTTATAAATGTTTTGGAGCTACGACCATTGAAGAAAAATGTGTACGCTACTCAAAGCGGTTCACTGAAGTACTTATTCAGGGTGTATATGAGCAATTCAAGTCGTCGTATAAGGTAAGAAACGATCTAAATTTTTATCTAACATAAACATATGTCTCGATTGATTGTTTAATTTATGTTTATATTTCATTTACTAATAAATTTTCTATGGGTCGTTAAAAAGAAAAAAAAAAGGTAATCAAATTTTTTGAACTTATAAACGCGAAATCAAAACTACAAAATCAGAAAGTGGTCTTTTGTGTTTTCATTTATAATTTGTAAGAAAAAGTGAAAAACATATTATTATTTCTGTTAAAAATACCAATACTTACATGTCAATATATAGTTTTTGCTTTTAAAACGATAGCCATATGTCAGATTAGTAATGTGATCTAATACAAGATTGTGACAGCTTTTTTTTTGCTAAACGATTGTGACAGGTTCCCGGATGATGTCTATGATCGGAAATGGTACCCGGTCTTCCAGAACTCATGGACGCAAGTAACTACGAATCTCAATCTAAATATTAGTACTATATATTATGAACTACCACAAGGTGTAATGGCAACAGCCGCAACGCCGCTAAACGCTAATGCGACCTTGAACATTACATGGACAATAGAGCCTCCTACTACACCATTTTACTCCTACATTCACTTTGCAGAGCTTCAATCTCTAAGGGCAAATGATACACGAGAATTCAATGTGACGTTGAATGGAGAATATACATTTGGACCTTATAGTCCTAAACCGCTAAAAACCGAAACTTTACAAGACTTAAGCCCTGAGCAATGTACTGGAGGGGTATGTATTTTGCAGCTCGTGAAGACGCTGAAATCAACTCTTCCGCCTTTACTTAATGCTGTTGAGGCTTTCACTGTGATTGATTTCCCGCAAATGGAGACAAATGAAGATGATGGTATGTCTTTTTTACATCATTGATCTTATCTACAAGTCCTTGTGTTTATTTATTCTTGATATCATTAAGCTTTGCAAATGCAGTTACTGGTATCAACAATGTTGAAAACACTTATGGATTGAATAGAATCAGTTGGCAAGGAGATCCATGTGTCCCCAAACAGTTTTTGTGGGACGGTCTAAATTGCAACAACTCAGATATTTCTACACCACCAATAATCACTTCCTTGTGAGAAGATTCAATTGATCATTTCTATTATTTTTAATCATATCAATTTCATATCTCACACTTTATGTTTTCAGAGACTTATCTTCAAGTGGTTTAACTGGGGTCATCACACAAGGCTTTCAAAATCTAACACATCTTCAATACCTGTAAGTATCTCTGCGGCTGACCAGACCTCAAATTCTTTTCACTGTTGGAAATGAATCATAGTTGATCTGTTCTTTATTATTATCCTTCGCTAGGGACTTGTCTGATATCAATTTAACTGGAGAAATACCTAAATTTTTAGCTGACATACAATCACTCTTGGTTATGTAAGTTTCCTTTTTGCCTTTTACCTTTTTCATGGGACATTAATGCATGGTACATTACATGTTTTTGCCTTTTAACTTTTTCTCTATAATTTTGCTTTAACTTTCTTCAGAACATGATTGCTTATGTTTTGACTCTTCAACAGAAACTTAAGTGGTAATAATCTCACTGGCTCGGTTCCTCTCTCACTTCTTCAGAAGAAAGGCTTGAAATTAAAGTAAACTACTTTCGTTTTTTCCGGAATTTTTTCCAATAGATATGTTTACTACGTCTTTAACCACAGAAAATGTTGCAGTGTCCAAGGCAACCCTCATCTTCTTTGCACAGATGGTTTATGTGCTAACAAAGGAGATGGACATAAGAAAAAGAGCATCATAGTACCAGTTGTCGCATCGATTGCTTCAATAGCTGGTCTTATAGGTGCATTGGTTCTTCTTTTTATTCTCATAAAGAAAACGCCATTAAAATTTGAAGGTATATATATAATAACTAAGCTCAAAAGTAATATCACTATATACATAAATATCAAACTTAAGTTCTAATTCGGACTACATTTTGTTTTTTTGTTTTGCACCACAATCATATGTACAAGCTTTAGATGGTAGATCCCCTAGATCAGCTGAGTTATGATAATGACAAATAACTTCGAAAGAATCCTTGGGAAAGGAGGGTTTGGAATTGTTTATCATGGTTTTGTGAATGGTACTGAACAAGTAGCTGTTAAGATACTCTCCCATTCTTCATCTCAAGGATATAGGTGCTGTTCGTTTTTCCATTGAGATGGATCATCCAAATGAAGATGAAAAATGATGTTCTTTTTTGACCATTTAACAGATCATTGAGATGAATCAGTTGAATGAACTTTACTAAACTCATCCAAAAATTTTGAAAATTTTGACTGAGTCTGATTGGTGCAGTCAGCTGGAGATGGTTCAGCCAAATTTTGGAAATGTCAAAAATACCCCTAATGAAACTCAACAATTACACATCGATTTTCTTCTCTTCTCTCGGCGACGACAAGCTCTGTTCTCTCTCACACGTCATTTTGATCTCTCTCGGCGATGAAGCTCTCTCTCGGCGGACGAAGCTCTCTCTCGGCGGACGAAGCTCTCTCTCGACTCCTTCTCCTGGTTAGTTCTCTCTCACAGATTCGTTGTGTCATAGTCTCGTCGATTTTGTTCTCTCAGTCTTGATGCAACTTCATCTCTTTGTTCTTCGCTTTCGTTATTGTTGATTCTGCATATGCTTCCTTTGATTTCACCTTGTGGGTTTGTCCAAATTTCACTTGTTTTGTTCTTATTGTTGATGCCAACCAAGTGTTTGATGAAATGCCTCACAAAATCAGTGGTTGGTTTGTTTTTGGTAGAGCTTGTAATTACTTGTGTCAGCGATCAATGACTATTCTTAATTCTGCTAAGTGTGTGTTCTCTAATGTTTATGAACGTTAATTCAATAAATACAAGCTAATCTGGAGCATTAGAGTGTTATAGAACTCAAATGGTTGATACTGGATTTTAGATTACTTGTTGATTATGTGTCTGCGTCGGTTATGAAAGCTTTGGTTGCTTTAGTTTAATTTGCTTCTTGATAAAATATAGTTTAGTCGTTGCTTTTTCTGTACCTTTTTCTTTTCTTGTTATGTCTTCTTCTTCTTTCTTCTCAAGAGAATATATGATCTCTTGAAGCTTAAAACCCGATAAAACCTAAGCTCAATTTGTATGAGAATGGAATCTTAGCATTGTTTAAGCTTATGGTTGGATTGTTCTAAAGCCTTTACAGATTCTTAAACTCTTTTGTCATTTATTCACTTTATTGGAGACAGTCTATAAAATGTGTATTGTTGTTTGTCATTGGTAGATTGTTCTAAAAACATGAACAATAACTTCAGGTTTCTTCTTTTGTTCTGGTTTTGTGGTGTAGGCCTTAGATGTGTTTATCTTATATCTTTCCCTTTGTGTTCGTTATCTTATAGATCTATTGCTAGTTTAACTTTTCTCCTCATTTCCCACTGTTTGCTAGTTTAAATTTGCTTTAAAGACGATGCAACAAGGTCAGGAGAAGAAGGTTGGTTTCTTATTGTTTTCTTTGATCCCTTTTTTTCTTATTGTTACATAATTTTATCCGAGATTCACAGCAAGAAGATAGTGATTTTAAACATTGGGAAATGGTGGAATCATATGAGCAGCATGGTGATGAAAATGATGGGCATGTTCCATATGTACCTTCTGGTGACAGAATTATGGAGGCTATGCGGGATCCTGTTAAATCTCTTTTGGTTCAATAAGATTGGTACTTTAGCTGAGTTTTGGTAGGGATTTTCTGTGAGAATTTCTGTGTTGAATTGGTGTCAACTTTAAGAATCGTATGAAGTCTGTTGCAGATGTTGCAGGTTGATCTTAAGGCTGAGGCAGAGAAGACTGATGGTGGTGTTGGAACTGGTAACCAGAATAAGGTATGTCATTATTCGTATAATCTCTACTTGTTCTTCAATAGTAATTGGTTCTCTGTTCAATCAAATCATTGTTTGTACTGATAGGTTTAGTAAATGCACCAAAAGTAGTGGTAATGAATTTATCTTTGGTTATGACAAAAAAGTTTAGCTTCTGGGATCTTGCTTAGCCTCTTGAACTTTAAGGCTATTGAAATTGCTTTGTTTTGTCATGGTGATGATTGTGTGACGATTGCTTTGTTTTTGTTTCAGAATTTGAAGACTTTGACAAAGGAGATGATCTATATGAGGCTCGGGTTGTATTGTTATTAAGATTTTTGAAGTTTATGTTTGGTAATGATGTTGGCTCTTCGTTAATTGTCATAACATATGTTTTGGTTCTTATAAAAAAATCAATTTCATGAAAATGGAAATTTATAAAGGTCAAATATAATAATTTGAAATTTGTTTGGTTGTAAAATATATTTGATCAATAATTAAAATTAATATAGTTAAGATTAAAAATTAAAATATAATTAGATGAAAACATGGGCATTTTAGTCATTTTTCTAATAAAAACATCTAGATGAGAATGGTTCTCAACCAAACAAACAAAGTTTTAACCAAAAGCAGTTAGATGGATCATCCAGATGAACCACCAAAAATGAAAACGAACATCATTCAGATGGATTAGCCAAATAGATCATTTGGATGAAGCATTTAGATGCATATCCCAAATGAGCAAACGAACAGCCCCATAAACAATTCAAAGCTGAGGTAAATTCACACTTTCATCACTATCTAAAATGTAAGCATCAATGATTCAAATTTTTTTAAGGATATATAACTTTTGATTTCTGGCTGGGTGTTTAGGTAGAACTTCTTCTTAGAGTTCATCACAAGAATTTGGTAGGCCTTGTTGGATACTGTGACGAAGGAAAGAACTTGGTTCTTATCTATGAATACATGGCCAATGGAGATTTAAAAGAACACATGTCAGGTAAGACAATAATGACTAACTGTATTTTATAAGTTCTATAGTACATATATAACACTTTAGCATTTATCTCAAAGTGTTCTTTTAAAACACAGAAACACGTAACCACTTCATTTCAAATTGGGGAACTAGACTAAAGATAGCCGTTGAATCTGCCCAAGGTTGGTTTAGAGATTATTTTCCATCATTTGTTCTTATATCTATGTTTGTTTCAAATTTTTTTTTTTTTCATTTACTTGAACTTTGCAATATTGTAAAAACTAATGTTTGTGGCATAGGACTTGAGTATTTGCATAATGGATGCAAACCACCAATGGTTCATAGAGACATCAAAACAACAAATATATTGTTGAATGAACAATTTGATGCCAAACTTGCTGATTTTGGGCTCTCGAGATCGTTCCCGAATGAAGGTGAAACTCATGTGTCAACAGCTGTTGCTGGAACTCCTGGATATCTCGATCCCGAGTAAGTGTTACCTCTTAAGAGATTATCCTTTTCCTTCAATGACAAAGCAACAACATAAAATTTGTTATCTATTTTGTTTTCCAGATACTACAGAACAAATTGGTTGACAGAAAAGAGTGATGTTTATAGTTTTGGGGTCGTATTGTTAGAGATTATCACAAACCAACCCGTAATCGACCAAAGACGTGAAAAGCCACATATATCAGAATGGGTTGGGAAAATGCTTACAAAAGGAGACATAAAAAACATTATGGATCCAAGTCTAAATGGAGATTATGATTCCACTTCTGTTTGGAAAGCTGTTGAGCTAGCAATGTGTTGTCTTAATCCTTCTTCAGCTAGAAGACCGACCATGTCTCAAGTTGTTATTGAATTAAACGAGTGTTTGGCATCTGAAAATTCAAGGGGAGGAGCCACTCGAGACATGGACTCGAAAAGTTCTATAGAAGTAAGCTTGACCTTTGGTACCGAAGTGAACCCAATGGCTCGGTAGTTTCATGAATAATTCTCCTGCGATATCATCACATGAATTTTGTTAATCTGTTTCTTTTATGTAATCAACTATGTGTCTCTAATGTATCTGTCACATTTGTTAATGAGCTATGAACTTCTTTATTGATACATGTGAATAAAAGCTTAAGTCTCTTTTTTCCCTAATATCACTCTTTATTTCAAATTCAACATTACATGAAAAAATGGTTTTTATAGAGAAGAAAAATTTATCTGGATATTGGCATAATAAGAGTATCAATAACTAAGACTATTTTTATTATCTGACTTCAGCTTGTTTTTGAATTCTTGAATAGTCTCTTTCTAAACACTATGTAAGAATTAAGTGGATACATATAAGCATATGACTATCATTGCATTTTTCTCTCTTGAATGTACATGGTTGCATCGCTGTCACTTCTTTTGCATCATTCTTCGATGAAAATTGAGTCAATCTTAGTGTACCTTGCTCTTTATGCTTGTTGAAGACCATATAATGTTTTACTTAGTATAAAAACTTTGTGTTTAGCTAGATCCCTCTTAAATGTATCCTTGTGTGGTTAATCGAAGTATACTTCTTCAGTGATTTCTTCATTTTAAAAGTAAATGATTTTTACATAGTTGATGTAAATTCTATTTTTACATAGTATCATGTCTTGAGATAAGTGAGGCTTCTCCATAAGATTGTGTACACCCTCTTGCAACCAACCTTGCTTTTATCTTTTGCCTTTCTTCCGTGAAACACGTACGATTTTTGTCGATCATCCAGATTTCTTCATTATATAGCATAATGAATTTGGTTTATGGAAATTCGCTAAACTAAAATTTTCCACCAAAAAGTATATGTATATGACTAAAATCATTGGAGGTTGCACTGGTATGCACAAACACTATAATAAATAAACTTGACGTAATTTGAGTTTCAGAGATATTAGGGACTTCTTCAAGATACACTATAAGCCTTTTGACCCCAACAAAAAGCAAAAAAAAAAAAAAAAAAAACGATGTACTATAAGCTTTATGATCGTTGACTTTTTGACGGTGGAGATTCAATTACGAAACTTCATCTATGAAGAACGAATGAATCGACATATAAAAGTCAAATTCAACGAATATGTAAGATCATTCATTAGAACTTACTTAGAAGTTATGGTTTAATGCACGTCTCCTTTCAAGTTATTATTCCTCGTTTTCAGACGTCGACTACACCGAAAACAAAGCGTGTTATTTTTGCGTTGACGGTTTAGTGGTCTAAAGTACATGGGAGTGTTTTCGACCACTAATAACTCTTGTCATTGTTGACGAAAAAACAAAATAATTTGTCTTTTTCTCACAACTTGTTCTATCGAATTATTTTCCATCCTGAAAAAAATTTCTCAATTATTTATGTAGCTGACTTAGGACTTTTAATAAGTGGCTCATATAGTCATATATACTCATATGCATAGCTTGATATCTAAAGAAAACGCTCTTTCTTTTGGACAGTAAGAAGAAAAATGGAGAGACATTGTGTGTTTATTGCCACCATTTTGCTATTACTTCATCTTGTTCAAGCTCAAAATCAAACTGGTACGCACAAATTTGTTGTTTTAATCGATATATGTGTTGTTAAACGGTTTCTTAGATGATACGTTATTATTTTTTCATATATTCTCTTATATATTAGGATTCATTAGTGTGGATTGTGGTTTATCCCCTCTTGAGTCTCCTTACGATGCCCCACAAACGGGTTTAACATATACATCAGATGCCGATTTAGTAAACAGTGGGAAAACCGGTAGACTCGCCAAGGAATACGAACCGTTCGTTGATAAGCCGACTTTGACACTGAGATACTTTCCCGAGGGAGTAAGAAACTGCTACAATCTAAATGTCACCCGCGACACCAACTATTTGATTAAGGCCACATTTTTATATGGAAATTACGATGGTCTTAATGTTGGGCCAAACTTCAACCTTTACCTCGGTCCGAATTTGTGGACAACGGTGAGTAGCAATGACACTATAGAGGAGATCATCCATGTGACCAAATCCAACTCTTTACAGGTTTGTCTTGTTAAGACGGGAATAAGTATACCTTTTATAAATATGTTGGAGCTACGACCAATGAAGAAAAATATGTACGTTACTCAAAGCGGTTCACTGAAGTATTTATTCAGGGGGTACATTAGCAACTCAAGTACTCGTATAAGGTACATAAACATATTTCTCGATTGGTTGTTTTGCATACATATATACGTTATCTTTTTTTTTTTTTTTTGTGCGAAATATGTTATCTAAATTTCATTTTCTATATAAAACAACAATATCAACTGTTCTTGTTAAAAAAAAATATAAATGTAAACACAAACTACTATTTCACATGTCAATAGTTGTTGTGTTTGAAACGATGGAAGAAAGCCAGATGTAAGATTAGTAATGTGATCTAATACATGATTGTGCAGGTTCCCGGATGATGTCTATGACCGTAAATGGTACCCACTCTTCGACGACTCATGGACACAAGTAACAACGAATCTCAAAGTAAACACAAGTATTATTTATGAACTACCGCAAAGTGTAATGTCAAAAGCCGCAACGCCAATTAAGGCTAACGAGACCTTGAACATTACATGGACAGTAGAGCCTCCTACAACACAGTTTTACTCTTACATACACATTGCAGAGCTTCAGACTCTAAGGGCTAACGATACAAGGGAATTCAATGTGACACTAAATGGAGAATATAGTTTTGGACCTTTTAGTCCTATACCTCTAAAAACCGCATCCATAGTCGACTTAAGCCCAGAGCAATGCGATGGAGGGAGATGCATTTTGCAGGTTGTGAAGACACTGAAATCTACCCTTCCTCCTTTACTTAATGCTATCGAGGCTTTCACCGTGATTGATTTCCCGCAGATGGAGACAAATGGAGATGATGGTATGTCAATATTTACATTCTATATCTTATCTACAAAGCTATGCGTTTTATGTTTCGATTCTTGATATCTTCAACCTTTACAGTTGCTGCTATCAAGAATGTTCAAGATACTTATGGACTGAGTAAAATTAGTTGGCAAGGAGATCCATGTGTCCCCAAACAGTTTTTGTGGGATGGTCTAAACTGCAACAATTCGGATAATTCTACGCCACCAATAATCACTTCCTTGTGAGATAAATCCTTCAATACAATTTGTATCAATTTTTGAATCATGTCAATTTTAAACTAATATCTTGCACTATTTTTTTTTTTCTCTAGAGACTTATCTTCAAGTGGACTAACTGGGATCATCACCAAAGCCATTCAGAATCTAACTCACCTGCAAGAACTGTAAGTATCTCAACGGTTCACCAAACCTCAAGTTTGTTTTGCCTTTGGAAATGAATAACATTTGACAGCTTGGTTCTTCTTTGTTACTGGTAGGGACTTGTCAGATAACAATTTGACTGGAGAAATACCTGAATTTTTAGGGGACATAAAATCACTCTTGGTCATGTAAGTTTATAATGAGACACTACAAATTATTATTTTCCTTTGGTTAAACTTTCTTAAAATAGTCTTGACTCTTTGTCTACTCCAACAGAAACTTAAGTGGAAATAATCTCAGTGGCTCAGTTCCTTCCTCACTTCTTCAGAAGAAAGGAATGAAGTTAAAGTAAACAATTTTTTTTTTTTTTTTGATTGTTATCATGCCAATTGATGCGATTGAGTATCTTTAACAACACTAACATTTTGTAGTATCGAAGGCAACCCTCATCTTCTTTGCACAACGGGTTCGTGTGACAACAAAGAAGAGGATGGACATAAGAAAAAGAGCATTATAGTGCCAGTTGTCGCTACAATTGCTTCAATAGCTGTTCTTATAGGTGCATTGGTTCTGTTTTTTATTCTTAGAAAGAAAAAGTCACCAAAGTTTGAAGGTATATTATCAACAAGCTCAAACTTCATTCCTTTGTTAATATCATGTACATAAATATTAAAATTAAGTACTAAGTCTGACTTTATTTTTTGCTTGAAACCTTAGGGCCACCACCATCTTATATGCAAGCATCATCTGAACCGGCAATAGTGACGAAAAATAGAAGGTTTACTTACTCACAAGTTGTGATAATGACAAATAACTTTCAAAGAATCCTTGGGAAAGGAGGGTTTGGAATTGTTTATCATGGTTTCGTGAACGGTACAGAACAAGTAGCTGTTAAGATACTCTCCCATTCATCATCTCAAGGATATAAACAATTCAAAGCTGAGGTAAACTCTCACTTTCATTACTATCTCAAACGAAAACATTGATACAACTATTTCTAAAAAAATTAACTTGTAAGCTTTGGTTTGGTTTTTAGGTAGAACTTCTTCTTAGAGTTCATCACAAGAACTTGGTCGGTCTTGTTGGATATTGCGACGAAGGGGAACACTTGGCTCTTATCTATGAATACATGGCCAACGGAGATTTAAAGGAACATATGTTAGGTAAAAGCCAAAGATGTTTGAATATCTTTTCCAGTTCTTTGTAGGTAAACATAAGAATTGAAATTAATAGCTCTTTTTTCTTTTAAAACACAGGAACACGTAACCGTTTTATTTTGAATTGGGGATCTAGACTAAAAATAGTCGTCGAGTCAGCACAAGGTTTGTTTAGAGATTAACCCCTAATAGTTTCCATTGTTCGTTTATTTGCTATTAATTAAAATGATTGTTGTGGCCTAGGACTTGAGTACCTGCATAATGGATGCAAACCACCAATGGTTCATAGAGATGTCAAAACCACAAATATATTGTTGAACGAACACTTCCAAGCCAAACTAGCTGATTTTGGGCTTTCAAGATCATTTCCAATTGAAGGTGAAACTCATGTGTCAACAGTTGTTGCTGGAACGCCTGGATATCTTGATCCCGAGTAAGTATTATGGCTTAAAATATTCTGTATTTTTTAAGTAAAGGATCTTTATATATTTTTGTGATGTATTTTGTTTTACAGATACTATAGAACAAATTGGTTGACAGAGAAGAGTGATGTTTATAGTTTCGGGATTGTATTGCTGGAGATCATCACAAACCGACCCGTGATCGACCAAAGCCGTGAAAAGCCACATATAGCAGAATGGGTAGGAGTAATGCTTACAAAAGGAGACATCAAGAGCATTATGGATCCAAGTCTCAATGAAGATTACGATTCTAGTTCTGTTTGGAAAGCTGTTGAACTAGCAATGTGTTGTCTAAATCCTTCTTCAGCAAGACGACCGACCATGTCCCAAGTTGTTATTGAATTAAACGAGTGTCTGGCATCTGAAAATGCAAGGGGAGGAGTGAGTCGGGACATGGACTCGAAGAGTTCTATAGAAGTGAGCTTGACCTTTGGTACTGAAGTGAACCCAACGGCTCGGTAGGTTACATGAATAGTTATCTCAATTCTCACATGAATTTTTGTTTATCTCTGTTTCTTTTATAGAACTATCTACAAATTTGTTTCTCTGATATGTCACATTTGTTCTGAACAACAGAACCGATTCACGTGAATAAAAGTTCAAAGTCTTAGACAAATAGAATCTTACTCTTGTTCTTGATTAGTTTGGAAAAGCAAATTTTAAAGAGAACTAGGATGTGGAGTTGAAGATAAAAGTTACCGTACTCAGCTCGAGTAATACCATTATGTTATTGTTATGTGAGAACAAGAATGATAAGACATAAGAGTTAGAGAACAAGAATATTTCCTTTTCAAATAAGCAAAACAGGGCAAAACTGAGAAAACACATACTCTTTCTGAACGTTTTGAAATTAAAAATGAGAAACCGAAATTTTTGTTTTAAACAGAAAAATGAGTAGAACAGAGGAAATCGAGACTCTGTTTCAGAGAGAATGTGTGGATAAAACAGAGAAATACAAGTCAAAAACCCACTCATGCACTTGTTTACAGCTAATTTTTCCTTAAATGCTTACTCAATTTCATATACCAAGAAGATTTTATACACAAATATAATATAACCCAAATTATTCAGATGTAATTTTTTACTCCTTAAACTCTGTGATAACTTTACTGAAAACCATCCACTGTTTCACAAACGTTTCTAATTCAAAGTCATATCCTTGTAATCTTTTTTATGCATTTACTTTGAAAGCCTTTTAAAAAAAAAAAAAAAAAAAAAAAAAAAAAAAAACACACTTTTCTAAGTTTTGGTGTATTAGTAGATGACATGTCCCGGTCTCCAAACATTCAGGTGACAACCAGAACCAGCAGTGAAATTATAAATTATGAGCTACTGTTTTCATTCTTAAGTTTTATGTGAACAATAAATAGGACTAAACAAATTCAAGTAGCATCAACTGGTTCGATTATAGAAGAATGTGGTCCATACATGTATTCTTCTTTGAAAGACTTTGGAGTAACGAAGCCAAGTGTCCACGTCTTCTGTTAAATTTCAAAAACTGCCAACATATTAAATCTGCCTAATTGCCAATTTCTTAAGTTGAGAGAGAATGCTTGTAGTATTTTTTTTTTTCCCAAGTAGAAGTGTGAGAAACTCATCTAACCCAAAATAAAGTCAAATTAGCTTGGTTTAGCCCCGTTCCTATTTGATCTTAAAATTCTTATGTTGTCTTTCTTGAACGTAATTTTTTTCTGTAAATTTGGATTATTGGGATTTGCTTTTATTTACTTTGTAAGGTAACCAAGAAATCCGGGCACAAATTCATAATCTCCTTGAAACAAAGATCAAAGCAGGGTGACTTAGTTTTTTTTTTTTCTTAGTCGTTTCTCGAAGTTCTCCCTCTTTTATTTTCTTTTGGTCCCGAAAACAGTTCACTTCTGTTTGGATCGGTTTGATTTGATGTAGTATGGTTTGGTTTGTGGTTTAATACTTTAATCTCACCCGTACTTACAGAATTAATAATTTCCATGCAAATTGCAACGTGTAAACTTCAACGTATAAACTCTAAAGTCGACGTGAGGGCTTAGGGAGGACAAAGTAATTAAAGTTGAATTACTCTTTGAGTCAATGTTCTTTCCCTTATGGACATGGAATAATCTTCAAGCACTACTACTATTTGTATCATTTATTTCTATAATTAAACTTCTCACATCTTGCTCTTCCGCCGGCATAAATAGCTTATTTTTCCTCCCAATTGTGTTTGTATTGTTTGTTTATCTTTCTTGAAATGTCCCTTTGAAAAGTGGCTCATATATATAATAATCCATGGATACATATTATAAATTACAAGGCTCGCCAGTTTGTTAAATGTTGAAATCCTCTTTTCGATACTCGAGCAGAAAAATGGAGAGATATTGTGGATTCTTTGTAATTTTTATCTTTATACTACATATTGTTCAAGCTCAGGATGAAAAAGGTACGTACATGTATATTTTTAAATTGATATAATTATCAGCTCTTCTATATACTTAAATATAATTATACATGTCGTATTGTAGGATTCATCAATTTGGATTGCGGTCTGTCCCTCAAGGAATCTCCTTACAAGGATTCCACGCTTGAATTAACATATACGTCAGATGATGGTTATGTCCGGGGTGGGAAAACTGCTCAAATCGAGAAGAATCATAGGTTTGCCCTCTATGAGTCATCTTCAAAACTGAGATACTTTCCAGACGGAATCCGAAACTGCTACAATTTGAATGTCACACGGGGCATGAACTATCTAATTAGGGCTATGTTCGTATATGGAAACTACGATGGTCATAACGTTCCTCCAAACTTTGATCTGTACATTGGCCCAAATAAGTGGGCAACAGTGAAGGATGTTCTCGCATTCGAGGAGCTCATCCACGTTGCTAGATCCAACTCTTTGCAGGTATGTCTTGTTAAGACAGGGACAACAACGCCAATGATAAATTCCTTGGAACTACGACCACTGAGAAACAATATGTATACTAGTGAAACCGGCTCATTTAGGAACATGATTAGGTACTCTTTTAGCACTACATCTGGCTTTTTATTGAGGTAAGGATCAACACTCAACATTAATACTAACACATGCTTCATCTAGTGATGTGTTCTAACATGAAATTTCCTTAGGCACCCAGAAGATGTCCATGATCGTATGTGGCTCAACGACGACGTCAAGGAAGAGTGGGCGCTAATAAATACTACTCTGAGTATAAATACTTCTACTGGTTACGATATCCCACAAGCTGTAATGGCCAATGCCATAACTCCGAAGAAGGCTAGCACACTGCTTAATTTTTCTTTTGAGACTGGGGATCCTAGTTTAGAGATTTACCTCTACATGCACTTCGCGGAACTTCAGCCTCAAACAAGCGATGATCAAAGACAATTTTTTATTTTTTTTAATGGAGAATTAATTAACGGACCTTACACTCCTTCACCTTTAACAGCCAAAACTTTATACGACCCAACGCCAAGAAAATGCAAGGAAGGGAAATGTCTTCTACAACTTAACGGAATGGGGGGTCCAATTCCGCCTATGATTAACGCTTTGGAGGTCTACGCTTTGATAAATCACTCAAAACTCGAAACTAATCAAGATGATGGTATGTCAAAGTATTTATTTGTCCTACTTACAAATCATTGTGTAAATATGTTATTGTTGATATTTTTTAAAATTCAAAATTGTTAGTTTTGGCTATCAAGAATATCCAATCTACTTATCGATTAAGTAGAATCAACTGGGAAGGAGATCCATGTGTCCCCAGCCAATTTTTATGGGAAGGTCTAAAATGCTATAGCTTCGATAATTCTACTCCACCTATAGTCATTTTCTTGTAAGTTCATGATTTATCCATATTTGTTTCGTAATTGTCTTACACTTTTAACACATTTGAGAATGTGTCGTTACTAGAAACCTGTCTTCAAGTGCATTGACTGGGATTATTGCACCTAGCATTCTGAATCTCACCCATCTACAAGAACTGTAAGTATCATGACCACAACTCAGTAAATGTAAAAATTAGTAGCCATATCTTTGTAAAAAAAATTACTAAAAGGAATTATTCGTTTTTATCAAATATAAGGGACTTGTCAAATAATAATTTGACTGGGGGTGTACCGGAATTTCTAGCCGACATGAAATCGCTTTTGGTCATGTAAGTTTTCATATGATAACATGAAAATATGATTTTTTTAGCTTTTCACATCAAAATTTGCATATGCTTAACCTATTTGTGTATTGGAATAGAAATTTAAGTAGGAACAATCTCAATGGTCCAGTTCCCAAAAAGCTAATACAGAAGAAAGGATTGAAGTTGAAGTAAGATCTCTCATGTTACATATGCATATTCACTTTGATATCAAAACAATTCATATCTTAAAAAACGCTTGTAATCTAAAGTGTTGGAGGAAATCCAGAGATTGTTTGCACAACTGGATCATGCGTAAGCGGATCCAAAGAGGGTGGGCATCAGAAAAACAAAATTATACTATCCATTTCCGCAGCAGTTGCTTTAGTGGTTATTCTCATAGTTGCACCGATTCTATTTTGTGTTCTCATTAAAAAGAAAAAGCCACCAAGTGATGAAGGTATTCGTGATAATCCAAAACTAGAAAGTTATTACAACATGTTTGTATATGAAACTTACATAGGTTCTCTGAATTTTTGTCTCACAAATTTAGAGCCAACATCATGCATGCTAAACACGGATGGTAGATCAACTAGGTCATCCGAACCGACAATAATGACAAAAAATAAAAGGTTTACGTACTCTGAAGTTGTGAAGATGACAAATAACTTCCAGCGAATCCTTGGGAAAGGAGGGTTTGGAATCGTCTATTATGGGTCGGTGAATGATACAGAAGAAGTCGCTGTTAAAATGCTCTCACATTCTTCGTCTCAAGGATATAAACAATTCAAAGCTGAGGTACTCTTATCTCAACATTCACTAGAATTTTGAATGAAAATACTCATGAATCATCAATCTTTTATAATAACCCTTAACCCCAAAAACAAACCTTTTTAAGATAAAGACTTCTCAATATTTTGATTATGTAATACCATGCTGTTTGCTAGGTGGAACTTCTTCTTAGAGTTCATCACAAGAATTTGGTCGGTCTTGTCGGATACTGCGATGAAGGAGAAAAATTGTCTCTCATATACGAATACATGGCCAATGGAGACTTAGATGAGCATATGTCAGGTAATATATCGAAGCCACCAAACCCACAATGTTTAAAGTTTTCAAAAATATATCGAAGCTACAATATGCATATTTCGATAACTATATATCCTAACATTATTCTAACGATTTAGCTATGCGTATATATGTAACATAAGAATTTATACTTCAGTTATTCCTTCACTAAAACAGGCAAGCGTGGTGGCTCTTTTTTGAATTGGGTAACTAGACTAAAAATAGTTGCTGAATCCGCACAAGGTTTTTCTCGACTTCTCTCAGTACTTTTTGCCTAGACTTATTTACTTTAATATACTGAAAATGTGATTTATATGATTTTTTGTTCTTGCATAGGGTTGGAGTACCTACATAATGGGTGTAAACCACTAATGGTTCATAGAGATATCAAAACTACAAATATATTGTTGAATGAACACTTTGAGGCCAAACTTGCTGATTTTGGGCTTTCGAGATCATTTCCGATTGAAGGAGAAACTCATGTATCAACAGTTGTTGCCGGAACAATTGGGTACCTTGATCCCGAGTAAGTGTCACCACTTAACTATCACAGTGTATTAAGCATATTTTTATTTCTCTAATAGCCATGTTAAGTAACATCATTAAACCGTCTTACAGATATTACCGAACAAATTGGTTGACAGAAAAGAGTGACGTCTATAGTTTTGGGATTGTACTATTAGCAATAATTACAAACCAACCAGTAATTGACCAAAATCGTCAAAAGCGACACATAGCAGAATGGGTGGGACAAATGCTTACGAAAGGAGACATCAAAAGCATCACTGATCCAAGTCTCCATGGAGATTACGACTCTGGTTCAGTTTGGAAAGCTGTCGAATTGGCAATGTCGTGTCTGAATCCTTCTTCGATAAATAGACCGACAATGACTCAAGTTGTTTCTGAACTAAACGAGTGTTTAGCATCAGAAAATTTGAGGGGAGTACAGAGTCAAGAGATGGATTCACAGAGTTCCATAGAAGTGAGTATGACATTTGAACCTGAAGCAAATCCTGTGGCTCGATAGAGATCATGAGAACTTCTCCTGTTGTATCGTGTATTTTTGTATTCCCATTCATATTTTACAAAACTATCTGAAATATTTTTTTGTATCTCCAATAAATTATCGACTTTGTTTGAAAACTATGAACTTTTGTGATTGGTAATTGTGAAAAGAAGTTCTAAGTATATTTATCTCCATTTTCCAATTATTTCCAACAAAGAACTACTTACTTTCCCAACCTTATCTAACAACAGCTCAAAAACAGATTGAATTGAGCTTTGACTTACCTTTTGTTTAAGAATATATGGATATGAGTTCAAAAAGATTCATATTTGCCAAAAAGGATCTTGAACTAAAATCAGTTAATACGCTATTAGATAAATCTGATATTTTGTTATTGGTTAATTAGCAGGTGATATAGTTTTGATGAAAACTATTTTGAACACTTTAAAGACGATATTTGAGGAGATGATGTCTATCACAAGAACATTGCTGCACGAGAAGCTTAAAACTTATTCTAACTAAGAAGGTCAACGTTACTTGGAGAAGCTAAGATCGAGTTGACTTACTCGATGGCCTGATCAGCATGGCACGATAGTTTTCTTTCCCAAACCTGTAGAAGGCACTTATGTGATTTTAATTTAAATGATGTTTTTGTATTTATTTGTCTTGACAAAAATGTGTAGAAAACCTCAAACTTTGTGAGTTTTGCGTAAGCCTTAATCTATTTACAAGATTTAAAAGGCAACATGTCTGGCAAAAATAGTAAAAATGTATAGAAAACCCCAAGTGTTCACGTCTTCTAATAAATTTAAGTTCAACTATAGACATTCCTAGAATATTTTATCTGCCTATTTTTTAGTACGTTTTATGCTATTCTTCTTTCAACGTAGGATTATGTATTCTTTATGTATAAAAAAAGTAGGATTATATATATTTCTATTTAGAATGGTGTGGATTCGGTTTAGGTTTGGCTGTGAAAAGCCCTTTTTGGTTTAACCCTTGATCATTTGTTTACGTTTGTATATTTTTCCATATGAACTGACAACTTAAGCATTTTAAGGAAAATATATGTGTTAATTGTTACCATAAATGTCGCATGCAAATAGAAGGAGAACCTTTTAATTACTTGCATTTACCGTTTCATTTTTTTTTTTTTTTGTCATCTACCGTTTCATTTCTATTTTGCAAAAATATTTAATAAAATAAAACAGAAAATGTTATCGACTTGAAAAACTTTTGAGTGAAATGTGTCAAAATCTTAATTTGGTTCGGTTTGGTTAAGGGCGATGCCCATTCCTAGTTTCCGGTTTACTTCAATTCCGAATGCAATTACAACGTGTAGACGTAGGAATAAACGTGACGGCCTTAGGAAGAAGAATTAGCTGGAACAGAATTATTCAATGAGTCAATGGTCTTGCTCTTGTATTGAGGACATGGGAGAAACTTCGAACACCACTACTTTGTGTCAGTTTTAATAACTCATCAATGAGTCAATTTGTTTTTAAATGCCCATTTGAGAAGTGGCTCGTATAATATCCATAGATTGATATAAAGTGATGAATTAGCTCATCTCTATTTGTAAATGTCGAAATCTCCTTTTGGAAAGTCGTCAAGTAGGAAAATGCAGAGATGTTGTGTGTTCTTTGTGACTTTTTTCCTTATACTACATCTTGTTCAAGCTCAAGATCCAATAGGTACTTACCCATATTTATTGTTTTTATTCTATATATGTTTTATTTTGTTTTACTTTTTGTCATTTACTCAATTAGCTGTTACTGTTAGTAAACTCAATATAACAATCACAGATATTGAATCCTAAAAGATCACACATTTATGTGGAGTAGATAGATATTCATTTAATAAATGAGATGTCCACATATGAAAAAAAATGTATGATACAGTAAAAAATATGAACAAACCCATATTAAAACTCTATTTCATAAATTATATATGAACATCTAAAAGTAACACATTGCAGTAAAAAATTACTTGTCCCAGAATGAAGGAGGTAAAAAAATTTCATCCAAAAAGGAAAAAAAAAGAGGTAAAATTGTCGAAATTGCTCAAAATCCACTCTTGTTAACTTGGACAAAGAAATGTTTTGTCATTTTCCTAAAGTACATACAGTATTGCGTATTCTGTAGTCATAGGAACCTTATAATCGCGAGGAAAAAAAAAAAAAAAAAAGGAACCTAATAATCGCTTATTAATGTAGTCTCGTACATACTATAGGATTCATCAATATGGATTGTGGTTTGTCCATCCAAGCCTCTCCTTATAAAGAATCCTCGACCGGTTTAACATATACATCAGACGACGGTTTCGTCCAGGGTGGGAAAATTGGTAGAATCACCAAGGAACTCGAGTCGTTATACAATAAACCGGAGTGGACGCTTAGATACTTCCCTGATGGAGTACGGAATTGTTACAGTGTGAATGTCACACGGGGTACGAAGTATTTAATTAAGCCTTCCTTTGTCTATGGAAACTATGATGGTCTTAATGTCATCCCGGATTTTGATCTTTACATCGGCCCAAATTTGTGGATGACGGTGAACAGTGCTGACACTATCAAGGAGATCCTCCACGTATCGAAATCAAACTCTTTGCAGGTGTGTCTTGTTAAGACAGGAACAAGTATACCTTTTATAAATACATTGGAACTTAGACCATTGGCCGACGATATATACACCACCGAAAGTGGCTCCCTCAACTATCTTTTTCGGGTTTATTATAGCAATTTAAAGGGCTATATAGAGTAAGAGTCCATTACTTGATCATTATAAATTTTACTCTAAACTAGACAAACATACTATGTTTAGTAATGTTTTAATGTAAGTTTGCGCCAGGTACCCCGATGATGTCTACGATCGCATATGGAACCAAATCTCACCTGATCAAGATTGGCAGATTTTAACTACGAATCTCCAAATAAACGCTTCTAATGATTATGATCTACCACAACGTGTAATCAAAACAGCTGTAACACCCATTAAAGCTAGCACAACGACGATGGAATTTACCTGGAAGTTAAAGCCTCCAACTTCACAGTTTTACTTATTCCTTCACTTTGCAGAGCTTGAAAGCCTCCAAGCCAACGAAACAAGGGAATTCAATGTGATGTTGAACGGAAATGTTACATTTGAATCTTATAGTCCTAAGTTTCTACAAATGCAAACCGTATATAGCCGAGCACCAAAGAAATGCGATGGAGGGGAATGCTTGTTGCGGTTAGTGAAAACGTCAAAGTCAACTTTACCTCCTCTAATTAATGCTATTGAGGCTTTCACTGTGCTTGATTTCTCACAGTTGGAAACAAATGGAGATGAAGGTATGTTTGTTTTTTTTTATATACTTATTTTCTTTTTCGGGTTTTAATGTTAAGCTTTATATATACCGAACTTGCATAGAAACTAGACTATCCATATATAGTAGCTCAAGAGAGAAAGATAGAAACATGGAACTTTTGAAGATAGTTACAAAATTTGCATATTGATATCAACTATCTTTATAAATAATTACTAGTGGTGGCTATCAAAAATATTCAATCTACCTATGGATTGAGTAAAATCAACTGGCAAGGAGATCCATGTGTCCCCAAACTGTTCTTGTGGGATGGTTTAAACTGCAACAACTCAGATGCTTCTATACCACCGATTATCACTTCCTTGTAAGGACATGATTTCATTGTTTTCCTAATTTACTTTCGGATACTTACTATACTCATTAGTTTTTCATCACTAGAAACTTGTCTTCGAGTGGATTGACTGGAAATATCGCGCTGACCATTCAAAATCTCACCAATCTGCAAGAACTGTTAGTATCACATAACTGTGTCGATAACTATTGTTAGTTTTTTCTTTTTTCTTTAATTGGTAGAAAATTACTAAAATCAATGGTAGTTTTATCTTAATCATAGGGACTTGTCAAATAACAACTTGATTGGAGGTGTTCCTGAATTTCTAGCCGATATGAAATCGCTCTTGGTCATGTAAGTTTCCCATGAGAATGATGTCTTTTAGCCTTGGATCCTTATGCTTGATTTTTGTGTCTATCTTAACAGAAACTTAAGTGGGAACAATCTTAGTGGCTTAGTTCCTCAAAAGCTTCTAGAGAAGAAAATGTTGAAATTGAAGTAAGAATTTGTATATTGTATTTATTCGATATTGACATGTTTTCTATGATAAACTAATTTTTTTTGAAAAACACTTGCAATCCAAAGCATCGAAGGCAATCCGAAGCTTCATTGCACAGTCGAGTCATGTGTAAAAGATGGAGAGGGTGGGCGACAGAAAAAGAGCATGACAATCCCAATTGTGGCATCAATTGCTTTTGTGGTTGCCCTTATAGTTGCATTGATTATATTTTGTGTTATTCGAAAGAATAACCCATCAAACGATGAAGGTATTCACATTATATTCATCGATCAAGATACTCATGAATACACACACATTAAACTTACATAATTTCATTGAATGTTTTCATCACAAATTTAGCTCCAACATCATGTATGCTACCCTCGGGTGGTAGATCATCTGAACCGACAATAGAGACGAAGAATAAAAATTTTACGTATGCGGAGGTCATAACCATGACAAACAATTTCCAAAGAATCCTTGGAAAAGGAGGATTTGGAATTGTATATTATGGTTCAGTAAACGGTACAGAGCAGGTTGCTGTTAAAATGCTTTCGCATTCATCAGCTCAAGGATATAAGCAATTTAAAGCTGAGGTATTATTATATACCACAACTCATAATGGAATTCTGTATGAAACATTCCAGAATTTTTTTCAAAGCTAATTTGGTGTATCATTATGGTATGTTAGGTTGAACTTCTTCTTAGGGTACATCACAAGAATTTGGTAGGTCTTGTTGGGTATTGCGAAGAAGGAGATAAATTGGCTCTCATCTACGAATACATGGCCAATGGAGACTTAGATGAGCATATGTCAGGTAAACATAATATTTGTTTTTCACTAGAAAGACAACATATTTGGTTTTTGATAACAATACATGATGATGAAATTGTAACATACCAAATGGTGAACTCTTTAAGAAACAAAAAAACTCAAAATGATAATTTTTTTTTGTCATTTACAATTCATTCATAATCTTTGTTATTACACAACGACGACACTAGTAAAAATTCATTGCTAGGCATAAATAAATTATACAAGCCAATTATAAAGTTCTTCAATATGTGTTAAATTTGTTATAATAAATGACCAGTGTGTGTTAAATTCTTACATCTTTACATTTAACACACATTGAAAAACTTTAGAAGTGGCTTGTATAATTAACCTTCATTTTCCTATGCATGTAGTGATAGAAAAAAAATTCACATCTTTATATATTTGTTTTTGATCAAACCACATCTTTTTATTTATCTTCATACATACAAAAACAATTGTCATGGAAAAAAAATTTCAAGTATTTTCTTACTTTAAAATGTAGGTTAATTTAATTTAAATATTAAATTATAACAAAATGTATGTAGGATTAAAATATAAGTAGAATAAATGAGTAGAAATGTTCTTAGAAGTATTTTTTATTTTTAATCCAATTTTACAGAAGTGTTAAATATTGAATGGACACCTTTTCAGACTATTGTTAAAATCTAAAAAAAAAATTCAAAAAATATTACAAGATAAATATAGTTATGTTTAATATTTTCGAGTAAGAGAAACACGAATTATTCAAACATGTTTCAATATGGTTTTCATAGGGTGGAATTGTTACTTTTGGATACTTAATCACATTTCATTTCATGTCTCACCTTTGTAAATTATTTACCTCCGGATTGGATAACCAATCATTTTGTTAGCTTTTAATTAATGTGAGATTGATATATAAAAAATCACATTTCATGTAAATAGACCATAAGAAAGAGTAATTTTATAAAACAATAAAGTTTCTAAATAGTATAAGCTATCCACACAATATGATCTAAAATCATTTGAGTTGTTCAATCCTTATTTCAGTCATTTTCTATGTTTGAAAAATAGTGTATCAATGAATATAAGTCACACAGAAAAGATGTTCCAAAATTTGTTAATTTTCCATAAAACCAACCAGAATAAGCATATTTTGAATATTTAATTTGTCTATCGAATGTAAGTATTTAACACACATTGGTTATTTTTTTAACAATACTGTACATAGGAAAACGAGGTGGTTCTATATTAAATTGGGGAACAAGACTAAAGATAGCTGTCGAGGCTGCACAAGGTTCATATTGACTTCTCAAATACCTCGTCATATTCTTTCTTTGTTTCTTTTGCTTTGACTGACTGAAACTTTGTGAAAAACTGAAAATAATATTTTTCACAGGATTAGAGTACTTGCATAATGGATGCAAACCACTAATGGTTCATAGAGATATCAAAACCACAAATATATTGTTGAATGAACATTTCCATACCAAACTTGCTGATTTTGGGCTTTCGAGATCATTCCCGATAGAAGGGGAAACTCACGTATCAACAGTTGTTGCTGGAACTATTGGATACCTCGATCCCGAGTAAGTATTACTTCTTAAATATGAAAATATATTTTGTAGATATTTTGTCTCCAATGTTTAAGTAATACTCTTGCATTTTGAACTATGTTATAGATATTACCGAACAAATTGGTTGACGGAGAAAAGTGATGTGTATAGTTTTGGAGTTGTATTATTGGTGATTATTACAAACCAACCCGTGATTGACCAAACCCGCGAAAAGCGACATATAGCAGAGTGGGTGGGAGTAATGCTTACGAAAGGAGACATCAAAAGTATTACAGATCCAAATCTCCTTGGAGATTATAATGCTGGTTCTGTTTGGAAAGCTGTTGAACTAGCTATGTCGTGTCTGAATCCTTCTTCGATGACAAGACCGACAATGTCTCAAGTTGTTTTTGAACTAAAAGAGTGTTTGGCCTCTGAAAGCTCGAGGGGAAGAGAGAGCCAGGAAATGTATTCACATAGTTCCAGGGAAGTGAGCATGACCTTCGGAACTGAATTGGCCCCTATGGCTCGGTAGAGGTCATGAATATATTCCCAATGTATCGTGTGGATCATTATTAATTCTTATACAACTATCCTAAATAGAAGTTTATTTGCAAGCAATGAACTTCTTTTGTAAATAGAAGTTCCAAGTCATTTTTTCCCCATGTTTCAGTTTATTCCAACTAACCATGAATTAATAACTATAGCATTTGCTTACAACTTCTAACATACAGAGTTGACCTCTGTATATAAGCAGCGTCACCTAAGAGATCCAATCACCAGTACGGAAACAGAAGAAATTCCTGAAAAAAAGAAGCAAACTCACCTCCTAGGTTGTTAAATTACAAAATGGGTGAAATTTTGTTTATAGATTCTCTTCAGTGGGGCAAATCATAGAAATAGTTTGGTCGACATTGGGGCAAAACATGGAATAGAACGGGACAATTTTCGAAATAACAGATTGAGTGGCCTCCAAACATTTTTATCACAATAAATATCACACTATTTCTACTTTTAAAACGTATAAAATGATTGCTCCAAGCTATTGGGAATAGAATCAAAAATATATATTTATTGCAAAAGGTACATAAAATTTGGTGACAAATAATCACTTTTTCATTGGAAAAAAAAAAGAAATAATCTGAGCAGAATATTGGACGGAGCAAAGAAACAAGAGAAGGATATCATGTAACACAACTTGACAAATTCAGATAGGATCAGACAAGATTCATAATGTTGTAATAATCTATAGTCAACAAAGGCAACACATTGCTTACAAACTACAAAGTGAAGTCATTGTCATGATTGATTATCAGTTGATTACTTATGTCCACATAATATAAAAAAAAGCATATCCTTGACAATATTGAAGATAAGAAAATTCATGGAGAATCTAAAGACTGATCAAGCATTAACCAAATTTTATTCTTTTGAATGTTCTTTCGAGTTGACTTAGTCAACGGTTTTGTGGTTCCAACTTGTAAGTTGTAATTACGGCTGGGCAAGGTAACGGACCACTCTTGTCATTTTCTCTCAACCGAATCATTTTACACCGTCGAAATAATATCCTCATTTAATGTGTTCCCTCAATAATTTGATTCATTAATGTGACACTTATAAGAAGTTGACTTAGAACTTTTGAGATGTGCCTCATATACATAATCATAAACTTATATGCATAGCTTTGCTAACTCAAAAAAAAAAAGATCCCTTCTTTTCTAAGGAAGAAATGGAGAGACATTGTGTGTTCGTTGCCACTTTTATGCTGATACTTCACCTTCTTCAAGCTCAAGATCAACCCGGTACATAGAAAATTGTTGTTTTAATCTATACATATGTGTTCTTCAACGGTTTCTTAGACTATAAGATATATATTTTCCATCTATTATCTTATTAGGATTCATCAATGTTGATTGTGGTTTACTCCCTCGTGATTCTCCTTACAACGCACTTGGAACCGGTTTAGTATATACATCAGATGCCGGTTTAGTTAGCAGTGGGAAAACCGGTAGAATCGCCAAGGAATTCGAAGCGGACAACAGTACGCCGAATTTGACATTGAGGTATTTTCCAGACGGATTACGAAACTGCTACAACTTAAATGTGAGCCGTGACACCAACTATATGATCAAGGCCACATTTGTATATGGAAATTACGATGGTCATAATGATGTACCGAACTTCGAGCTTTACTTGGGTCCAAATTTATGGGCAACGGTAAGCCGTAGTGAAACTATTGAGGAGATCATCTATGTGACGAAATCGAATTCGTTACAAGTCTGCCTTGCTAAGACGGGAGAAACTGTACCTTATATTAATATCTTGGAGCTACGACCATTAAGGAAAAATGTATACGTTACTGAAAGTGGCTCACTCAAGCTCTTATTCAGGAAGTATTTTAGTGAATCAGGTCGTACTATAAGGTAATATTTTTTTTTATCAAAATTCTTTTGTAAATTTATATTAACTTTTTGATTTGTATGGTACTAGATTAGATCCCGCATAATATATGGACAAAATATCAAATATGACTATATGAGAAATTCTTCAAAATACCATACTTTTAAGTTTTGTTGCCAAAAATAATACTATTAGTTTAATGTTCCAAAATACCACCAAAAGTTTCGGTTTTCTAAAATACCACAAACACAAAATAGATTTTCAAGGATTCAAAATTTAAAATTTTAGGATTGGGTTAATTATTTTAGATTTAGGGTATAGTTTTTAGGGGGTAAGGATTAGTGTAAATTATGGTTCGAAAACCAAATATCAAATCTTGATACAACTTAAAAATGAATTTAATTACTCTCTGAAACTAATTGTTCTAACATATTAGCTAGGATATTTGTGTTTTAATCTAATAATTCAGATTTAAAGTTTTTATCTCTCAATTTTTGTCATATAAGTATTGTCAAACACATGATCACAAACTGTTGTTCTTCTAATTTTACATATTATGAATCTTATATAAATTTGATAGTTTACAATTTTTCAATTTGTAGGTTCTATTTTTCTCGTACATTACTTTTTCTCTATTTTATTAGTTTACATTTTTTCAAAACACAATTTCCTTGTCATTTGTTTTGCTATTTTAGCTATTTATAAATAAATTATTTCTTATTTGTGTAATGTGGTCTAACATAAACTTGTGGCAGGTATCCAGATGATATCTATGATCGTGTATGGCATGCATCCTTCCTGGAGAATAATTGGGCACAAGTAACAACGACTCTAGATGTAAACGTTACTGATAATTATGAATTATCACAAGATGTAATGGCAACAGGCGCAACACCTCTAAACGATAGCGAGACATTGAACATTACATGGAACGTAGAGCCTCCTACTACAAAGGTTTACTCCTACATGCACTTTGCAGAGCTTGAGACACTAAGGGCCAACGATACAAGGGAATTCAATGTGATGCTGAATGGAAATGATTTATTTGGACCTTACAGTCCAATACCGCTAAAGACCGAAACGGAAACCAACTTAAAACCAGAGGAATGCAATGATGGGGAATGTATTTTGCAGCTTGTGAAGACGTCAAAATCAACTCTTCCGCCTTTACTTAATGCTATCGAGGCTTTCACGGTGATTGAATTCCCACAACTGGAGACAAATGAAGAAGACGGTATGTCGATTCTTTACATTATTGATCTTATTTACAAATATTTTGCGTGTTGTGTGTTGATTCTTGATATCATCAAGCTTTAAAATCGTAGCTGCTGCTATAAAAAATGTTCAAGATGCTTATGGATTGAAAAGAATCACTTGGCAAGGAGATCCATGTGTCCCCAAACAGTATTCGTGGGACGGTCTAAAGTGCAATTACTCGGATACTACTCCACCAATAATCAATTTCTTGTAAGATGAATCATTCAATAGTTATCTTGATTTGTTAAATCATTTCCATTTTGGACTAGATATCTCACAGTTTCTTTCTCCAGAGACTTATCTGCAAGTGGATTAACCGGGATCATCACGCCTGCCATTAAAAATCTTACTCACCTAGAAATATTGTAAGTCTATATCTCCACGGCTGACCAAGCCTATTTTTCTTTAACCATTGGAAATGAATAATGTTTAATGAGTTATTTCACTTTTTTTTTGTTAATGGTAGGGCCTTGTCAAATAACAATTTGAGTGGAGAAGTACCTGAATTTCTAGCTGACTTAAAATCAATCATGGTCATGTAAGTTTTTCATGAGACACTACAATATGATTTACTCTTGACATTCTCCTGAACATGTTTGTTTATCTTTTAACTATACTCCAATAGAGACTTAAGAGGCAATAATCTCAGTGGTCCGGTTCCTCTCTCGCTTCTTCAGAAGAAAGGATTGATGCTACAGTAAGCTATATTTTTGTTTCTTTCCTACTGTTATCACGGCAATTGATGTATTTGCTATCTTTAACAACACTCACATTTTGCAGTCTCGACGACAATCCCCATATTATTTGCTCAACTGGTTCATGTATGCACAAAGGAGAAGGCGAACAAAAGAGTATCCTTGTACCAGTGGTTGCATCAATTGTTTCATTGGCTGTTATTATAGGTGCACTCGTCCTGTTCCTTGTTTTCAGAAAGAAAAAGGCATCAAAAGTTGAAGGTATTAATAAATAAGCTCAAGAGTAATATTAATACATACATACATACACATCAAACTTAACAAGATTTTGCCTTATAACCTTAGGGCCACTACCATCTTATATGCAAGAATCAGATGGTAGATCGCAGATAACCTCTGAACCAGCAATAGTGACGAAAAATAAAAAGTTTACTTACTCACAAGTTGTGATAATGACAAATAACTTCCAAAGAATTCTTGGGAAAGGAGGGTTTGGAATCGTTTATCATGGTTTTGTGAACGGTATTGAACAAGTAGCTGTTAAGATACTCTCTCATTCATCATCTCAAGGATATAAACAATTCAAAGCCGAGGTAAACTCTCACTTTCGACGCTGTCTTGAATGAAAACATCAATGATTCAACTATCTTCAAAAACTTGAACTTATGTATTTTGGCTTGGTGTTTAGGTAGAACTTCTTCTTAGAGTTCATCACAAGAATTTGGTTGGTCTCGTTGGGTATTGCGACGAAGGAGAGAACATGGCTCTTATCTATGAATACATGGCCAATGGAGATTTGAAAGAACATATGTCAGGTAAGCAGACAAACATGTCCTAACCTAACCATATATTGTTGTAGTCTTATGGTGATAACATCAGACATTGATATCTTTCTCTCCATTAATTAAAACACAGGAAGAAGAAACCAATTTGTTTTAAATTGGGGAACTAGACTAAAAATAGTCATCGATTCTGCGCAAGGTTGGTTTACATAGTATCCCTAATATTTTTCTTATCTTTGTTTCTTTGCTTTTCATTTGATTGAACTTTTCGGATTTTGTGGTATAGGACTTGAGTATTTGCATAATGGATGCAAACCACCAATGGTTCATAGGGACGTCAAAACCACAAATATATTGTTGAATGAACACTTTGAGGCCAAACTAGCTGATTTTGGGCTTTCGAGGTCATTTCCGACTGGAGGTGAAACTCATGTGTCAACAGTTGTTGCTGGAACTCCTGGATATCTCGATCCCGAGTAAGTATGATAATTTAAAAGAATTTGGTTTTATTGGAAAAATCAACTGATAAAATTCTATGCTCCAAATTATCCAGATATTACAAAACCAATTGGTTGACAGAGAAGAGTGATGTATATAGTTTTGGGATTGTATTGTTGGAAATTATCACAAATCGGCCAGTGATCGACCAAAGCCGTGAAAAGCCATATATAGCAGAATGGGTGGGGTTTATGCTAACGAAAGGAGACATCATAAGCATTATGGATCCAAGTCTAAATGGAGAATTTGATTCTGGTTCTGTGTGGAAAGCTGTTGAACTAGCAATGTCTTGTCTGAATCCTTCTTCAACGAGAAGACCTACCATGTCTCAAGTTGTTATTGCATTAAACGAGTGTTTGGTATCTGAAAATTCAAGGGGAGGAGCGAGTAGGGACATGGACTCAAAGAGTTCCATAGAGGTGAGCTTGACATTTGATACTGATGTGAGCCCAACGGCTCGGTAGATTACACGATAAATTATCATGCAGTACCATATAAATTTGTTTATATGTTTCTATTTACATATAACTATCCTCAAATTCGTGTCTCTCTTATAGGTCACCTTTGTTAATGAGCTATGAGCTTTTGACATTGATACATGTGAATAAAAGTTCAAAGTCTATTATTTTTCCGCCGTAATGTATCAGTTTCGAATCAATGCATTTTTTGTTTGGAAAATAAAGTTTTACTCTTGTTCTTAATTAGTATTGGGATTTCCGTTGAATAGATATAGTCCAGCGAAGAAGATGATCACCATGCACGTGATTATATTTTCTTAATCAACTATTAGCGGCTTATTTTATTGATTTGGCCAAGGATTGGCAAATTGATTTTTATTTTTGCTAGCAAAGTTGCTAGTTTTTTTAAGAACAAGACATTGGTTTATAAACATGGACTTATTGATGAGTTCGATCAATCTTCGGCGATGATGATATTTTCCTCGCCCTTAAACATCTTTTTGATTAAATTTCTAGCCCTCGTGAGTTGTTTCTCGATCTCACAATCACGCGAGTTACTTCAAGATCTCGCAATCGCGAGGTACATCCGAACCTCGCAATCACGCGAGCTACATCCAAACCTCGCAATCACGGGTGTTATTTCTATTACTTGAACCCTACGAACGGATATAAACGTCGATGACATAATGGCTAGGTATATTGTAGCCGATTTGAACCCTACGATCGGGTATAAACGTCGATGATCGACAACCGGGTATAAAGCCGTTATTTTGAATACTTGTCTAATCTCACACGTGTTACCACATATGAGCTTGCCGGGGGTATTGAGAGAACCGGAGATCGACGGTCGAGATGATCGTCCAAGAATATGAAAATTATGAAGATCGAGAAGGATCTAGAAGATTATCATATTTTAGTTTAGGAATATTTACATTTATCTCGAAAGTATAATTTACATTTATCTTTATCTTAGATTAGGATATTAGATTAATCTTATCTCTATATAAGAGAATGTATCTTGTACAATTATTCGGATGAGAGTCTATTATAATTTTTCCGCAACACTTTTTGTGTTCTTTGCTATCTCTTATCAGAATTTTCAGCCACTACCACAGGAAGAGTACTCACTCGCGGAGTAACAACATAAAAACCTGTATTAGGACATTACTTCTAATACCCATTACTTCTAGCCTCAGAGAAATAACGGGCTGCGTATTTGCCAAAACAATTATCAATAGAAGCAAAGGGACATTCAGATTCTTGAACCACCGCATCATGTGAGACAATGGAATCACCCGTTTCTATGTGATATAGTCTCCACCATTTTTATCATAAGGATAATCTATAATCATTTGATGATTTCTCCTTTTCTTTGATTGCACACCATTTAAACAAACTCTAATCCGGATTATTTATCTATATATTTGGCTCGATTTAAATTTGCTGATTTTTTTGTTGGTAATTTTTTCTCTCTTGATTGAATCACCAATAGTAAATATTTATATTTCAATTTAATAGTGTAGTTAACAGAAATAATTGTGTGATTCTAAGACTTTCACATACTTAGGGCCTGATTGGTTGTGACTGTAGTTTTAGGATTTTAGCTGTAGAAATTTGTCTGTAGATTTTTCTGCTGTAGCTGTAGAATTTAGGCTGTAGAATTTAGACTGTAGAATTAAATGAAAGCATGATTGGTAAAAATAGCTGTGACTTTTTTAAAGTGAAAACATGAGATAAATATTATGTATATATTTTGATTTTTCTTTTTAATTTTTACTACTAAACAAAAAAAACACCATCTATATGGCTGTGGAAAGACTCTAAAGACACAACCAATCAGGCCCTTGGTTAGATAAGCAAAAAACTAGAATCAGTGGAGAACCTTGTCTTTATGGCAAAATTTAAGGAGATGTACTAAAAATAGACATATGTAACTTTCGTTATAAATACTTGTAAGCTTTGTTCATTTTTATTAAACTTTTTAAACATCATCAATTCTTCCATAGCAAATGAGGAGTAAACGCAATCCTCTCTCGGCCACTATTATCACTATCTTCACCATCCTTGCTATAGGTTTGTAATTGTATTTACATTTCCAACTGTTTAAGTGTTTTATTTATTATCATTCGAATCTAAATTAATTGTCGAAAACATGTTATTTTTCTTAAAAAATAAATTCAACTATCTTATGTTATATTTTTTAATCTTAAACGACGGAACTCAATACAGTTATTACCATAAAGTGCCTTTCACATTCAACTTATGGTGCATCTATTTGGCATCCCCTAATTATGGAATAGTTATATATGGTGATTGAGAACATACTTTAACGGCCTTTTTAATACCATTTTTTGGTGTTGCGCATACCTAGTAAAAATCAAGAGAGTAACAATTGATGTTAAACAAATTTCTATCTTTTTTTAGAAATTTAATGAAAAGTCCCTCATGGGCTGATGCATTTTAAACCCTATAAGTATCAATCTATGCATTTTAAACCCTTCCAGTATCAATCTATGCATTTTAAACCCTTCAAGTATCAATCTATGCATTTTAAACCCTTGCAATAAATCATTAGTGAAAAAAACATTTCAACTAAAGATCCATTACAAAAATAAGCCTTTGTTTATATTATCGTCGAAATACTTCCATTGAATCAATACTTTACATTTTGGTTTGTTAAAAGGTGACGATTATAGTTTTCACAAAAATAAGGGAAACTGATGTTTGGTTAAAACATAACATCAGAAATATGATTGAAAATCTCAAACGATCATGTCAATATAACTATGATTCCTAGGCTGCATAAAACGACGGTTAATAAATCCATCTAGAGTTTTAGAAATTCAGCGCATTTGAAGAGAAGTATGAGAACGATATACGGTTTCTACTTTCTCACAAAGATTTATTTTTTATATATTTTAGCTAGAATTATATGATTATTGTTAATGATATATTATTTTTCAACAATCAACTCTATATGTGTGTATCTTTTATTAATATACATAAATTTCGTTAAAAAGATATAAACATATATGTTCTATTGTTAAAAATGGAAACTGATATTTTTTGTGTTAAATATTAACCATAATAGGGGTAATGGTAATGGAAACAATGGGGCAGAAATTGTGTTTTGAAGTTCTACCAAATACATATGGGGTATCTTTGAGTTCATCAACATGTGTCATTCAATGGTGTGCCACTCAATGTAAGAGGAAAGAAGCTAATGGGATCGGTACATGCAAGCCAAGGCCCAATCAAGAGAAAGTACAATATAGAAAACTGAAAGAAGAATGCCACTGCGTTTATAAATGTTCATAAAACTATATTAGATGGTGAACATTAAATCACATATTTGTTTACTATTTTATAAAAAATCGTAATAATTATATTTAATAATACTAAATAAGTAGACCATGATATTCTCTACATTAAAACATATTCATGAGATTCATTATGTTCATGATAAATGATCTTAATGATTAGGTCAACAATCAATAACCAACGTCAAAACAGTTAAAGAGAGTTTTTATGGAATATAAATAAGAAATAAACTATTTTAGAGATAAAGAGTCATAGGATGGTCGTCAATGTCATTTATTCTTTCTGCGAGGTTCTCAAGTCACCTTTGTTACCCCTTGGTATATATCAGATCGTTGCTTTGCCAAGGTAACATTATCGTTAATATTTATGTTTTAATATCGCTTAGTAAAATAAGTTTGGAGTATATATAGATTCCTATAAAATTCGAATGATTATATTCATATTTAAAAATTCACATTGATAGAATTTTTAAAGTAAAATCGTGCACAACCCGCGGAGTACCAAATCTAGTATGTATATAACAAGATATCCACATGCAAGAACACAACTTGAAAACCAAGTGAAAGTAGTAGACTTTTTTTTTACCAAGAGTCCTCTGTTTGAGAACTTACCACTTTTTTCTTCATAAGGTGAGAATTTTCAGTGGCTTTGAGAGAACCACTCTCTTTCTTAATTGTCATTTCTTTTATAACGTTTAAAGGGAAAGGGGGCATAAATGATAAACATAAAAAAATACTTTAGGGTTATTTTAGAAAGACTTAAACCGATCCGGACTCTATTGGCTAAGATCCTCTGTTTTGGCCTGAGTCTCTTCTTCACGGAACTTATCAGTTTTCTCGTTCGGTATGGTCTGACGAGTTACATTAGCCTTACGGTCATGCTAGACGAGCCTGATGGTTCTGAGTTCTGAACATTTTCGCTTGTCACACCACTGCTACCGAATGTATGGCTTTCAAGTGCCATTTTCCTGAATTTCTTTTTTTTTGAATTTAATGTTAAATTATATTCAAAGAAAAATAAACGTTTCTACATTGTTAATGAAAAACTTTTATAACTTCTAATAGAGTCTATCCGTTGTCATTGTCTTGTTGCAAACCATGTTTGGATGCCACTAGCGAGTGAAAAGTCTCCTCCTCTTGTAATCGTGCTCATCCGATTACGAACATTCTTGTCAATCAATTTAACAAGCTTCTCCGTCGTGGAAGAGTGTTCCCCGTGTCTTCTATTGTTCCTCTCTCCCCAAAGAGAGTGTATCGTGTTCTGAAAAGTATAACCAATAAGAAACTTTTGCACCTTGTCCAAGTCTCTGTTGGCTAGTAGTGTCATCACATCCCTCCAGTTTTGCGAGAATTTGTCGAGTAGAATTCCTTTCACTAGTTTTTCCCACACCGCAGCAGAATAAGGGCATACGAAAAATAAGTGATCACATGTCTCTATGGGGTGCTTGCAGAGTATGCAGCTCGGGTCGACGTTCTGATTCCATTGGAGCATTCTATCACCTGTTGCAATCCTATTTTTCACTACCAGCCACGTTTGAAACGCATACTTAGGGGTTGCCTTTGAGAACCAGATTTCCTTATAACCATTCATCAACGGTTTAGCACTCCGTATCTGCGACCACGTCTCCTTTGTTATGAACCTGTTCTTGTAGGTGTCATTCTTCCCTTTCCATAACACAACATCGTGTTCTCCCTGTTTTCGGTTCTGTCTTTGTTTCCTCACTTCCTCTTCAACCAGATTTAGAAGAGGTTGGCGATGCTTTCGTCTTCTGGTCCTGCTCAACACTTCTCCCACTGTACTATGAATCGGAATTCCCAAGTCCACACAACCTCTATCCCCTAGTGTTTCATGGAGACGACCCAAAGAACTCCACCGATCAAACCACCGATCAAATTCATTTTCCTGAATTTCTTCAAATCCTCTCTGTATTGTGTTGAGCAGTAATCCCGAGCTCCCGTCTAAGCTGTAACTAGTGCTGTGTTCTGAAGCAGTTCCGTCACTTACGTCATCTAGAAATAAGTTGCCTTCAAATACTCGAACAATCTGCAATGACCCTAAGTCACAAAGTCTTAGGTTTTATCCTAGTGCGAGGTTAAATATTTGCCACAAAGAATTTCAGTTTGATAGTACCTGGCTCATTGTTGGGCGGCGGTTGGCTGAATGGCGGACGCTAGCAGCAGCGCAAGCAACCACTCTCGTCATTTCGATGACATCAAAGTCATTCTCTAATCGCAGGTCAACAAAACCGTCAAACTTGCCATCCTTGAGAGCTTTTGTCATCAAAGGTTTCGCCTAGAGCATTTTGGAAAACTTAGAAGCTTAATCAAATTTGAGGATTGGTGCTAAGGCAAAAAAAAAATCACTCACCCAATCAACGATGCTCTCATCGTCAGGAAATGGCATTGACATATCAAAAGGTCGGCGTCCCGTTATCAATTCGAGAAGCACCACTCCGAACGAGAAGACATCTGATTTGTCAGTGAGTTTCCCAGAAGAGGCATATTCAGGGGCCAAGTAACTGCATCTCACAAGAAAACAAGTTTTAAAGACTGTTAGTTGGTTATCAACGTATGGTTATGGTTGAATAATGAATATAGAAAGGGTTTCATACCCGAATGTTCCCATAACCCGAGTGGAAACATGAGTTTCAGTGTCTGAACAAGACCTGGCGAGTCCAAAATCTGCTAACTGATGCATCAGGTTCAACATGATTAAGTTAGTTGGGGAGTTTAAATATATCTCAAAGATGTTTACAAGTTTAAATAATACCTTTGGCTCATAGCTATTATCAATTAAAATATTTGCAGCCTTTACATCTCTGTGTATTGTTTTCGGGTTACCTGATAACCAAGAAAAACAAAGCACTCTTATTGACTCCAAACACGTAAAAATTCGAAAGAAATGTTCAAGACAGCCCATTGACAAAGAACAGTACTCACAGTCATCATGCAAGTATGACAGTCCTTTAGCTGAACCCAAGGCAATCTTCATCCTTTTTGCCCACTCCATTACCGGTGCTTCTTTCTCTGCAAATATGAAAGTGTTAAGTCACACAAAGTCACAAACCATTAATCGCAAGGAATTTAACTTAACCGTGCAGATGAAACTCCAGAGTCTTATTAGGCACAAACTCGTAAACAAGGAGTCTTTGACATCCGGTTATGCAATAACCAAGGAGTGAAACAAGATGTTTATGATGGACTCTACTAATGATCTCTATCTCCGCTAGAAACTCTTGTTCGCCTTGTCTGCTTCCAGCTTTAAGCTGTTTAATGGCAACCTCGGTTCCATCGGAAATAACTCCTCTGTGAACATAGCCAAACCCACCTTGTCCAATGAGGTTGGTGCTGGAGAAGTTACCAGTTGCTTGAGCCAAGTCTTCGTATGTGAACACGTTTTGTGCAATGTCTGAGAAGCTACTTTGATCCCATTGCTGAAGATTATTATTTTCTACAAAATCAAAATCAAAAGTTTACTAGTTGCTGAAGATTGTGTTATTTGTAAGCCATAGGACGCAAATTAAGAATTATCATCCAACTTTCCTGACTACATACCTGAACTGGGATGTCGATCGGGTATTCTTTTCCTCTTGCAGATAAATACAATGACGGCTGCAATAAGTAAGATTAAAAAGAGTGTTGATGCAACAGATGCAACAACAATATTTGTCTTCTTCTTGCTTGTAGTGGAGTGTGAAGGAGACGAACATACCCCGGGAAATTCATCGACGCTAGTATTAAAAGAAAATTTTAATTAGAAAGTTTAAAGATTTCATTGTGAGTTTTTGTTTCAAACTCACCAAAGGTTTTGACAAAAAGTATAAGGAAGAGAGAGACTCTCGGAGAAACAAAAGGTTTTGCATTTATCCAACAAGGAGGGTGTTGTTTGGAGGACAGTCACGTGAAGCCGCCAAACCAAGTGGTACTAGCTCGAAGTTAATGAGGAGAGAGGGTCTGACAAAAGAACTGGAGTAGTGCACAAGTTGTCTCATTGTGTGCATAAAAACAGAACACCTCTGTTTTATGTTCTTTAAGACAAGTGTGTGAACTGTGCAAGTGAGAGAAAGGGATATTAAAAACCTTAAAGGCTGTGGTTTCCGTGGGATGCTCTGGGAGACAAATATATGGTTCTGATTTGGGGTATGAACTTGTAAAATATTGGTGTTTAATTTTTACTTTCTTGCATTATAATTCCATTGCACGAAGGAGCTTAAGAGAGTTGAGAGAGATCACACGCATCTAAAACACATTAAGGTCTCGACTTTATTAGCTAAAAGATGTCTCAAATTAATGTACAATCATTACCTTAGTATAACCAATCCTTTTTGTGCTCTATCAAGGAGACGTTTAGGGATTATTAGACCATTTAGCTCATTGCATGATAGATTTCTGCACGATTTAGAGTCAACAACAGAGTTTGCAACATGTTAGATTTTTTTCTGTGTAAAGAAGAAATTTCAGATTTTGTGACACTTCCGTCTAAACTTACATGAATTTCAATGATTCCATATCAGCCAAAAACTCTGGGACCGAACCTGTCAGATTGTTGTTAGACAAATCACTGCCAGAAAACAAATCCAAACCCATCAGCATATATTCAAATCACAACTTTCATATGTTTTCTGGTGTTTAGAATTACTTACAGTACTTCTAGTGAAGTTAGATTTGATAACGTGTCTGGTATCTCCCCGATTAAACCGCTGGCCGTCAAGTTCCTTTTTAAAGATCGAAATGAGAACAATTAACCTTTTGTGGACCTCTAAATAGCATTTGTGAAGCAATCCATATAATTATACTTACAGAGAAACGATTCTAGGGTGTTTGTTGTGTTTATACTTGCATTTAAGACCGTTCCACATGTATTCATGTGGAACACACGGGTCACCTTCCCAATCAATCTTCTCCCTACCCCACCTAGACTTTATTCGATCAATTGCATCGACTGAGAAGTTGTTATGTAAGTCATTTTTGGTGCTTGACATAAATAAATCAAAAAGTAAAAAGTTTGTTAGATAGTCGATTTACCCTCTGTTTTATCCGTTGCTTGTTGCCCTAAGGGTTTCATAATGTATACCTCCATGGCGTTCAGCAGAGGAGGTAGCGTGGAATCCAAGGTCCTTTGAAACGAAAAAGTGTACTCTCCGTTGGCATTAGGACCGACTTCCTGATCAATTACTTGGGAGAAAGTGTGTAATCTTCTCGGCCTAAAGGCTCTGAGGATAATCCTGCCATTGTACATGATATGAAACTCTCTTGTTTCATTAGGTTTGAGATCTTGGATCTCAGAAAAGTGCAGGCAAACGTAAAATTGTGAACCCGGTTCCACACTGGTTAGCGAAATGTTCATAGGAGCGTCCGGGTCTTTTGGAGCAGAGGCCGTCATCATAGCAATCTCTGGCGGCTGGTATATATTGTAGCCATATACACGGTTATTGGTCATAATCTGTGACCAATCCTCGGAGTCGTAAGGCTGCCAAATGCGATCAAAGACATCTTCTTCATGATAGGAACCTGCTCTATACCTGAAAAAAATGAATAGAAGCATATTTAGTGCTTGTTCGTTCCAGAATTTTACATGAGATTCAAAAGTAAAACCTCAAGGGTTGGTTAGAGATTGAGCCAACGTCTGCTCTCAAGAAAGTCTGCAAGGATCCTTTTGAAGTGTTATTATAGGCTTCGCTATTGAGTTGACGCAGCTCTAAACCGGAGATGAATGGCGTTGAATCCCCCGTCTTGACCAGACAGACTTGTAACCTGTCAGTGGTCAAAAGATGAATCATCTCAAAAACAATTTCTTCTGTCTCGTTGACGGTTGATACCGTCGTCCATCGGTTAACCCCGAGATGGAGCTCGAACCGCCTAATGGAGTTGTTGTCATAACCTCCGTGTAGGAAAGTTGTCCTGATCAGATACCTTTCTCCTGAGTTCAAATCAAACGTATAACAGTTTCTGAAACCGATTGGAAAACTCCGGAGGTACCTTGCGTAACAAGTAAATAATTTGTTTTAAAATAACGAGCGGTCTAAGTTAAATATTATTTACGAATGTTCTGATATATATATTACCAGTGTTTTGCCTCTGTTGTGGTCTGGTACAACGATTTTATCTCGCTCCCAACACCCGTGGATATGAAGTCCGTATCCGAAATGTAGTTAATACCTGTATCTCTGTCTTTAAACGTGGTTCCTCTTGGAGAACCACACGATAGACTGGTAAATGTAAATTCTGTGAGGGAAAAAAAAAAATCATCAGAAAGATAAATTTTTGAAAACTAAACCGACTTGGGATATTTATTAGTTATAAAAGTAAATTGGTTTTTCTTTGTACCTGAGAAAACTCGTGGCAGACTAAAGAGAAGACAAATGGTAAGTAGTACCATTGCTCCCATAATTCTTTTTCACAAAAAAAAAAAATTATATATATGAGTAGAAGAAAGTGACGATTCTCTTTCCAAGAAAAAAGAAGAAAGTGACGATTCAGATGAAGAGAGGTGAGATTTATATTTGGTTGCAGAGCCTTTTTGTTTTTTGTTTCATTTTTTTTGTTATTTCTTGAATATAATGAATATAAGAAGCTATGCTCTCTATAAAACAAATCATAAAGATTAGAAGAAAAAGAAGAAATATAGGGTTAGATAGAACGTTTCAAAGTCACCGAAATAAAAAAGACCATGTGGGTTGGGTTGGTGTTTAATAAATTGAATAACGAGCTTAACTAAACATTAAGCTCCGGATCAACAGGTTTTATCGCAACACTCACCCAATTTTCAAAGACTATTCTCGAAAATATCACTAAAATAACTAAAAATACTCGAAAATATCCGAAAATACCAAGTAATATCTGAAACACCCAAAAATATCCGAAAAAAAATATTTGAATATAATAGATCCTAAACTTCAGAATCGAAAGAATGAGAACTGAACCAGAACCAAACCGAAACAGTTTCGATTCCTATATGGATCATAAACTACAGAACTGAAAAAAACAGAACCAAAGCTGAACCGATCTGAATATTCGAACGTCTAAGCCTAACTGTGAGTGAACGTGCTTATTGATGAGTAATTCTATATAATCGTGGGTCTACTGTAAAACATGATACATGTTTTTGCTCTTAATTTACGTACGATTACTCTACTTTCAAATCTAGTTTTGGATGGACCTTATTATTATCTGGCTACCGAAATTTTAATTACGAGATTTCAACATACATTTATTCGATCAACTTTTGCCTTTCTTGGAGTATAAGAAAAAAAATAGAGACAGTATTTCCTTCAATGCTAGAGTTTTCACATAGGTGATTAAAAGACAAATTTGATTAGAAAAGTCTTCAGAATTTAATTACTTGTCTTTTTTTTCTTTTGCTCATACACATGGATTATTTAATTGGACAAAATGTCAAAACAAAATCATCAGCTATGCGTTTTCGCTGAAAAAAGCATGAAATATTCATTTGGTGAAATATATATATATATCCAATTTTTATTGACTTTTCTATTAAATTGTAAACTTTGGTTGGTTTTGCTAAATAAGGCATGCCATTAACAAACACACTCTGGAGCCTTTTAAATTTTTTAAGGAAAAAGTAATCCTTTGTCGATTAGTCTGGTCCTGGTGATTTTTTACCAAACAATAATGAAAGGCGCCAGGGAGTGCTTGTTACCGGAACTTGACGGTGGAGGAGAAACGCTAGAAACATGTTTGGGTCCTAAATCCATGTCCAGGATCGATCCAAAATTAGCAGAGAGTTGGTATGGTGGTTTGTCAGAAATGAGATGAGTCCGATACCGGAGCTTGTGATGTGCGACACGCCAGATCAACGCCGAATTAAAGAGGGAAGCGTTTGTGAGATCTTTTGACGGAAGAAAGGATTTACGTATGTCGATAACTAGAAGATTAACATAATTGGAGATATAGCGGTATATTAGGTGTATTTCCACAGGAGTCCTTATGTAATACTTTGTGATCCCAAAGCTTTTTCAGTTTCATCACGAACAAAGTGATAATCGACCTCAATATACTTTTTTCTCTCATGGAAACAAAATTTGCAGCAATGTGCCCCATACTCAATCCTATATATATAATATAAGCTAGCACCTATGTAACTAAAAATGCAGTTAGTTTAGTGGTTTTACACCAATATGTGCCCCACATCAACCCAAATTCAAGCTCTTCTATTGTTCTTTTATTGATTTTTTTTTTACTTTATATCAATTTAATTGTAACTAATGTAATCAAAATATTAATAACTATACTATAAGTTAGCTAATTAAATTATATTTAGTATTTATATATATATAGTTTTCCATATAAAATTATTTTCTGTATCCGCCACTGATTGGTCCATGTGGTAAACACCAAATTTGAAAGAAGTACTCGATCCCACGTAACACTCATGTGACAGCACTCATCGATCTATATTCTGCAAAGGGACATTCATATTTTTTAAACACCAAGTCATGTGAGACAAAAATAAAAATCACACCATTTGGCTTTTTCTCTTTTTCTTTGATTTTACACCATTTAAACAAACTCTAAAGCGGACCGTTGAGCCTTTTTATCTCATTTTATATTCACTGATATTTCTTTTGTAATTTTATCTTGTCTCTTGATTGAATCACCTATTAAAGAACTTTGTTTAACTTAATGGTGTAGGTAACATAAATAATTGTGTGATTCTAAGATTTCCATATATTAGAAAGCAAAAAGATAGAATCAATGGAGAACCATGTCCTTAGGACAAAACTTTAAGGAGGTTACGATGTACTAAAAAAAGACACATGTATCTTTCGTTATAAATACTTGTAAACTTTGTTCATTTTTAAAAAACTTTTAAAAGAACATCAATTCATTCATTTTTGAGATGAGTAAACCCAATCAACTCTCGGTCACCATTCTATGTATCTTCAGCATCCTCGCTATAGGTGTGTATTTACATTTACAACTGTTATTTTCATTCAAATATAATATATTTGTTAAAAATATGTTATTTCTTTTAAGAATATAAATTCAAGAATTCTCCAATCTTATGTCAACTATTAGTTTTTTCCTTAATCCACCGAACTCAATAAAATTGTTACCAAAAATATCTTTCACATTCAACTTATAGTGCATTTTGTTTGCATCCCCTAATTATGGAATGGTTATATATGGTGATATAGTACATAGTTTAATGCACGTTTAATACCTACTAAACATGAGATAGTAAAAGTAGATTTTAAACTAGAAGTATTACTAAGGCCTAGGTAAATAAGCAGGTATAAGACATAAATGTAAACATTTACTAATAATATTCGAATTCTAAATGGTAACACACATACTTCTTTTAGATTTGATCTGATAATTCATTTAGAAACTGATTTTAAACCTCACACATTCCACTTTGGAATACAGTTTAACTATATATTCCACCATGCTAAAGCGGATTTTAATTTTTTCGCACTCGATCCTGATGTGATAAAAGCAAAAAAAACATTTATCAAAAATAAGATATGCATCATATCAAATCTTTATTTTAATACTATTAAAATAATAAAGAAATTAATAAAACATAGTTAGTAAAAAATAGAAACATCCACCAAAGAATTTGGAAAACCAAAATTGTTTTTTGAATATATTTTTTCTATATGTTGTAATCTCATAAATATTCATTTTACCGATCATGTCAAACTAATTTTTTAATGAGTTCAAATTTAAGAAATAAAATATAAATAAATATATAACATTCTCATCAATTAATCAAAAATTCATTCCTCTAATCTCATTACTTAATAAAGTTTTTATTTTGTGTTTTTCACTTACATGCATTGCATACGTTAATAAAATAAAACTATACTAATACTCTTATCAAGTAATTAAAATTCATTCTAAAAACTCATAAACAATTTCAAGTTTCTTTTTGTCTTCACTTACGAATAAACATTATAACGATAAATAAAATGTTTATCTAACTAAATTAATATTAAATAACTTATATATGTGGTTCTTTTGAATTTCAACATTCAATTCTATAAGTTAATAACTATGCCAAATGAATTATAAAAATTTGATGCATGTAAAAATCTAATTGATAAATGACCCACGTAAATTAGCATGCATATACAATTTTTATTGTTTGTCTTTTTGTCTTTTTTTTTAGTGATAGAAAGAAAAATGACATAAACACATGTCAAAAAAATATATGTAGATATGTATTTAAGAAAAAAAATAATATTTTCCTATTTCCTTAAAGAAAATAAAGTTATTTTTTAAACGTGTCGTCAGCATCTAATCGATAAATTTAACACATGTCGCGATCATGTAAATTACTAATTTTGAAAAGTCAACTTTATATAGTAAGATATATTTATTTCTTTTCAAGATTTGAAGGAAAATAATCCTTCAAATATTGGCCCATCAATTTTAAAAATTTCAAGTATCAATCGATGCATTCCAAACCCCTCAACTAAATTAGTAATAATAATTTTACATGTACAGATCCGCTCAAAAAAAACTATTATCGATATTATCATCCAAACAATACCATTAAATACATACTCTACATTTTGGTTTGTTATTAAGTAACGAGTATATTTTTCTAAACATAGGAGAACCCGGTGTTAGATTAATTAAAAACAACATCAGAAACATGATAAAGTTGATTGGAAATCTGAAACGATCAATCAATATTATCTATGTACCACTTTCTAGCATGCATAAAAAGATGGAAAGTAATAAATCTATGTACAATTTTAGATGTTAAACGCATTTGAGATAAAAGAGAAGCATGAACATTATCTACGCTTTATTGTTTTTTTATAAATATTAATGTTTTTATACTAATCATGATCATAGTTATAAAAACTATAATATGATTATGGTTATTATAGATATAATGATAAATTATTTGCAAATAATCAACTACGTACGTGTGTGTATGTGTGTTTTATTAATATAAGAAAATAACTTCGTTAAACATTAAATATAATATATATATATGTATATATATGTTTATTGTTTATAATGAAACTGATATTTTATGTCTTTCATATTTAACTCTCTTTTTTTTTAACTATAATAGGGGTGATGGTAAATGAAACAGTAGGGCAGAGATTGTGTGCTATAGTTATACCAAATGAAAGTGTTGACGGTAAATCATCATCATCAACTTGTATGATTGAATTGTGTGTCCCTCTATGTAAGACGAAATACGCCAATGGGACTGGTACTTGCAGAATACAAGTCCCGCAAAGTAAAGAGGTAATACCACCCATGCCACCGGAAGAAGAATGTCTGTGCGTTTATAATACTAACAGTATATGCCCCACGAAAAACAAAACAAAATCTGTATATGCTCATAAAAACATGAGAAATATCAGACCATCAGATCACTAAGTTAAATATATGAACTGCAAGTCAATCACATTTTTGGTTTTATTTTATAAGAACTCGTAATAATTATATTTAATAATACTAAATAGTCACTTTGGGCTAGTTTTGTGTGTGTGATCATCACATGAGTCTTGAATCGCATATTGTAATCTTTTAAATAAAAAACAAATAAGGTTTCATTGTTTATAATAAATATTTTGTGCATTTCCTATTAATAATTTTTTTGAATATTTATTTTAAACAAGGAGCTTATGATTTAAGTATATTAAATATTAGAAGTTTAAATTCGCATAAATGTATACTTTTTTTTTTTTGAATATTTATATTAAAAAAAGGAACTTATTTGTGCTCTCAAGGAGACGTTTAGGAATTGAAACATGTAGCTCATTGCTTGATAGATTTTGTTGATCAAAAAAACATTCTTCTGTCTCGTTGGCGGTTGACACTGTGGTCCATGGGTTAATCCCGAGGTGAAGCACGAACCGCCTAGAGGACTTGTTGTCATAACCTTCGTGTTGGAAAGTTGTGATGATCAGATACGTTTCTCCTGAGGTCAAATTAAAAGTATAACAGTTTCTGAAACCTCCCGGAAAGCTCCGGAGATACCTTGCATAACAAGTATTCTTTGAGAATGTTATGATATACCAACACTAAATTGCATTCAGATTATATAATAAATTAAAATTTTAAATAACAAAGAACCGGAACAGAATACAATTAAGACTGACTCTGTTCATCAAAAACAGAACAAAAGAAACGTGTGTACGAAGAAACTTCTAGCTTCAAGCAAATTATACATAAGATTTGATTCATCTAGCTCCTGGATTAAGCTCTGTTGTGAAATTCATGGAAAGCTCAACTGAAGAATCATTAGTTGAATCCGTCATACGGCTTCCCATGTTTCTTGCCATCTCCATGTTCAGACATTCTTTCAGATCCATTACGACTTGAGTCATCGTCGGTCTCCGTGAAGAAGACGGATTCAGACAAGTCATTGCGGTCTCAACAACTTTCCATATCGTGTTTGGATCAAAGTCTCCTTGAAGCTTAGGATCCACAATGCTGTTAATGTCTCCTCTTGATAGCATCAAACCTACCCATTCACCTATATGTGATCTTTCCCTTTTCATGTCTATCACGGGTTGGTTTGTTACTAGCTCTAGTAGAACAACACCAAAGCTGAACACATCGCTTTTCTCGGTTAACCAATTAGTTCTGTAGTATCTGGGAAATAAAACAAGAGGAAAAGGAAAAGCCACAATGTTTAGAGTTAACATGAAAAAAAAAATCAATACTTGTTGTAAAGAGAAGGGATTAAGGTTTACTCGGGATCAAGATATCCGGGAGTTCCAGCGACTACGGTTGAGACATGAGTTTCAGTTCCAAGTGGGAAAGACCGTGAAAGCCCGAAATCCGCAAGCTTAGCTTGGAATTTCTCGTTTAATAGGATGTTAGTTGTCTTAATGTCGCGGTGAACTATTTGGGGTTTGCATCCATTGTGCAAATATTCCAATCCTTGCGCTGATTCCGCTGCTATACGAAGCCTTCCTTCCCAAGTTAGTATCGACGGTCCACGCTTACCTGAAATCAAATTTTGAAACAGTATATCCGAATCATAAAAGTAAAAACCAAAATGTTAAGTCATTTTGTATAAAAACCATACCTGATAAGTGCTCTTTCAAGTCGCCATTCGCCATGAACTCATAGATTAGAGACATTTTATCGCCTTCTTCGCAATATCCAACAAGACATGTGAGATCTTTGTGATGAACTCTAAGAAGCAACTCAACCTAAAAAGTAAACAAAACAAAAAAAAGAACCAAGACGCAATCAAAACACCATTTTTTATTATAGTTAAGAGAAACATTTGGTTCAATAGCACAATCTGTTATTACCTCGGCTTTAAACTGTTTGTAACCAAGTGCAGTGGACTCAGTGAGCATCTTTACCGCAACTGGTTCATTATTCAAGACGCCGTAATAAACCACACCAAAACCTCCCCTACCAAGAACCCTCTCAAAGTTGTTTGTGATCTTAACAACATCAACGTAAGTCAATTTCCGGTTTTTCGCTATAACGGGTGGTTCAAAACCGTGGTGAGACCTCAAATGTAACGGTGTTGTACCGGTTCCTGAATTAGGATTCAAACCAAGCTTGGATCTCTTCTTCCTCTTGAGGATAAGGAAAGTAACGATTCCAGCTCCAATGAGGAAGACTGAAACAAGTGATGCTGCAACAGGTGCAATAACAGTGTTTTTCTTCTTCTTTTTCGTGGTAGCACATGATGCAGATGAACAGAGCCCGGCATTTCCTTCGATACTAGAGTTTTCACGTAGATTAAAATAAAAATTTTGATTAGAAAACTCTTAAGGATTGTTTTTTTTTTTCTCATAAGCACGGATTGTTACCTTAACGTAATCGATCCTCTTCGTTCTTTATCAAGGAGAGTTGCAGGGATTGAGCCATTTAGCTCATTTCCTGATAGATTTCTACACAAAACAGAGTGAATAGAGGTTAACAAATGTTAGCCTTTTGGTGTTAATAGAATGCGTTTGAGCTTACATGAGTTTTAAGGTTTCCATGTTTGCTAGAAACTCTGGGACTGAACCAGTTAAAGAATTGTTAGACAAGTCACTGCAAGAAAATCAAAACCCATCAAAACATAAGACTTAAAGCAAAACTTAAGTGCATGTTAACTACTTACAGAACTTCTAAACTGGTAAGGTCTGATATTAATTCTAATATCTCTCCGGTCAAGCCAGTTGCAGACAGATTCCTGTTTCCAAAGATAAAAAAAAAATTTAAAACCTTTTGTGAAAACCATATGGTGAAGAAATCAAGCTCTGCTCTAAAAGCAGAACAAACTCTATACTTACAAGGAAATGATCTTTGGGGTCTCATTCTCAATGTAAGTGCAATTAACACCAGACCACTTGTAATCCAGCGGCACGCAAGGATCTCCTTCCCAGTCAATCTTGTTCACGCCGTAAGCCGACTTGATTTTCATCATTGCATCAACTGATAACATTTTTTCCTAAGTAAGTAAAAGTTTGGTTCTTAATCAACAATAAAGCAGTTAGTTTTACCAACCTTCTTTTCCATCAGTTTCTTGTTGCGGTAACAAGTTAACCGAATAAATCTCCATAGCGTTGAGCAGAGGAGGTAAAGTCGAATTTCCGGTTCTTTGAAGCGAAAATATGTACTTTCCATTTGCATCGGCGACAACTTCTGTAGGTGTAAATACGGAAGAAGTGGTGAAATTAAGTGGTCTAAAGGGTCCATAGATATGCTTGTCATTGTATATGATATTAAACTCTCTTGTATCATTGGATTTGAGCTCTTGAATCTCCGCAAAATGCATAAAAACGTAGAATTGCACAGTACGCTCCACCCCGACTAGCGAAATGTTCATAGGTGCGTCCGGGTCTATTGGAACAGAGGCTGTGACCATAGCAATCTCTGGTGGTTGATAGTCATTGTTTACATTCACTGTCTGATTGGTACTAATCTGTGACCAGTTCCCGAAATTATACGGAGTCCAGACACGATCAAACACATCGATTCCGTACCTAAAACAAAGAAAAACAGAGTATATTTAGGAGCTTTTTCAGACTAACTTTTAACATGAGGTTTTTGAAACTTATAAACCTGTAGCCTTGGTTAACAGTCGCGCCAACGTCTGCTCTGATGAAGGTCTGCAAGGACCCTTGTCGAGTCAAGTAAGTTGTGTTCATGAGTTTACGAAGCTCTAAAGCGGAGATAAATGGCGTCGAGTTTCCTGTCTTGACCAGACAGATTTGTAAACGATCAGTGGTCAAGATATGAATCATCTCAAAGATTGATGCTTCGGTCTCGTTTGTGGTTGTAACTGTAGACCATAGATTAGGTCCGAGGTAAAGCTCGAATTGCGTGGAGGGTTTGTCGTCATAACCGCCATGAAGGAAATTGGCTCTGATTAGATATTCGTCGCCTCTGCTTAGGTTTAAGGTATAGCAGTTTCGTATGCCTTGTGGAAAACTCCGTAGGTTCCTTGTGGAAGAAGTAAAACAATTCGTAAAGAAAAGTGTTAGGTTTAAGCTATTATTCATTGATCTTGAGAAATTTATTTATTATACCATGTTTGTTGCTGAAACTGAGTCCGGTATGCTTGTTTGATGCTTTTACCAACACCGGTATTGATGAAATTTGCATCGGAAATGTAAGTAATGTTTGTTGTTTTCTCACGAAAGCTAGTTTCTCTAGGCGAACCGCAATCCAAACTGATGAATCCTGAAGACAAATTAAAGCAAAGAAGAAGCTTTTAGAAGAAAGTTTTGAATCAATGAAGATGTTATATTTTTTTTTACCTGACTGATCTTGTGCAAGACAGAGAAGTAAAGCTGAGAAGATTTGCAGAAGAACTAAAAGAAAACAAGAAGAAAACGCCATTAACATTCGTCACTTTGATTTTATTTTTTTCCTTGTTTTTGTGAGACTAGAAAGTGAAGAATCAAAAGAAGCTTTATGTGGTTAATTAAAGAAATGAAAGTGGGAATTGTTTTTCTTTTTGTCTGAACCGCGTTAGTACTGGTTACTTGAGCTCAAAGTCAACCTTTTGGTAGAGGTGACCAATTGTGAATTTTTTTACGTTAAGAGGCGTTGACGTATAAAAATGCAGTATTTATAAATTAGAGTTAGACAATGACATACCGGAGAAAATTTTGCTAATATGAAAATTTCACTAATAATTTCGATTTTAAAAATATTCCTCTGGTTAAGTCATTACTTATCTATATTGAATAAGATTGTCTTTTTGCCAATAAGCTACACTTCATCGATCTGTAATAAATCTGATGAGGATATGAAGCTTATTGGAAAAATAATAGTATGTCGATTGTGCTGGAAAAAAAAGGCAAGAAAAACATTAGAAATATGTTTTGATTTAATGAAAGTTTATTACCATATTTCATTTGGAAAAAATTACGAAAAATAAAATTAAAACGAAACATTAATTTTTATTAAAAAAAATTAAAATCAATGATTGAATAACACATGATTCTTTGCCAAAAAAAAAAAAAGAATAACACATGATTTTACTTGGATTTCCAAATCCATTCAAATCAATGATCCAATAACCCCCCCCTAAATCTTGAGAAGTCCTAAGGAAATTGGTTGGTGGCTTAATGAGGAGCTAATAATACCAATAAAACTATGGGGAGACGACCACGACTTCATTTTTTTTTTTGGTAATATACGACCACGACTTCATTGAACAAAAAAAAAAATGAGAGAAGAATATATATATAGTCAAATATCAATTTGGCATCATTATTACAAGAATTATTGCCTAGTGGGCGATATACATGCATCTTCTATAAACATAACAATTGAAAACGTTTTTTTTAAATTCGTAAATGTCTCATGTTATTGATATTTACAGTAAAACTCCCCCTGTTTTAAATTAGTTATCGTTTAAGGTTTTTTCACACGTATTAAAAAAACATTCAATTTTTCTGTTTTATCCCTGATTAATGTATTGTTTTATTTGATATCTTTAATAAATAAGCTTAAAGAATATGGGTAAAATTGAAAATTTTGTCAAACATCTACATTGAAAACAGAAAACGACAACTAATCTAAAACAAAATTTAACTTCTAAAACGACAACTAATTTAAAATGGAGGGAGTATAATTTTTCTCTAAATTAATTTATATATATTTTTTAAATATCACATATATAGAAAATACTTGTTAATTAAATATTTTTCTATAGGGAACTTGAAAATTATAATTTTGGTTGGTTTTTATATTTGTCGTTTTCTATATTATCATCATAAATATCTTGATTTAATCTTATTATAAATGATGATCAATTTATTAGATTTACCTATATACTATACAATACATGCGATTATGATTAAAGACTCCACAAACAATTTCAAGAAGTGCAGCTTTCCCTGCAAGATTCGGATTTTTTACTAACGATTATTTTTTTTTTTTACTAACGATTATTACATACATGCCTTGTTTGAAAAATCGCTAGGCGCTAGTCGGGCGCTCGGCATGGGCCTAGCGATTAATCGGAAAATCGGATTAAAATCAGGGATTAATCGGGGATTAGTTTTAGGGTTATTTTAATATTTTTAAAACATATTAATCCAATATTATTTTCAAAATTGCAGTAAACACAAAAAAATGTATTTTTGAGACAAATTTTTATGATTTTTATTATAAATTTATGATTTTTATTAAAATTTGAACATAAGTTATTGTAAAACATTACAAACTCCCAATTCAAATGATTGAATAACAAAAATAAAAATAATTAACTTTGACAAAAAAATAAAAATAAAAATAATTAACTTATAGCAAAATAAATAAATTTAATTAATTACTTACACATTAATATGTCGTTCAAAGAATCTATTTTCTAAAGAAGTCGGTATCTTTGGATTTTCCAATAAAATTATTAATTCGATAGATAAATCAATTTTAGAAAATTTTGATCATTTGACCGCATGCAATAATGATTTTGAAAGTCTAAAACGCGATGCAGTAATCATCAACTTTCTCAGAGAAGAAAACAAAAAAAAGAATCAAAAACCAAAACCAAGTGGCCTAAATTGTATACTTTTTTTGGACATGATCGGCGAATGTCGATGTCCAAATCTCTCGAAAAGAAACGAGTGCACATGGCCTAACCTTATAAAGGTTTGACTGTTGACTTTGTTTTGTTTTGACGACAGCCATTGACTTTATTTTTTTCTTTTTTCTTATTACTCTCATAATAAAATTTATTATAATCGTATATACGACATATAATATATTATGAGAAAATTAGCTGCTATACCACATTTCACCGAAACATTTTTGGTTCTACCACTTCATATACTCATTTTTCTTTTGTACCACAATTGCCGTTGGTAAAGACCATTTTACCCTCCAACATGAGAGACCAAAACCTGTAGTTGATGTGCCCCTCTGACTTTTCTGCCTTTCTTTATTTCTCTACATTGGTAACTACAATTTTCTCTTTCTTTATTTGTTGTTACATTTTTATTTTCTTTATTTATTTCTTTCACTTTCACTTTATCTCTCTCTTTGTCTAGTTCTTTCTCTCATTTACGACAAAACTTTTTTTCATATAAACATTCTCTACTGTTGTCCAGATCTTGTCCCCGATTGGGAATTCTCTGTTGCGTTCAGATCTTGTCCCCGATTCATCATTTTGTTTTATTATCATGAATTCCACATTTTGTCTACCAATTGTTCTCGTTTAAGGGTTTTGAATTTTATTTAGATTTCTCGGCATCTATTTTGGTCCACAGATTAGTCGGACAATATTGTCCTCACTTACCCGGATTATTGAACCTTTTTTTTTTTCCTCTGGCTAGTAAAACAAAGTTGTCCCCGAGTAAATCCAGATCTTCGTCTTCGGCTCTCTGGGGGAATAAAATAAAGATCAAGTTGTCTCCGAGTAAATTCAGATCTTTGGCTGGTAAAACCACATCATCTGGCGATGGACAATCAAGAGAAGTTGTCCCCGAGTAAATCCAGATCTCTGGCTGGTAAAACCACATCATCTGGTGATGGACAATCAAGAGATCTGGACTTATTCTTGGGGGACATCATTCACTCTATTTCATAATTATTGTCCATGATAAATGTAAACTGCATTTAATGCAATGTTTTGTCCTTCTTCTCTGACACAAAGTTGTCTTTCAGATAAAGTTGTCCTTCTCTGACACAAAGTTGTCCCCGTTTCCCAACCGGCGTCTACTGTACCTCCTTCCCCTGACACATACCTGACGCACAGAGAAGGGCAAAATCGTCCAAGATTTGCCACACAAACACCAAATGTGGTATGGATGCTAAATCCATTTCAAATGTGGTACATTTGCTAAGATTTTCCCAAAATGTGGCACATTTGGCAAAATTCCCATATATTATTGCAATAAATTAAATCAGATATTTTTACTGATGATATGATAGAAGATTAGAAGAAAAAAAGACATAATAAGAAGGGTATCTACACAAAGTAACCATGAAAGACTTCATAATTAACTGACACATTCTATCACTATTTATACGGTATATTAGCAAGAAAAATGACATTATTGTTCTTGTTTTAATTATTCTCATCTCTCTATTCTCATCTCTCTTATTCAATTCCGATGGTGAAATTGGTATATGACACGATAACATGAAAATTGACTGTGGTAGTGGTGATATGATACGGTGGAAGTAGATTATATGGTGGATGCAGAAATGGGGGAAGACAAGGAAACAATGGGAAGTGATACCGACATAGAAGAATATAGTGGCGGTGATGATTTTATCGGGGCGGTGGTGATTTATCGGCGACGGTGGTGATAATTATAGTAGGGATTGTGGTGGAGCAAAAGATGGTTCTGAAGTGATGGGCTGAGAAGAATACAAGGGAGGTGGGGCGATTGAAAATTACGATAATGGTAGCTTTTGTTTAGATCCAAATTGGTTAACAATCATATTACCGAGTTAATTAAAACCGTACCTGAAACTAAATACTTTTTTATAGGAGATAATACTTATTTACTAAGTTAACAAGTTACAAAATAAATTAACACTTCATATTACTCGGTAATAATATAAATGATCGATTACTAATGTTAATTTCATATTTAATACGTTATATGTAACTCGTTATTTTTTTATATACGATATAATATATGAGTTATCATGATAAACATAACTTTATCACATAAGTATAATCTTATCGCGATATAATATGATTTAACACGATAAAATTATAAACTTACAGATATAAATATTTTGTTATCATGATAACACAATAGATATTACCGAGATATTTGATGACCAGTAAAAATAAAAATAAACGTCAATGTCTAAAAATTCATTATATCGCTAAACAATTTGTTATCTGGAAAAGGGTATTTTCGTCTAACTTACACAAATTGATGAGAGAGAACTAATAATACAGAAAACATGTGTATATACTTAATTTTCCAGTCTTCTATGTATTTAGATTAATATAACCCTAATAAGAAAATGAGCTTTTAGTTTCTTATATATAAAATAAAATGTCTTATCCAGAAGACCAGAACTAATAGCATTTTAGCAGAAAATATTATAGTAAAGATAAGAAAACATTATTAGATGTTGAAAAAAAAAACATATTCGTTACTAGAAGAAGAAAAAAAAAACAGGCTTTGACCAAAAAAATCATCATTTGTTATATACTGTACTTTAATGAGTAATCAATCATGGATGACTCGATAAATAATACATTCTTGTTAAAAAAATGTATTCATATAAGAGTATCCATTAAACAGAAGAGATTAGACTTTAATTTCAAGGTTGTATTTTGACATGGATGAGATAACGCGTTCTAATCTGTCCCACATCGTAGACAATGTACTCGTTGTGGTAAAAACAACTCTGCCAGCAAAACGATAAGAGAAAATATATATTAGCCTAAAGATATGAAACAAATCTGAGGATAATTCTGAAAACAAATGAAAACTAGTGAAAAACCTGAAGGCCATTAACATCCAGAGGACGTCCAAGTGGAACAACAATACCATCCTCTAGAGTTCGAGCTTCTTCCGGGTTCGGTTCTTTTCTTCCCATTCCCTTTGTGCTACACATTACACATGAAAATTGCGAAATATATATTACAGTGGTTCTTCATTTTCTCCTCTACTTTATTTGTCTTCTTAACTTTTTGTGTTTTATTGTCTTTCTCTTTAGGTTTAGTTGCAAAGCCTCTTGTGAGATTCATATAGACATTTTGAGAATAATGGTTGTTTAAGGATGTACGAAGAATCCTATGAGACATAACTCCAGCACCTGCTGGTGAAGTCAAACCACAACCGGTGGTGAAGATCTTTTTCATCAACCAAAAACGTTGCAAATTCGCCATTATTCCGACAATCCAGATATTCACAGACTCACAAGAGAAGGAAAAAGAAAAAAAGGAAGCGTGTAGGTCAATTTATGTAGAGATTAGGTTCTTTCTTTTGTGTAATCGTAGGCATAATAACTTTATATATATATAGAAAATATAATTAAAAAAGGAAATTTGCAAGAATTTTACTTTTTTTTTCTTTTGCAAAATAACCCTTAATTTACTACAATTTTTTGGTAATAGAATTGCCATGATACAAATTCTCAGCCACAATCTCCCTTTACAATGATTCTTCCGACACAAGTTTCCAATTTACACACCATTACGAAGTAGTTTTGTTCAAACAAATAATGATGAGTGACACTGTTTACCCATTCATTACAGAGAAATTACAGAGGAGAGAACCCATGTGAACCTAATCTTTTTGTCTTGGTCAAACTAAAGAATTAAGAAATTGAAGTCTCTGGTTTTTGTCTACACATATCGTTGACTTGTTCATTAGCATATATATACACAAGTTATTTAAAGATATCAACTAAAAATTACAAGTTGGCTTTTTTGTTGATTAGTGTCTACTTGTTAGATAATGATTTATACGTTGTGAGCACAACAAAATTGATATCTACCAGAGAGTTGACATTGTCTTAAAGTTGTTGACTTTGAACCCAAAAAAAAAAACTCTGCTGTTTTCAGAAATGGATAAACCAATTTTACATTATAGGAGATGATGGTTGTTTCTGTTGTTTGAAGAACCGAGATGATGGCATCGAAGGCGAAGGCGCTTACGTTCTTTTGTTGTGTGGCTCTCATCAATCTTGCCATTGCCCAGGATCAATCAGGTTTGGTCAAATTACATATTATGCTCTTCTTTGATCTTTTATCTGTATAATATGAAAAAAAAAACAGAGATTATGTTTGCCGTTTTTAAGTTAATAACTGGTTTTTAAACATCTGAATCAGAATTCATTAGCATAGATTGCGGGTTACAACCGGATAATTCCAGCTACACGGAAACATTGACTGGTATTAAGTATGTTTCGGATTCGAGTTATACGGATACAGGGACAAGCAATTTCGTTGCGCCTGAGAATAGACAAAATATGAAGCAGAGCATGTGGTCTGTTAGAAGTTTTCCAGAGGGAATCAGAAACTGTTACACTATTGCTGTTAAAAGCAGCACTAAGTATTTGATCCGGGCGGCTTTTATGTACGGTAACTACGATTCGAGGAACGAGATACCGGGATTCGATCTTCACTTGGGTCCAAACAAATGGGACACTGTTCAATTGGTGTCCCCTCTCCAAGCAGAGTCCAAGGAGATCATATATTATGTGTTGACAGATACATTACAAGTGTGTTTAGTGAATACAGGAAACGGTACGCCTTTTATATCGGTATTGGAACTTAGACCGTTGCCGAATTCTTCTTATGTATCTCAATCTGAATCACTTCAACTCTTTCAACGGTTGGATTTTGGATCGACAACAAATTTAACGGTCAGGTATCCAAACGATGTTTTTGATCGGATATGGTTTCCCTCCACGCCAAATGGGACAAAGCCGTTAAGTGACCCGTCGACTTCTCTCACAAGCAACAGTACCGGTAATTTCCGTCTTCCACAAGTTGTAATGAGAACTGGAATTGTACCAGATAATCCAAGAGGGTTTGTAGATTTTGGATGGAATCCAGATGATCCGTCTCTTGAGTTTTTCTTTTACCTGTATTTCACGGAACTTCAACAACCGAATTCCAGATCAGTAGAAACAAGAGAATTCGTGATCTTGCTGAACGGAGAGGCTATTGGGCAACCGCTTAGTCTTGATTACTTCCGGACCTTAGCCCTGATCACTCCAAACCCTTTGAAAGCACAGACCTTCCAGTTTTCTCTTCGTCAGACTCAGAGTTCATCTCTTCCACCTTTGATCAATGCTATGGAGACTTACTTTACTAAGAAACTTCCGCAATCATCGACCGATCAAAACGACCGTAAACTATCTCATTCCTCTGCTTTTCCATTTCAGGTCTGCATTTTTCTGGCTCTATCTTACCCATTTTCTCTATGAACATTCTAGTTTCCGCTATGAGGAATATTAAGTCTGCATATAAAGTCAAGAGAAACTGGGAAGGAGACGTATGTGTGCCTCAAGCTTACACATGGGAAGGTCTGAATTGTAGCTTCAGTGGCACAAACAGGCCTAGAGTAATAGCTTTGTAAGTGTCTTATAAACAGTTTCCTTCTCTCAATCTTGAGTGAGTCTCAGCAGTTATTAGCTCTATGCAACAGGAACTTGTCATCCGCCGGATTGACAGGAGAGATAACGTCTGATATATCGCGGCTTTCACAGTTGCAAATTCTGTAAGTTTGTTCTCTTGTTGGTAATAATGGTATGCAAATAGTAGTAGTCGCTCACGTTTTTAACTTTCAGGGACTTATCCAATAACAATTTGACTGGACCAATACCAGCTTTCTTAGCTCAACTCCAATTCCTGAGAGTCTTGTATGTATTTTTCTCAACCAGACATAATAGTAAAATAACTTATAGCTCCTGATAACCAGTAAATGACATTATCTACTGTGGATTTTGTAGGCATTTGGCAAACAACCAGCTTAGTGGTCCTATACCATCTAGTCTCATGGAGAGACTAGAGTCATTTACGTACTCAAAACAACTTTTCTTTCTCATTCTATATGCGTTTGAGAACCGTGTAACGGTTTAACTCATACTTCTTAGTATCTAATGCAGTATCAATGGGAATCCAAGTATTTGTCCTACAAATGCGTGTGAAGAGGTCTCAAAAAATAAATCAAAGAAGAATAAAGTTCCCAGCTTTGTCATTCCATTAGTTGCATCACTTGCAGGGCTGCTTCTTCTTATTATCATATCTGCAGCTATATTTTTTATCCTCATGAGAAAAAGGAAACAAGGTATGTTTTAGTGAAGTGACATGTTTTCGATTTTACGGGAAAATGGTGTTGGTAATGTGCATGGTTTTTGCTGCAGGTCGAACGATTAACCGGACAGTTACAGCTACGAGTAATGGACCGTCATTACAGAGGAGAGATACTGGTTCAATGCGTCCATCTATGCAGCGAAGAGAAGTCGGTTTTTCAACACGGCCATCTTTACAGAGAATTGAGAGCGGAATGACGGACTACGAAGGGAATGAAACAGCGGTTGATGCGTTTGATTTGGAACCCGCAAATAGGAAGTTTACATATGCAGAGATTGTCAATATTACAAATGGGTTTGAGAGAGATCAAGGGAAGGTAGGATTTGGAAGAAACTATCTTGGACAGTTAGATGGTAAAGAAGTAACTGTCAAGCTTGTTTCTTCACTGTCTTCTCAAGGCTACAAACAACTCAGAGCAGAGGTATATGCTCTGTTATTAACCAATCTTTTTTTTTTGTTGATAGTTAATGAAAAGGGACTTAGAAGAGCTTATGTGAATGCTGATTGTAGGTCAAACACCTTTTCAGAATTCATCATAAAAACCTTATAACCATGCTTGGTTATTGCAACGAAGGCGATAAAATGGCGGTTATATATGAGTACATGGCTAATGGAAACTTGAAACAACATATCGCAGGTTTTGAAATCTTGTTCTGCTTTAGATTCTTCTTATGTAAAACCAATATCTCAGTTATGATCTTCTTTTGTGCAGAGAACAGTACAACTGTTTTTAGCTGGGAAGATAGGCTCGGGATCGCGGTTGATGTCGCACAAGGTTAGCATTTGAAATTCACTCTTGTATTGGACTGGAACAATCTCCCTCTATCTTGGAGTTCTGTTTCTAAAACAAGTTATGTTTCTATAACAAGTTATGTTATTGCGGTTGAATTTTAGGACTTGAGTATTTGCATACTGGCTGCACGCCGCCAATCATTCATAGAAACGTCAAGTGTACAAATGTATTCTTAGATGGAAATTTCAATGCGAAGTTAGGCGGTTTTGGCCTTTCGAGAGCGTTTGATGCAGCAGAGGGAAGTCATTTGAATACAGCCATAGCGGGCACTCCTGGATATGTCGATCCTGAGTAAGCTCAAAGCTCGAATCTTAGCAAAAAAGCAGAAGAAATGTGCTTTCTTTTCTCGGTCTTTTCATATGAAAATATTATCTTTCATTGCAGGTATTACACATCAAACATGTTAACAGAGAAGAGTGATGTGTACAGTTTCGGTGTAGTTCTATTAGAGATTGTTACCGCGAAACCCGCAATCATAAAGAATGAGGAAAGGATGCATATAAGTCAATGGGTTGAGTCTTTGCTTTCAAGAGAAAATATTGTAGAGATTCTTGACCCGAGTCTTTGCGGAGACTATGATCCAAACTCTGCGTTCAAGACCGTGAAAATAGCCGTGGCTTGCGTTTGTCGAAATTCTGGCGATAGACCCGGGATGAGTCAAGTGGTGACGGCTCTTAAGGAGAGTTTAGCTGTAGAGGTTGAGAGGAAAAAGCATTTGCCAGTTGTATCAACAGATTCACTTGAAGAGCTCGCACTTGGCTTTGGTTCCAATCCACCTCCTCGTTTGAGATGATTATTTATTGATTTTGTTTTTTTTGTAATGTTTGTGGTCTCTGAAAATAATTTGTTACATAAGTTTTTTTTTTTGTGAGTTGGAATAACCAAAAAAATCGTTGTGCATACAGGTTTGATCCAGATTTGAGGATTTTTCTTACCGTTTATAGTTTTAGGTCTGATTAGGGTTTTGTATGGGAAGAAAAGATTAAGCAGCCAAGCGTGGGGAACAAATTTTGCAAGGACTTTACTTGTGACCTAAGGAACTTCCAGTTTTGTGTCCTCCTCTGTTTCTCTTCGGTGACTTAGACTCTGTTTCCTCGGCTTGACACTGCCTTTTATTTTATTGATTTGACAACTGAGAATTACATAAAATAAACTGTTACCATGTAACCATGGTTGACATTTTCGATAGGTAGATGAGATGAAGAAGAGAGATCCAACGTTGGTATCAAAGTTCATCTTTTATGTAACTTTTATTTGGCGATGAAGACGACTCAAGAAGATATCTTGTGGCCAAAGAAGCAAGAAGGGAAGCACCATAAGGGAGTAATTCTTCATTAACTTCAAAATATGGAGAGTGAGGGTTCGCCATTGGTGAATGAGATTTGTTCTGCATCCCAACAAAGCTAAAATGTCCCCGCGTTGCTTCTCGGTAGAAAGCGAAATCCTCTGATACCATCACTGGTCGCGTCTCAACATAATTCTCAATCCCTAACATATCCACTGAAACGTTCTCGTAAAACAGGTGCAAGGCTTTGTCGTTCTCAGTGGGAGGGAAAGGAGGAGTCTCATCTTCAAGAAAGTCAACTGTTGCATTACACATATTTACGCTTGCTTGCGTTGTGATGACCTGAAACATTGGACTCGCGTTTTAAAGTTCGGTCTCGAGAGGAGAGGAAGACAGCGGTCTCATCAAACTACACATCAGAGTGCAAAGTTACTGACCTGCTCAATTCTTTGCTTGAGTTGCTCAAAACTTTTAGGTAAAAGGGCTCGGAATGTGCCACCGATAGTAACAAAGTCGGGAATGACATTAAAAGCATCACTGCCTTCAAATATAGCAACTGTAACCACCTGTAAGCACTCAAATCAACTCACATGCTATAATATGAATTCTTGAAGAGCCAATGATTAAATTATACCTGCGAGTCTAAAGGATCTGCCTCTCGCGAAACGAGGTGTTGTAAGCTCAGAATAACATTTGAAGCTGCCAATACTGGATCTATGGCGAATTGAGGAAGAGCCGCATGACCTCCTTTCCCGCTTATCTTAGCTTTGAAACGTCCACTACCAGCCATCAATAGACCCTCTCTTGAGCTAACTTGACCTAATCCCAATAGATTGGAAACATGTAATCCAAAGATTGCACCCACATTCTCCAACACTCCAGCCTCCACGATTTTCTTTGCACCTGCTCCTCCTTCCTCAGCTGGTTGGAAAACCAGAATCACTGTACCCTGATGAATAAAATGTCTAACAAGTGTTAAATAAGAAACCAAACAACATGATGATTGCAACAGATTTGAAGTTAAAAATGTTATTAACTAGACAAATACAGCACAACACTAAACCTGTAGCTCCTCTTGGTGTTCTTTTAGCAACTTTGCAGCACCGAGGAGCATCGTAGTGTGAGCGTCATGACCGCAAGCGTGCATCTTCCCGGGAATCTTACTCTTGTGTTCCCATTCCACCATTTCCTACACAATTCAATCATTTTCTTCTTCAATAAGAATCCACTAGCTTGCGACTCAAGTAATTTAAAATCACATAAGAAATCTGATCCATAAGTCGAATGAGAATGGTTATATCTTAAATGCCAGTTAATATGTTGTTTGTTTTACTAAAAATTGTTATTCAGAAAAAATCAAATTTAATACTAACAGACACACATATTTTTAAAAAATAAAACTACCGAAATGCCATAATTATTCCTTTTTTGATCAGGACCACCATTTTCATTATTGGCCAGTCCTGCTCTTTCAAAATATTAAACACTAGCTAGCGAAGAAGTATCGGTGATTATGTGTTGGTTAGTTGTCTGTAAAATGATTGATGGTGAAATCGTAAAATAAATTTATTTTTGCTAAAACACTATATACGTATATATTTGATTACGACTTTGCCTAAAAAAAGTTCAAAGGAGTATTTTTTTAAAATTCATTTTTTCGTTTTTTTTAATAACCAAAGAGTGATCCGAGCATTTAACACTCAACTAATTTTCCAGGGTGAGTATAGCTCGCGAGTAATCGACTCTCTAGATTTTTGAATGGACCTAAAACATGACACCATTTTTACTGGCCAAATATAAGTGATTAAATAATTTCGCTCTAGAGGGGAATAGATTGAAAAACTTTGTAAATGAAAACTTTTTTATACCTGAATAGGAAGTGCATCCATATCAGCCCTCAAAGCAACAAAGGGGGCATGACCAGTTCCAACATATCCAATAACACCAGTTACAGCAACTGGATACTTATAAGACACATCCATCTTCTCCAATTCTGTCCTGACTAGCTTAGATGTCTCTACTTCCTCGTAACCTAATTCTGGGTTCTCGTGGATCCTCCTTCTTATTCCAACCATCCAATCGAAAAAATCATCTCTTTTAGCTAGACTAAGGAACTTTTTAGGAATTTGAGACAACTCATTCGAGGAACATGAAATCAGACACGAGTTGAGTAAGTGAAGGATCAAAACAAAAGAAACCAATTTGCAGAAACTCATTGTGAATCAAGAGATTTCTGCGTGATGATGATGAAGTAAGAAAACATGAAGGAGAAAGCGGCATTTATAACCAAGAACTCACAAAATAGCAAGCCAAATACAACACGGAAACTTCATAAAAATCTTCATCTTTTTTGTAATTTTCTTCGATCCCAAGTCACCATAAAAAATATTATTTCCCAAATTTATTAGGATCCACTAGCTAAGGTTTCTTGGTAGTATATCAATTATTGTGACGCTGGACAAAATTTAAATATTTTACTCACGGTTCGAATTCGAACTTAATAAACATGTGGAACATTTTCACTGTGAAGTTGAACCCAACTTCTTCTTCTTACTTAGTCATCGATTGTATAGTTTCGGTTAAAATATAATTAAATTATTAAATGAAAGAAAAGGGTTGTTTAGTATGAACTTAGATTATAAACATTAGAAGATACAAAGTAAATAAAGGTTTCGAGAATGTATTTGGCTCAAATTTTCTGATTTGCAAGATCTTTTCTCTTTGTTTGGAGAATCATTTCATTTTCATTTCAAGCTTTCGTGACACCTGGAAGAAGAAACTAGAAATTGAACGGTTGTAATTGTTGGACGGTGTGGTATATTTTCTCTTGGTACAAATAGCTACAAAGCACGTCTAAAACGTGTTTGATGGATTCTTTCATAAATATTTATTCTTTTTGTACGTATTTTAAAAAATATTTAACAATAAATCAAAATATATTTTAAGAAAATTATGATAACAAGACGTAACCCTCGAAAACATTTATTAAGATTTATATTATTATCTGAAAAATATTATGGTGAAAAGATGTGATCATAAGTAAAAATATTAAACAAAGAGTTGTAGTGAGAATAAGCAATATTTCAATTTCTTAAACAATTATAAATCCTATACTATTATTTGGGGAGTACATTTTATAAGATACCCTTAACTAACATTCCCTTTTGTAAGAATTTACTTAAGAATGCCATTAGAAATAAAATTTTATAGAGTAAATTAATTCAACTCATTAAGGATAAACAAGTCAAATACTATTTTATGCAATTTAATTAATTTAATTTAATTATAAAAACGAAAATCTATTATTAATTTTTTAAAAAAGAATGACCAATCAAAATGAACATATAAGATTTGATATCTAACTTATCACATTAATTTGTTATTAATCATTATACTTCACCTCTCATCTTTATATTATTCTATTTCTATAAAATAAATAAATTATTACATCATCTACATAATAAAAAAAAAGTAAATTTTTTCCGCATATACAAAGATTTGAATTTTTAAAAACGAATATAAATTGTTCAATGTATGAAAGAACAAATTTAACGGGTCAAAAATTCATATTTGAGTAATATATTCCTTTTTTAATATCATCAATACTTAATAGATCAAAAAGTTAAGAAATATAAATACTCTAATTTGATTTTTTGAAACAAATATTTATAATAGACGGCGGGTTAAATATAATGTATTATATGATGAAATGAGTTATGATCCTTATAACTATTTGAATATTTATATTTAATTTCATATATATATTTTTTAAAAATTCATAATTTTACATACTACAATAAAAATTTTAAAGATTTTAATTTGGAACATTTAAAAAAAGTTTAATTTAATATATTAAAGAATATCATAAATATTTAATAGATTAAAAAGATAAAAAAATACTAATTTGATTTTCTAAAAAGATATGTTTAATATATTTATAGTAGGCGGCGGGTTAAAAATAATGTATTATATGATAGAAAGTTATGATCCTTATAATAGACGACATTTTAAGATTTTATGTTGAGATGAGTTAAATAAGGTTTGACACTTCTAAATATTTGAAAATTTAATTCTGCAAGCAATTTTGGAAATAATGAATAATAGATTGTGCCACAATATTTTCATAGGGATTGTAAAATGAAAATATAGACTCCGTACATGGATCGAATTTGGTATTATTATATACCAAATATATGTTAATAACATATTCAATTATGTGAATAATTGGTAAATTCCGTAATTAGCTCAAACAAATCTCTATTTCAACAACCAATGAATTAGATTTTGAAAAAAAAAATTCTTAAATTAATTCAAAATAATAGCTAACTTTTTTAACTAATTCAAAATAATCTACGTTTTAGATGCGATTCATTTATGATATTTTGATTTTTGATCTAACTAAATTATATGCACTCTCATTTTGTGGTTGTTAACATAAATTAACTCATTGTTCAAACAATATTATTTTTTTTGAAAATAATATTATTTTCCGTTTTCATATCTTTTAAAAATATATCCATAATTGAGGATTACAGAAAAATAAAAATATATTCATTCTAATATTATATATATGGACTGACATAAAAAAATTAATAAATTTTTTTTATTTACTATTATAATATATCACGATTTTATTCTATAACTATATAATATATAAATTTTGTAATAAATGAAATTCAACTCGTACTATAGTACGGGTGATGATCTAGTATAACTATATAAATATAACCAACAAAAATATTAAACAAAGAGTTGTAGTGAGAATAAGCAATATTTCAATTTCTTAAACAATTATAAATATAACTATATAAATATAACCAACAAAATAGTATGATAAAAAAAAACACAAGATTTTAGATTGTGTTATGTTAAAGAGAGATAAACAAATAACCAAAAATTTAATATATTTTTCTTATGATCGCATTTTTTTCACCATAATATTTTTCTAATCATAATATAAATCTTAATAAATGCTTCTGAATGTTACGTGTCGTTATCATAATTTTCTTAAAATATATTTTGACTTATTGTTAAAAATATTTTACAAAATTGTCTTAATTTATTATGACTTCAGGTTTGATATCGCAGAGGTCCTAATTCATAGTTAAATATAGCCCTGAGACGGATCCGGATATCCGGGGTTTTTTGGAGTATCCGGATCCGCCGGATCCATAGTTTTAGTATCCGGATCCGGATCCATATACCACGGATATCCGGGTTCCGGTCCGAACTACTTCCAAAATCGACGAATGCTGAGATCGAGTCGTTGTTGGCCAGAAATCTCTCAGTCCCCGTCCAATACTAGCCCTAGATCTCGTCTTCTCGCTCCGAAATTGGCCACCGAGTCAGATAAGAAGACAGAGAGCCTTGCGTCTATTTGTTAGGCGGACCATTGTTGTCGCCGGCGGTAATATAGGGATTCATCGCCCGATTGAAATCATCTTCCGCCGAGGATTATTTGTGCGAATCTTGTGAATTAGATGTGAGAGGAATCGAACAAGCCTAAAAGAAATCGATTTAGGTGTTCTTTTGGATTTAGTTCAGCCACTGTGTTTTTAGATCTAGGGTTTTTAGGTTGAAGTCGAAGAGATAGCTAGAAAACTAGAGATATTGGGTTTCTGTCAACAAAATTAACTTAAATTAGGCCCATTTCATAAGCCCATTTATATTTACGACGATGTCCATTAACCAATTAACTTCAAATCACGTTTATGCTTTATAAAAGATTATTATATTATTTATAAATATTGTGTATAGTACCGGATCCGGATATCCGGTTGACTTTTTTATTATTATATGGATCCGGCTGCCCCGGATATCCGGTTTTTCGGAGCGGATCGGAGCGGATTCCGGATCGAATCCCGGATCCCGGATAATAAGTCCCAGGGCTAGTTAAATATATTAACAAATTTAATTTTGGCATGTGGCGACATCTTATGTTTTATTTAGCAACTTTGAAAACAGAATTTTATTTAATAAGAAGATACTCTTGCTGTCAGTTTTATATGGTTTCCATAATCTATATATAATAGCAATCTAATAAATACCATTTGCACATCTGAACGGTTGCGTCTTTTTATCGCAACCTTTCGTTTAAATCGGTTAATTTTTTACGGTTATTTTGGTTGCGTCTTTTTATCGCAATTTTCGTTTTAATCGGTTATTTTTTTACGGTTATGTCGTTTCCAATAAATACCATTTGCACATCTGAACGGTTGCGTCTATTTATTGCAACTTTTCGTTTAAATATTTATGGTTGTTTTTCTTACAGTTATTTTTGTACAGTCATGTTGTTTTATTGAATTTCTTTTTACGTAAACCAATAAACTACATATAAAATTGGTTTTATTTCATAGTTTACATATGGATATATTTAGTAGTATAACCTCCTTAATTATATCATTCATTTAACATTTACGTGATATCATGGGAAAACAATAATATAGAGGTTTAAATAATTTTGGACATACGTGAGTGAAATGAGCCCTACGCATTAAAGCTGTAACGGACACGTTCGTCTACGTAATGGACTTATCGAATAGTTGTAAAATCGTGCCTTTTCAACTCTATATATTGTCTTTCTTTTCGAAACTCCAATTTTTTGTCCTGCTACAACGATTATTTGTTCTACGATGATAATAAGCAAACCATATCCTTATTTAATAGAACCATTGCAACATTTAGTTTATTTCATGAACAATTACAACTTTAAGTTTATTTTATAAATCTTTATAACATTTAATCATCTACCGTCGGTGTAACCTTTCATAAATTATTATTTTTAGTTCTTAATTTTTAATTATTAAAATGTATTTAAATGAGATTGTAACTATTTAATTGAACTGTTGCAATATTTGGATTATTTGACGAATCATTGCAACTTTTGGTTTTGTTTTACAAACCATTGTAATCTTTAGTATATTTGATGAACCATTGCAATATTTGGTATATTTGACGAACCGTTGCAGCTTTTGGTATATTTGATATCTACGGTCACGTCTCTCGGTTAAAGTTTGTCATATTTTGTAAAAAATATTTAATTACTAAAATATATTTAAATAAATTATTGTCACCGTTTAATTTAACATAGTAGCATTTGGTTTATTTGACGTTGAATATTTTGGTTTATTTATCAAACCGTTGTAACCTTTGGTTTATTATTTGATGCTTTTTGCATTTGGGAATAATTTTTTAGTTACAAATTAATGTTTTTCTAATATTCATATAATTAATAAATGCTTGTGAGGGTTTTCTTTATCATAATTTTTGTAAAATATATATTGATTTGATATTTTTAAAAAAATCAAAATTATTACAATTTATTATAATTTTTCGTTTGATATTTTTTAAACGATTTTTGAAATATATTCTCCCGCGACATCGCGGGGGTCTTGAGTCCTAGTTTATGTAATACCGATACGTTTAAAACTGCATTTTCCAAGATTTACTCCAAAATTTTAAAATTTGAAATCCATGGCCCTTTACTTTATCCCAATCTTCATGGACTAAGTTTCATGTTCTCCTCAATTTATTCCATTTTCTTAGGAACAAAGATAGTTAGGCGCCCCAAACGACATGATCAAGCTTTACTGGTTTCTAGTACAGTCGCTTTTCCTTGACACCATGAGGAAATGAAACGAACATGCCAAAACAACAGCATTTAGAAGAAAATTCCTTTAATACTCTTCTTGAAAAAATCCAATTTACGAGTAATTTTAGACTTCTAAACATAGAAACGGATGCTCCTAGGGACTGAAAAGAATTCAAAACTCTCTTTATCCAATAATATGTCATGTCAAAAATATGATAAAGCATCACAATACCTGTAATATCTCATTGTGAAAGAGGAGATAAACTAATGACCAGTTCGGTCCATGATCATACTCTAAACTCAAGCACTTATCAAAACAAAAACCAAGAGTGACGAGTGGAAGATATGTTAGAAACCAACTCAAGAATCTTGGGTGCAAGTTGCAGTAAGGGCTCCAATGCGCTTGGAGCAAACTTTCTCGCAAAGAGATAACAGATTTGAGACTGCTGATCATTGTAGAGGCAGGATTTGGCTCCCGGAAGCTTCTTGAGAAAACTTTCCGTTATATCAGCCTTGCTAAAAGTAGCTGGATGAGCACCACCACGTGACCAATCTGTCCATGTCAATGTCCGATTAGCCAGCAAAAGACGATGTTTCATAGACAGCATTGTGGGGAAGTAATGTTCATCAACATAACATGGAGGTCTACAAAACTCTTTGAATTTGGGATAGTAAGTAGTATCTTGAACAATCTCAACAGCGAGTTTCCGGTTAATTTCAAACCACTGAGACCCTTTTCGCCACTGGCTTAGTGTAACCTCAGGTTCCATTTCAGTCCTGTATCTACCTCTCCCATCAGGTCCTTCCTCATCAGCAGCACCCATGAAACTATATCTTGATTCAGAGACATAACTATAGATAAAGCCGAAACCGCGCAGAGGAATACATGATTCAGACAGCAGAACAAACCATTCATTAGAGATATCAAGCAACGCATTAGCCAATAGCCTCCTCTCTGCTTCACCCATACTCATCTCTCCCCATGCCACAGCCTATAACATAGAAGGAACTGATAATGTGAGGAACATAAGAAACAAACACAAAACAAGATTTTCCTCTGAAACATCAATGACAGTACCTGACTAGGGATATATCTTCTATAAAACACCGATGACCTTGAAAAATCCGATTTGTAACTAGGCAATGAATGAACATAGATAGAGTAAAAACCCTCCTGTCCCTTAAAGAACTTCTCCCAAAGTGGAGCAAATGGTAAAGGACCTTTGGCAAGAAACATGAAAGCCAATTTAGGAACACGTTTAAAGGGATAACCATTCCTCTGCGGCTCTATAGAAGCACGCCAAAGCAATTCACTATCATTCATTGTGTGCCAAACATTCAAAGGAGGCCTAATAAAGCTATCTAAAGTAACAGTCTCATGATTATACGTAGAAAGCAAAGTAATTGGAGCCACAGGATCCAAACGTTGAATCTTCAAGAACTTGATCATGTGTATACTAACAACAGAGATCCCAAGAGTCAAAACAAGAAACAATAACAAAATCTGAAGCAGCCGCATTGATAAAAGAGCTCTAGATTGGTTTGTGACTCTCGATTTAGGAGGTGATGCACCATTTTCTTTAACACCTTCCTCCATCTCCATTACCATCACTTTCATCTAAAAAGCTCCTCACTTTCTTAGCTATCGTCAAATGCTTACACAAGAATCCAGTTTTTGTCCGATTTGGAAGAAAGATTACAACAACAACAACAACAACAACAAAAATGGGTTTTTTATAGAAACCCTGAAGAAAGATTTGGAAGATAGAGAGACGAACGAATTTTGATTCTTAAAAATCAGAACTTGAATCTACAGAAGGAGAAGAAGAAACAAGAAATAAAAAATGAATCTTTCTCAGTTAGACATGTCAACAAGTTCTCGAATTTTAGCATTTGTTTATGCATCGAATCTTCTTGTCTAGTGAAACCATTAAGAGAGACATTTCTGAAATCTCTCAATCTGATTTGTGTAAATTGACCGTTTCAGCTTTTAATTTCGCATTTATTAAGAAATATAACAAAAGCTCTCTCATGACAATGGCCCAAATCTTTTTTTTGCCGGTTTAGTTGTAACATTTCTTGGATATAATAGAAGCTTGACACTGCATAACAATTTATTGATCTTTACATGGCAGGCTCTGTAAAAAAAACTGTTACCATGTTTTGACATTTTTGAGTAGAAGAGATGAAGAATAGGAGAGAGCCAATGTTTGTTGGCATCAAAGTTCATCTTTTTTGTAACTCTTATTTAGAGTTAAAGCTTTCAATTCAAGAAGATATCTTGTGGCCATGGAAGCATGAAGGGAAGCACCATAAGGTAGTAGTTCTTCGTTAACTTCAAAATACGGCGAGTGAGGATTCGCCATTGGTGAATGAGCTTTGTTTTGCATTCCAACGAAGCTAAAGTGTCCCGGGATTGCTTGTTGGTAGAAAGAGAAGTCCTCTGATCCCATTAATGGTTGCATCTCGACGTAATTCTCGATCCCTAACATATCGCCGGAAACTTTCTTGAAAAACTGGTGCAAGTCTTTGTCATTTACAGTTGGTGGGAAAAAAGGTTTTTCCTCTTCAATGAAATCCACTGTTGCATTACACATATTCACGCTCGCTTGCCTTGTGATAACCTGAAACATTGGACTCGCAAATGAGTTAAAATGGTGCGGTCTCGAGAGGAAGACAAAAGTTTACACATCACTCATCAGAGGGTAAAGTTACTGACCTGCTCAATTCTTTTCTTGAGTTGCAGAAAGCTTTTAGTTGAAAAGGCTCGGAATGTACCACCGATAGTGACAGAGTCTGGAATCACATTGAAAGCACCACCGCCTTCAAATTTAGCAACTGTAACAACCTGTAAGCATTCACACATAGATCAAATCAATCCACATGATATATAGAGACATTTTCAATAGCCAAAGATTATATTTCTACCTGTGAGTCTAAAGGATCTGCCTCTCGTGAAACGAGGTGTTGTAAGCTAACAATAACATTCGAAGCTGCCAATATGGGATCTATGGCATGCTGCGGAAGAGCTGCGTGACCTCCTTTCCCGCTTATCTTAGCTTTGAAAAACCCGCTACCAGCCAACATTGGACCCTCTCTCGAGCTAACTTGACCTAATGCCAATTGATTTGTGACATGTAATCCAAAGATTGCACTCACATTCTCCAATACTCCAGCCTCCACAATTTTCTTTGCACCTCCTCCTCCTTCCTCAGCTGGTTGGAAAACTAGAATCACTGTACCCTGATGAAGAAAATGTCCAACAAGTTTTAAGAATCCAAACAACATGATGATTCGGACATACTCAAATTTAAAATTAGGAAAATCCAGTAACAAAACTAAACTTGTAGCTCTTCTTCATGTTCTTTGAGCAATTTTGCTGCACCGAGGAGCATCGTAGTGTGAGCGTCATGTCCACAAGCGTGCATCTTCCCTGGAACCTTACTCTTGTGTTCCCATTCCACCATTTCCTACACAATCCAACATAATCTGTCCAATAAGAATCCACCCAAAACAAAGCAACACTTCTCATAATTCCACCAAGAAACTGCAAATCACATAAGAAATCAGATCCACAGAGAACTAAACTCAACAAATCTTCAACTACTCTATAGATACATATAACCAAAATCGAAAACACAAAACTTCAAGTATCAAACACAATTACTGTTCCATGAGAAGCTGAGACAACAAGTCAATTCCAATTTTTGAGAGCAAATACCTGAATAGGAAGTGCATCCATATCAGCCCTTAAAGCAACAAAAGGAGCTTGACCAGTTCCAACATATCCAACAACACCAGTAACAGCAACTGGGTACTTAAAAGACACACCCATCTTCTCCAATTCTGCTCTAACAAGCTTAGATGTCTCTACTTCCTCATAACCTAACTCTGGATTCTCATGGATTCTCCTTCTGATTCCAACCATCCAATCGAAAAAATCATTCCTTTTAGCTAAAGTAAGAAACTTTGAAGGGATTTGAGATAACCCATTAGAGGAACATGAAATCAGAGTCGGATTAAGCAAGTGAATGATCAAAACAAAAGAAACCCATTTCAAGAAACTCATGGCTCGATTGATTGATACTTGAATCAATCGAATCGTTGTAGAGAAAAGGTAGAGATCGAAGAAGAAGAGAGGTGTGCGTGATGATGAAGCAGGGAAACATGAAGCAAAAAGTGGTATTTAAATCCAAGTAGCCAAAGCCTCAAGCCAAACACAACTTTAACTCTATTTTTCTCATAAATCTTCATTTTATATATTTATAATTTTATATATATATATATATATATTCGTTTGATTAATAATTAAAATGATTTTCCTCGAATCCCAAAATTATTTATAAAAAACATTCGTTTGATTAATGATTAATTTGATGATTTTTTGTTTCTTTTTGAAAAGAGTGATGGGATCTTCTTTGGATTAAACTTTAAAATGTAAATAAGCCAAACAAGCCACCATTACTTTCCTACATATGTGTCTTGTTGGAGTTTCTGCATTTGGAAATTTGTGTAATTATAACGTCAATGAAATTATTATCTCACTATTTTAAACAAGTAGCAAAATTGAAGTAAAACAAATTATTATCTCACTATTTTAAACTTTGCGTGGCGTAACCAGTCCTTAGCCTGTAGGTGGTTTTGGCTGGGTCTACGAATGTCCGTGGGTAAGGATTTTAGGTCCTCTTTGGCGTTTTCCCCTCTCGAATCTCAAGGCTTCTCCTTGATCCTCCTCTTTATTGTGTTCATTGGGTCTTCGAGCGGTTGTAGCGGTTTGGTTCTGTGATCTATTTCTTCTTGTCTCTCCGTCTTCGTTTCTGTTGTGGTTGTGATTGTGTGAGCTCGTATTAGTCCCCTTCTCGGGCCCTCAGTTTCCCTGGAGGCAATCTAATTTTGGGTTCTTTTCGAGGTTCCTGTTAGTAATCCTTCTATAGCACCAAACTGTTCTATGGAATGCTTGGCGGTGGCTTGTGAGGACGTGTTGTAGTTTTGTTGCTTTGGAGTTTTTAGCGGTTATTGGTTTGCATTTATCTAAGTCTTTTCTTATTGTATGGTAACTCTGTTGGGTCTTAAGTTTCTGGGGTTTCCTTGTAACCGCCAGCTTTGTTTGCTTACCCTTTTGGGTCTTAAGTTTCTGGGGGTTTTCTTGTACCCGCCGGCTTTGTCTCCGAAAGGATCTTGTTCCTTGTCGGCTTTGTATAACTCTCGGTTGCCTTTTATGAATAAATAAATCTTTAGACGAAAAAAAAAAACTCAAATGATATAAACCCTAAAATATTATTATTTATTTATAAACATTATAAGAAAAAACAAATATAAATAAATAAGTTTGTGTCTTTGATAAAGTGCATTTCACTATCGTGTACTGATTTTCAAAATCATTTTTCTTTTGGATTGGAGGAATTATTTTCGTTTTCGTATTCATTTTAAGTTCTTCTTGTGACACGTGAAAAAGAAAAGTATAAAATTGAATGGTTCTAATTTAATTGTTGGACGGTCCATTTTGCTGTTGGTAACGAATAGCTATAAAGCACGTGGAGAACGTGTTCAATGAATTCTTAGTCCTTTTTTATTTATGATTTTTTGATAAAAGGTTGATTTTTCTGTTCTTCCGATATTTAAACAATATATTGGAGGTCTAATTCAATCCAAAATTTAAGATATCCACAGTGGCCGGATCCAGATAGTAAAATCACGGATCTGTCAAAACAATGTCTAAATCCGAATATCCGAATCCAAATCCGAAATAAATAAATATAACAAAAAAAACTATAACATTAAAAAAAAATGAAAGTGACTTCTTAGGTCTCATTAAAGATTAGTGATATTTGTAATTACAAAAAAGGAGCAAATATTCTTTTTTTTTGTTTCTTGCATACGTAAAAACAATTGCAAGCTTTTCCTACCCCGAATCATATTCTAAACTAAAGTATTTTTTTAAAACTGTATATAATTTTGGGTGATCTGGGTCTAACTAAACCGACTCATTCTAAAGTGTGCATGCTCGTTGGGTACAAGCAGTCAAGCACACCATATTAAACATGTGTACCGAAATCCACAACCAACTAAATATCTTTGGTGGTTGTACTAGTACACATTCAACGAAAATCTTTTCTAAGAAACAAGAATTGAAATCAAAGACGGATAAAATGATTTAAGTCTGGTAAAATGATTATATTTGTGTGGATTTCAAAAGCCAAACCTTTTCACTGAGAGAGTTAAGTCTCATTAAAGATTTTTTTTTGGTCAAAAGTCTCATAAAAGATTAGTATTTGACTATTTGTTATTACAAAAAGACAAACAACTTTTTTATTTTAAACTTTCTTGTATAAATAAAAACACTTATGAGCGAATCATTTTCTAAACTTGAGTTTTCTTTGTTACTCCATGTCATCAATTCTTACTGATTCAAGGCTTTTTCTCCAGATCAAAAAGATGATGTGTGGAATTTAAATTGCTAATCAGACGAGATCGCGTTGTTGGAGTCCGTGACATCACTAGTCCCTCTCGCACCAGGTGTGGTAGAGGGTACGACGACGAAAGAAATGCTAAGCATAGTTTTTTAATTTCCTTAATACAACTACTCGGAAGTCGATATGCCGAAATCCAGTAATTTATTATGCTAGCTAGTGATGACC